GGTTCTTTTGCCCATCATCATGCTGTAAGGCCGCGTGATTGTAGTTTGTTTGAATGACCTCATGCTGTCAGGGGAATACAGACCAACGAAATGATCAGAGGTGAATGTTCTTGGCTCTTTCTTTGATCCTGACAGTTTTGCAGTGAGTTGTCGACGCGACTCGGTAGGTTACGATGATCTCAGTGTGCTGGGTCTTTTACGTGTGATTTAGGAGTGCCGTGGGACCATACCATCCGCGAACCTGCATCCGAAGTTTCTTCTCCAAATGAAACTCCGGTAAGAATGATTCTTTTGTTTCCCTCGTCGTGATTGTAGTCTGAGTGTATGTCCCTGATCTAGTTGTTTTTTGAATACATTCTTGTCCCCGTTCTCGCCCTTCGAATTCCTGTCTTGTGGGGGTTGGTTCGGCTCTAGATCCATCCTGTCGTCCTCTGCGGTGTCAGGAGTCAGTATAAGGAAGCTCTCGTGCTCTACACTCACTTGCTGCACGTCCCTCCTCCCTCGAGGATCCGCCATGGCTGCCGCAGACGAGCCGATGCTCCGAGAGAAGCCGCCGGCCTGCCATGACGCTCCATTGGTGACCTGGTGGGTGAAGTAGGGGATGGAGGATGAGGAACTTTGCAACGGCCCTGGCAGGGAGGTCAGGAGGAGACTGATGGCAGGTCGAGTCGCAAGAGCTCACTGGGCTCAGCGACGGTGGAGAAGGAAGGGGAAGCAGCTGAGACCGTCGCTGTCCTCGGGTAGGAGGGGCCCGCTGACATGTTGATTGGGCGGTGGGTTTGCCAGGTCTGTCCAGAGCTTGGGAGGTACTGGCAAGAGGAAGGTGACGGGAGTCGAGGAGAAGCTTCTCCTCTCCTCACCTGATGACGGAGGGGCGGCTGGGGTTCGTTGACTCGGATGAAGATGCCGGGAGGAGGAGGAGCATAGAGAGGACGCGCGTAGGTCTGGGGAGCATAGGGGGGGTACATGCGGCCATCATAGCGATCGGGAGGCGGAGCTCGGCCGGAGCTTGCAGCCCGTTCAGCCTGCAAAGAGGAGGTCAAAACCCCAGCGCCATTCCCCCTCCCCTCCCAGCACCAGCAGAGCCCCTGCTGGTCGAGCGCGGTCTTCTCTCGGGGCCTGGGGAGCTGGGGAGCTGCTGGGGACAGCACCTGCACGACGAGAACTCTGAGAGCGGAGGAGGAACTCATCCGCCTCAGGAGCAGCGTGTCCTTGCATGCTCGTCGCCTGTCCCGAGAAATCGCTCGCATGCACCTGCACGCATGGGGTGAGGAGGGGAACAGCCGGTGGGCTGCCACTGACATTGTAGAAGGGACGGGGGGCAGGAGGAAGCGGCCTCGTTTCAGCCTCAGGTTCGATCAGAGGGCTGTAGGATAGGAAGAGATCGATGCTCGCTGTCCTCCCCGGGCCCATAGCCAACAACCTGAGCCAACCGCCCCGTTAGCTACCAGCAGGCCACAGGGCCTCCTCCTCTGTATCTCAACCTGCCGCTTCTATCCATGAGGGTAAGAGACATGGACGGGAAGAGGTCCCCGAGTCGAGATCGTATCCTCGCCTTCCCCACCAACTGAAAGTCCTCCCCGTCCCTGTCGTTGCACAGGAACAACACGATCATGATGTCCCTCTCGTGGTTGTCCGTGACGTGATGTACGTCCCCGGACGCCGCGGCCTCCCGGCTGTAAGTTTGCAGCAGGACCGACGAGGAAGCTGGGTGCTGGAGGAGCGACGCGTCCTCCATCGGCGGCGCTTCTCCTGGGTCCAGGAACAAGATGCAGCCATGCAGGCGCCTGCCTGGCGCAACGGCAGGCAGGGAATGCAAGCGCAGAATCTTCATGACGATCCTGTTTTGACCCTTCAAGAAGGTCTGGGGGATGTGGTAGGCCTTTGCCTGCATGCTGTGGGTCCCATCGTCATGCCAGGAGGAGGAAGATGGTTGCCTGACTTGCTGAGAAACCTGCGGCGTATTCCCCTTGTCAACTTTCTGCACAGGAAATTTCGAGCGAGCGGAGGAGCGATACGCTTCGAGACGAGGGAACTTGAACTGCGAGAACTTGAAGAGGCCCTTGATCTCATGCCGCGAGCCTGTCTCGTTGTTCAGGATAGACATCGCCTCCTCTGCGTCTTGACATGCAAGCAGCCGCTTCTGAACCTTGCTGATGAAGGCCATGGATACTCGGAAGAGACAGCCGCTGTTTGAAGAGAAGAGCTTGTCGAGGATCTTGAGGATCATACTCTGGTCAAAGACCACGGTGAACAAGCTCAGGAACCATCTCGTCGCAGGAATCTCCAGAGGAAGCTCCAGCTCCTGAAGTTTCCTGTGGACCTTAGGAAACGTCTCCACAACGAGGTTCTGCAGAACGAGCAGGTCCACACGCAGACCATGCATGTCCTCAGTGTAGTAATCTGGTAGGTAGTCTTCCACGATGCAACTGAGAATCCAAAAGGCGTCCTCCTCCTCCATCACCATGAGCAGCGTCCCCACTATGAAGTTCATCGACTGACAGTACCCTATCCTCGGGTTGCGCAAGCTGTAAGCACAGAGCACCCTGCGAAGGGGTCGAAGAAGGGGCCCATCTTGTCCTACCGTCTGACCTGCTTCTCCTGGACCCCTTGGAGGATCCGAGTCCTGAGTAACTTTGCGAAAGAGGGGGTTAGCAGGAAAGGTCCTACCAATGTCCTTGTCAATCTGCTTGAAGTGCATCATTCTCCTCTCCTCAGCATCTGCGTCGCACATCCCCGCCCATCTCCCATCTTCATGCCCACTCGTCTCATTCAGAGCACCATCGCCCTGAACGCTGGCTTCACTGGGCACCCTCGCCAACAGCTCGAGGTACCCTTCGGAAGCCCTTTGCTTCTTCATGGTGAACCTGCATGCTTGCTTCCAGGAGAGCACGCGTGCCTTCTCTCTCACTCTGCCTTCCATCACGTTCCTGGCCTTCTCTTCTCTCTCTGCCATCGTCACTCCGCCATCATCCCGCCATCATCGTCCAACCATGCGCCTCGTGGTGCATGGCAGCGGGCTCACGTTACAAGAGGGCCAACCCCTACAAATCGTTTTCACTCAAAGATTCCTCCTGCTATTCCCCCAGTCACCCGGCCTCCGTCCCGCTGGGGCTGTCGGGGCCCCGCCGGACCGGGTCACAATAACGAGGCCAACTCGAGTACGAGATTCTACGGGCATGCACAACTTCTGACACTGCGAGTCTAGTTTTCAGTAAAGAGATGTCTGCTGGAATATCACCATCCACATCATCTTTTAATACTTATTTCATTTCGTTTTTCTTCGGCCCTCCTTACTCAGTTGTCTCCTCACTTCTTGCCTCCTGCTGCTGCTGCCTTACCCGGCTGCTTCTTCGTGACCTCCTTGATGACGCCGACAGCGACAGTCTGTCGCATGTCACGAACAGCGAATCTTCCCAGAGGAGGGTATTCTGTGAACGTCTCGACACACATGGGCTTGCTGGGCTGCATGATCACCATGGCGGCGTCGCCATTCTTAATCATCTTGGGCTCATCCTCAACTTTCTTTCCACTTCTGCGGTCGATCTTGGCTTCCAACTGCGCGAACTTGACGGCAATATGAGCAGTATGGCAATCCATCACGGGCGTGTAGCCAGCATGAATCTCTCCAGGGTGGTTGAGGATGATGACTTGAGCCTTGAAGGTCTCACAGCCAAGAGGAGGATCATTCTTGGTATCACCGCAGACGTATCCACGCTTGATATCCTTCACAGAGAGACCCTTGACGTTGAAGCCGACGTTGTCACCTGGCACCGCCTGTTGCAGCTGCTCATGATGCATCTCAACAGACTTGCACTCAGTGGTGACGCCAGCTGGAGCGAAGGTGACCGACATTCCAGGCTTCAAAATTCCAGTCTCAACACGGCCGACAGGAACCGTTCCGATTCCTCCAATCTTGTACACATCCTGTAGAACACAGTTGAGTCCACGACAACAATGAGTATCGAACCATCACCTGGAGAGGAAGGCGGAGAGGCTTGTCAGTTGGGCGCTTTGGCGGTTCAATGGAATCGAGCGCCTGGAGGAGAGTTGGTCCAGAGTACCTGAAAGAAGAGGAGAATCAGCTGGCAAAGAAGCATGCATTTAGAAACTGACCATTTCTTCAAGGGGTGGTCAGCAGGAACTTCCTCGATCAAGTTCTCTCCTGTCCATCCTGAAAGAGGGATCTGATACCAAGGAGTGAGGCTAATCTCATGGAGGGAGCTAGAGCTATGATGCGCTTTTACCTTAGGGATCTTGTCCGGGTTGTAACCGATCTTCTTGAGGTACGAGTTCATCTGACAGCACGGCATGAGGGCTGACGAAACTGCAAGAGAAAAGGAGAAAAGGCCATGGAGAAGGATACGAAAGGATCAAAGACGCCACGATCATGAGGTCGGGAGGAAGGTAAGAAGAAGACCTCCTTGCAGATCTCATCATAGCGATCCTTGCTCCAGTTGACCTGGAAATTCCTCGTGAGACCTTCATCGAGAAAACCCTGGTTTGAATCACCTGCTTATCATCCTGCTTGTTCAAACCAACAATGAGCTGCTTCACACCTGTACAAATTCAATCAAATCATAACGACAGCACCGCCATCATTCACCGAGAGTGAAAGCCAAGAGGGCGTGCTCCTTGGTCTGGCCGTTGGTGGAAATTCCAGCCTCGAACTCACCTGCACACGATTACAACCCAGAGCGGAGAGAGGAAGACGTACCGGGAGGAGAAGCAATCATCAGGATGCCAACATCGGCTTGCGATGTGCCAGTGATCATGTTCTTGATGAAATCTCTGTGTCCGGGGGCATCGATGATGGTGAAGCTGAACTTCTCAGTCTGCAAGGTGCCAGTCAGCCTCAAGCATGTCAGCAGCAGCTGACCTCACCTCGAACTTCCAGAGAGCAATGTCAATGGTGATACCACGTTCACGCTCGGCCTTGAGCTTGTCAAGAACCCAGGCATACTTGAAAGATCCCTTGCCTTTGTTCCAAGTCATCGCTCATGCGCTCAGACAAGTCACAATACCCATCTCGTTGGCCTCCTTCTCGAATTTCTCGATCACACGCTTATCAATACCACCGCATTTGTAGAGCAGATGCCCGGTTGTGGTAGACTTTCCGGAGTCAACGTGGCCAATAACAACAATCGAGCAATGGTGCTTTTCCTTCCCTCCTCCCCTCAGGCGCAGCATGCTTGGAGAAGTACCAGAGGGGATCATGTTCATCCTATGACCCATGGCGCTGAATGTCCTTCCTGCTGCTCCCATGGTGGTGGCCAACCCCATCAAGAACAGGACAGCAACGCACTTCATAACGGAGAGATTTATCTGTCCACGGTAAATTCAGAAAACAAACCGTCTTCGCAACAGGAGACCACAAGATGAAACATCGAAAAGTAGGGAATCCAAGATTAAAATCTCAAGAGATGCATATCTTCGCTCAAGAAAACACAGTTTCAGATCAAACTCCACAAATCTCAACCACGTTGTTCACCAAACAAAGAGTCCTGTCTCACACACCCCCTCGGATTCAGACAAGAAAAGCAACCACAGGTATCGAAACTCGGATCCGCCATGTTGCATCATGTTTTCGATCACATTCCGCTGCATGTTCCCCTCCATCCCACTGGGGCCATGCGCCTCTTCCGCTCATACCTGCCCCGCAGCCGCCATACTAGCACGAGAGCGACTTGCACCCCCCGCTACCCACCTCCCTGATAGCTTCGCTGAGTACCCTACCTCCTTTTCGACCGGAAAATACCCCAATGAGACACGGAAAATCCTACTGCTGCTATTCGTTCAGCCACCCCCACCCCATCAAATTCGCTACGGGGAAGCTACGAGTAAACTCCGCCTCAGGATATATAGAACGCACACCCCTACCCCTACCCCGTGACCAAATCCCTACCCCCTTGAACACGACACCACCCCTTTATTTCCCTGTATTTACCCTAGCAATTCCACGGTTGTACCCCTACCCACCTAAATCCTAACTGTGCGAATGGAGAGGGTGATCGCGGCAGGGAGAGGAGCAGAGGGATAGGAAGGGGAACGAATAAATGAAGGACGAAGAAACAGGATGAGGGCGAGCGTGCAGGCAGGCAGGCAGGCAGGCAGGCAGGCAGGCAGGCAGGCAGGCAGGCAGGCAGGCAGGCAGGCAGGCAGGCAGGCAGGCAGGCAGGCAGGCAGGCAGGCAGGCACTGATAGTCCCTTGGTGGGTGCTGACAGAGTCGGCAGGGAGAGGAGAGAGCAGTGGACTGAGCCTATGGATCGCCGTCGAAGCCCTCCCAGGGTGTGTTGCTGAGGTGGTAGGGAAGGATGGGCGCCTGAAAGTGCTGACAGGGCGACTACCGCGATCGCGATCATCCCAGCTATGACATGGGGAGGAGGGATCGTATGATGCCGCGCGATATGCGCTACGATCCCTACGGCTACCCCGGTGGATATGGGAGACGTTCCGATCCCCAGCAGGGCAGGAGGAGCAGGAGCAGAAGCTTGGACCGCGGGTATCGCGGACGCGGTGGGGGCTTCCGCCCAGCCAGAGGAGGAGGACGAGGCAGGGGGCCGAGAGCTTCAGTTGAGGACCTGGACCAGGCGATGGACAACTACTGGAAGAAGGAGGTGAGTTGATCCGCAGACTGTGCGTCCCTGACGAGCCTGTTGGGTGAAGGAGAACGAGGGAGAGGGGGAAGCCGGTGAAGGAAAGGATGCGCAGGAAGCCGATGCCAAGGATGAGAAGCATGAGCAGAAGCAGCATGATGAAGAGCAGCATGACGAGCAGCATGACGAGCAGCCAGGGGAGGAGGAGGAAGCAGAAGGAGGAGGTGAGCCATAGAGTGCGTAGTAGAGCCGAAGGAAGGCAGGACAAGTCACTATTTACAATCACCCAATGAATGCCATCGAATGGATCCTTTCGGCAAATACTCTCTACGATCATGATCCAGCAACCTCCAGCATCTTCAGTGGAGAACGGAGACGGAGAGGACAAGATGGTACGGCCGTTCCTGGTCCAACATCACGATAACTCGCTGCTAACTCGTCCTTACCGTTGAGAGCTTCAGGTCTAGCCCAACTCTCAATAACCTCACAGCATCTTCGGCCCACGGGCAGTGAGGAGATGTGAGGAGCTGGGGGTAGTTAGGAGTGCCGACGCTCTTCCTTCCAGCCTCCTTCCCTGCCGTCTCCACTCTGCTACCGTAGGCCTGAGCAAACCCAAGGAACTCCTGTGACTCGCGCAGTATCGCACAGTCTTGGCATCCCATCATGATGGCCTGAATGTAAAAGCAGCGTGAACGAAGAGAACAGGATGAGGAGAAAGGAGGAGAGCAGGATGAGGAGCAGGGCAGAGATGCAGAGGGGCAGGTGAGAGAGAGGAGAGGCGAGGAGAGGGAAAGGGAGCTGTAGACGGGAGACGATCACATGCTCAGCGCCCGTGCGGGAGGCGAAGCTTTCTCGAGGAAAGACAATAATGCGCTTGGATGCCACAAGCGCTTGTCCTATGAGAGGACCGGAGGAGATCGACCAAGTGTCGACCACGATGCTCACATGGCCCCTGAGACCAGGAGGAGCGTCAGGGGCGGGGCTGAAGGAGAGCAACGAGAGCGTACAGGCGGTTCATGGCATCTACTTGCTGATCTGAGAAGGTACAAGAAGATGGCGAGTCAGTGACGAGAGGAGAGGTGAGGAGAGGAGAGGAGAAAAATGAAGCAGCAGAGAAGTAGAGAAGTAGAGGAGAGGACGGATAGAGGAGTGGAGGACAGGGGAGAGAAGCAGGGCAGTGGAGGGATAGGAGAGATGAGCATTGTGGTCCTCACCGACGCTGCAGACTGCATGCGAACTTGAACGATTGGAGCACAACTGGGGGAAGATGGCAGCCAGCTTGTCAACAGAGAGGCTGGGATGAGGAGGAAGGGAGAGGATAATGTTGCTTGACTTGCTCAGGCTTTCATCCACAACTTTCACAAGCTGATTGAAAGTCGTGAGATAACAAGCGCTCTCTTCCCCTTCTTCCTGGCTCAACACTTCCTGCCCTCTCCCACTTCGCTCTCCTCTCTCTTCTCCTCCCCATCCTCCTTCCTCCTCCCCATCCTCCTCACCCTCCTGCCTCCTCCAGATTCCGATGACTACCTCGTGAGATGTCGCTTGTGGAGGACCAAACATTCCAAAAACCGTTCGATTCCTGCCAAGACGTTATCGACCTCCTCCCTCTCCGAGCTCCTTCACTTGTCATCTTCTCGCTTCTCCTCCTCGTGTGCTGCCGGCACACACGTGACGTGCGTGGAGCCGTGGAGGATCCTCGAGACGCAGGGAGGAAGATAACCTGACGGGAGGAGCAGGAGAGGACAAGGGCAGCGAGGAGAAAGGAAAAATTTCAGAGCGGCTCGAATGAGGATGTAAAGGGCAACCGAAGGTGTTGTAAGACAGCTTCTCCTTGTACAAGTGCTGCAACTCCGGCGGAGCAGAAATCTGTCGGAGGGTTCACTCTTGCAGAGCAGGGAGGGGACACGAGGACACGCAAATGACTGTTATCAGCACAAGGACCGCTGGCGTCACCTTGCCAGCAAGCAAGAAGTCGACGAGAACTTCACTGCCCATGGAGCCTCGATGGCCCAATGCTGTTACTTGAAGCAGACAGGGTCTGTGCGCCAGGATCTCGTTGCGGTTCCTTCCAGCAGTCAGAGAGGCAGGCAGGCAGGGAGTCAGGGAGGCAGGGAGGAGGAGGAATCATGAAGTTAAAAATCAGATGGATCAGGTTTGCGGGAAGATCATGTAGGGGAGGAGGAAGATGGCTGTGGGTGGCGGATGGTGGGTGACATGTTGAGCAGCCAGAAACACACATGACTACGAAAGATGGCATGACATGTGATATGATATGATGTGATGTGTGGTGATGAGACGAGACGAGAGCAGATGCGATGGGATGGAAGGGAAGGGATGAGAGAGAACTGAAGGAGCTTACTCACCGACGTTTCCATCCATCAAGGTTGACGAGAACGTGAACTTGGTCCTCATTGATCCTCCGAGCATCCTCGTAAGAGTTAGCTCGACCAATAACCACCTGTGAGATGTCATCGGAGAAACATCATTAGCTGTTGAGATTTTTCATCACCTCTCGCAGCTTGTTCGGCCGGTGTCCCAGCTCATCGAAGAAATCAACAGACTCGCTCGTCTCCTCCCCTTCCTCACTGTCCACAACGGGATTCTTGCACCAGTCGTACAGGATCGTCTCATGCAGATGTCGCAATGAAGCCTGATTGCTCGTTGTCACTCGCAGAATGCTGATCAACGCGCTGATATCTGCTCCTCTCATCTCTTGGCTGTTGGGATCACCAAAGTCAGAATGCTTCATCGCCCACTGCCTCTCGTTTCCTCCTTCCCTCTCCTCCTCCTCCTCCTCCTCCTCTCCTCCTCCTCCTCCTCCTCCTCCTCCTCCTCCTCCTCCTCCTCCTCCTCCTCCTCCTCCTCCTCCTCCTCCTCCTCCGTGTCTGGCTCGCCTGCAAAGGAGGAAACCCAGTCGCAGGGCAGGTGGAGCAGAAAAGTGCGACGGGATCAAAGAGGGAAGATGCTGAAAGATCGAGTGAGTCCGCTGGACTCTGTAAGGAACGACTGGTCAGAGGTGGAGGAGACGGGGGGTGGGGGGCAAGGGGGCAAGAGGAGAAGAGGAGGCGACGAGAAAGGGAAAAGGGGAGGAGAGGAAGGGGAAAGGAGAGAAAGAGAGGGAAGGAGGAGAACACAAGAACAAACAACAACAGAAGATGCAAAACAACAGACAACAAAAAACGTCGAAACCAGCTACAGAGGAACCTAAAGAGCTACTGGCTCCCTCCCCAAGGCGCAACCCTCTCCCTCTCCTTCCCCCTTCCCTACTCCCCCTCTCCCTCTCCCTCACCTCTGCATCGCATACAACTCCGTCATCCTTGCAAGTCGTCGCTGGTCAACATCGAGGTGCTGGACCATCCACGGAGGGCTGGACTCCTCCTCCAGCATCACCCCCACCTGACTCAAGTCCTCTATCCCAGCTGTGAGGTCCAGGAGGCATGCTCTGGTGTACAGGCTGTCCATCTTGACGGAGCTCATCTCAAGGGAAGGATTCATCTGGTTCACCTCATCACACACTTCAACGCGCATGTCAAATTCCTCGCCTCCATGGCGGCGGAGAAGGAGGAGTTAGCCTCCGCAAACAGCCCCAGCAGCATCTCAGCAGTTCCAAGGTCGACGAGCTGCCAGGGATCTTGCTTGCACTCGTCCGGCCGGGGATGAAACGTGCATTCACAGCGATGAAGCGCCGTCCTCAAGACCGTGAGGGCATCTGCGTACCTGCCGAGCTGCAGGGCCGTCAGTGGGAGCCGCTCGACCCTCCTGCTCACCTCTAGGAGCATGCGGCCCAAGGAAGAGAATACATCGCATCCCCCGTAAAGAGATTGTTTTGAGATGAGGCTCGTAGCCGTTCGCATCGCATCGATGGCACACTTGTACTCCTCAACCTCGAAGCATTCTTCTCCCAGGTACCGATGAGCGTCCGAGTTGTTGGGATTGATCAACGTAGCGTTAGCAAACGACTCTGCCGCTGCCCGATGCTGCTCAAGGCGAGCATAGGCCCCTCCCAGGTAGAACCAGGACTCGAAGGAGGAGGGCTCTACTTCCGCAGACAGCCTCAGGAGCTCCACTGCCTCACTCGCATTGTTTGCTCGAAGGTAAACACCCGCCAGGTTTCGCAGGACGGCAGGATGATTCCGCTCAATGCTGAGCGCAAGTTTGAAGTTGTAGATCGCCTCCTCGTCCTTCATCATGTCATAGTACAAGAGTCCCATCGAGTTGTACACTGCCCACTTGCTCTTTCCCTTCCTCGTCTTCACAACCTTCTGGTACGCCGCTATCGCTTCCTCTGCTCTCCCTACCTGCACGAAGGAGGTGGCTGCGTTGTAGTAGTTGCGCATGATGTCCTCCTCCTTATCTTGGCTCTTGCCTCCCTTCTCAAACAGCTCTGCTGCCAGCAAGAACTCATCCGCCGCCTCCGTGAAGTTGTGCCCCTGAGCGAGACGCTCGGCATGAATCGATCTCAACATGGGGTCCCGAGGAGCGAGAGAAAGAGATGCGCGGAAAGCTATATCAGCATCCTCGGTCTTGTTCACGTCCGTGTGGGATCGGAAGGCCCAGTAGTGACAGGCGCAGTTGTCAGCAAACTTTCCCTCCTCGACGCCATTACAGCTGCCCTTGAACCATGCCGATGCCTTCTCCCCTTCGTTGGCGTAAACCAGTTTCATCCCCTCCACGATCATCTCTATCTCTGCTGGAACCAGACATTCTTCGCGTCCTGCTCTCTCTCCCCCCTCCTTCGCTGTCTCGCCATCAGCAGGTGCGACGGAGGCAAGCAGGGCGGAAGAGAGTAGGCAAACCAGGGCAGCCACAAACCTCCCCATGCCCCTCTGACCCTAGACGGGCAGCCAGTGAGGATGGAGAGGAGGAAGAAAGGGGAAGGAGCAGATAAGGGGTCGGATAAGAGTCAAACGGAAGAAGCTAGTGATGTGCAGAGGGGGTTAAGGGGAGGCAGAGAGGAGTGATAGAGAAAAGTCGGAGAGGGAGGAAGGCGGGGAGAGGAGGGTCAGTGAGCAAAGGGCAAGGAGCAAGGAGCAAGGAGCGATGTTCAACTTCTCCTCAGCAGTAGAGGAAGCAAGCTTGCGCCATCTTCGAGCAACGCGCCGCCGTCTTGTCGCCTTGCCGGCATACCGCAACTTCCAGGTCGCAAATTTCAGTGATGAGGCGGATTTGTTGCTCCTTTCCCTCCAGCAATGGCTTCGGGCGCCGCCGTCCATTGCTCGCCTCCCTTCCTGTTCACTTCCTCCCTCATACCCTCGTCCTCCTCTCCCTGTTCCTCGTTCCTCCAACGCTCAGCTCCTCTCATCCCCTCCGTCCTCAACCCCGACTTCCTGCTCCTGCTTGCGCCAGCAACCTGATCCCTGCGCACAACCGAACACAGTCACCTTGTGGGTTCTTGCTGCGTCATCTCAAGGCGCCATGCTGCTGGTGCTCGGATTCCTCTCTCTCTCCTTCATCGGCATGTTTGCCTTCTCCGTCCTGGTTGCGATGACGATCAGCGCGCCATGCTGCCTCATCGCCTGGCCCATCATTTTCGTTTGTGTTGCATTCCTGCTTCCATTAACTCTCGCCGCATTTCTGTCCCTGGTATCAGTCGCGTTCATCCTCAAACTCTCCTTCTTCTCCTCCTCCAAACGAGCTGAACCATCCCAGGGAAGGCTGACGGCTGTGTCAGCGGATGATTCGCACATTCGAGCCCGCATCAAGTTGCTGATGGAGAAGGCAAGGAGAGCTCCGGCGCTGATGATCTTTTTCGGGGGGCTGCCGACTGCTGGTTCTCACAAGTGAAGCTCGTCCTACAGCACCTCTCAGCAGGACTAGAAGGACAAGGATTGGAGATCAAACGAAAGGCCCAAGTTTTCAATGCAACCCATTGGCAAGGTGGAGACCTTGTTTATGTTTCAAAGATTGAGACCTTGTTTATGTTTGAAGATTGAGACCTTGTTTATGTTTCATGTTAATGTTCAATCATTCTCGGAAAAATCATCTCTTGGCTAGGGAGAGAATCACCAAGATTGAAGCAAAGAATCGATTTCCGTCCAGAATCGCCTCAACACAGCTTCCTCAAGGACTCTTAGTCGCCCTCTTTCCCTCCGCCTGTGCGCCCTCCTGCTCCTCTGTCGCTGTCGCGCGGGGGCATCGGAGGGATCGAAGGCGGGGCCAGTCTGACAGGACGGGTTGCACATGCTGCCGCATCGGTCGAAGAGAACTTTCGGTCCTTCAGAGATACCCAGCCAGTTAGCGATGACGTCCTTGAAGCCCAGGCCGTCGATGACGGGCTGACAAGAGCGTGAGCAGAAGCTTGCGTCTGCACACCTTTCTCACCTGACCCACTGTGAAGTTGTCGTGAATGAAGCAGGCGGGAGCAAAGACTCCGTTGTGCTTGACGTCAGAGGAATAAAACTGCTTGCAAACGTCACACAAGAACAAACATACTGCTCTGAAACAACGCACAGCATGCAAGGCCTGTGTCATATTCTGTTGATATTCATGGATGTAATCGTAGACTTCCTTGGACCAATAACTAACACTCATGGGGATGCGATTGTGCCATTGCAGTTGCTGTTGTTCCTAGTTACCACATTATAGATGCAGGAAAGAGAATACCGCTTGATCGGACAAGGATTCAGCAGCGAACATCGGCGATTTCACAAATGGAAACTATAAACCAGATTAGAGACCATGATCCCACCTCACTATGTTCGCATCCACCGAGTAGTTGGAAACCATACAGGCCCACGAAAAATTCCCAAGAGCGGTGGCGCATTCCTGATTCATGTAAGCGTTCCACAGCTTCACCTGTCAGAGGGTCAAGGAAACTTTCGCCCTTTCCCGTCTACTCACGTAGTTGGCCCATGAAGACTCGGTGAAGTCTGACAGCCCTGCATCCATCGCGTCAATGTCGGCCAACGAACTCGAGGGAAGAACCAAAGGAAGGATCCTCTGCGTGAGGCCCATCATAGGGATATGAGAAGGCATAGTAGCCGGCGATGGCAACTCCTACAACTTGAGCCTTCTTGTAGCGTTGCGCCAGCATGTCCACGTGCAGCCAGACGCCCATCCCTCCTGCACTGTTGCCTGCAGTTGATGTGAGGAACCCGACGTGGTCAGATAGCAAGTCAACCCGACAAGATGATCAGTTCTGCATCTGCAAAGACAGTAAGCTTGCCATCTTGATCGAGGAATTAACAACTCACTCTTCAACCCGAGATCGTCGAGCCTGTTCAAAACGGCCTTGAAGATGAAATGCCCAGCATAGATCACGTTCAGGTTTCCTGTCAAACTTGGAGAGCGTTACAGACATGACAAGTCACATGACGTGATATACTTGGTCCAGTTTGTCTGCCGACCAGACCAGAGATCTTGCGAGCAGTATGGAAGCCAAACATGATTGAAGCCAAAGAAGTCTGGGTTCGAATCCGAACTCCCATCGCACAGCCACCACCCAAACTTTCCCCAACTCGCTTCCACTGATGACTGGTTTGCACATCCCGAAGAGTCCCATGTGAGGTTGATCTCCGGGGGAAAGAACTTTGATGACGCCAACGGCTGTTCAAAAGCCTTCACAAGGGTGAACCAACCGAAGGCAGCACAGAACTCACAGCATTCAGCTTACGCGAACACTCGCTAGCAGAGACGCATTCTCCACCTGACAAGAAACCCTGAGATGAACATGTGACGCAGAAAAACGAGCACCTCCTTGGAGATGTATGATCCAAGAGTTCTTCTTCGAGGCCAACTGCGAGGAACGAAAGTAGAAACCCGCGTTTGATCCATCCAGGCATCTTTTGCACGCACAGGAATCTCAGCGTATGCCCGCTTGCAGCACAAGCTCGTTGAGGTGAAGGTCCTGACCTTGCAAGAGGATCGTCCAAAAGTCTCAGACGAACAGCTTGGAGAGTCGCCTGCGGAAGAACGAGCACGAGGAAGAGCGCTACTGCTCCGCTCGTCGCCTTCATCCCTGCATGAGAAAGAGAATTAGATTATGAACAGAAGAAGCAGGAGAAGGAAACCGTGAGTTCTACGACATGAACTTTGCAGGCATTCACCCCCTCGTGTCACGTGACCTGTAAACAACTCACTACAACCTTGTTTATATTCGCGAGACTTTCTTGCTGCCATCATGTCTTCGAGGTTTTCCATGTCTTCTAGCCTCCTCTCCCTCTCATCTCATCGCTTTCTCACCCTCGATCCATCCTCTACGCGGCTCCCCACCTCTGCCTCCCCCCTCCGCTCTGCCATCGCTTTCCCGGCATTCCAAAACAGTAGGCGTAGGAGACCGCAAGGAGCAGGTATAACCATATTGTAATGCTTTTAGACGGCCATCTAAAAGCATTACATTTCATAGATGCCGATCAGCGCGGCGTACTCGCCGTCGGAGCCGGGCTGCGGCCGGGCCGCGCCGTGTCACTCTCCTTCACATGAGTGCAAGTTCCGACTCGGCCGGCACGGGCAGCAGTAGAGCAAACTGAATGATGCGTAGTGGAAGCACGGGGAGAATGCATTCAGGCGATTTCAAGTGAACGGAATACTAGTATTCATCAGGTCACAGGAAAACTACAATCTAAAACGTGGAAAATACAGAGAGCCTGTATGCATCAATGCTCAAAAGAAAGGTAATTGGGAATTGCAAAACAAGAAAAACACCATGGGTAGGTTACAGGTCACTCACAAACCGGTTATCAAATCTCTCGTCGGATAACCGGCATTCATCCGATATCCCGAAGAAGTTGTAGCGGTTATCAGCAACAAAGTCGTAGAAGACATCTCGCACTGGGGAAGGAACAATCTTCAAAGCTGTCGTAGACACAACAGGGGCCAATGGCCACAGAACCGTTCCTTGGCCAAGGCCCTGGAAACGAGTCAGAGGGGAAGCGAACAGGCTGATTGCAAACCTTTCCGATCCTCAGAATCGCCTCACTCTTGACGTAAGTCTTGCCATCCTCACATGCAAGAACGATGCTTGATATGTCGTCTGGTCTCCTTCCTCCCCGTTGCAACAGAGCTCTTCCAACTTCTGACTGCAACGCTGCAAACCGGAAGTTTCCTCGCAACTGAGTCGGGTTGTCCCAATCTAGCATCTGAAGACCATGAATCAGAAGCCTTTACATCCCCATCCTCTATCAGAAGTCATCTCATTTTTCTTACAAAATTCACTCCTCCGTTGCAAAGATTGCAGACGCCGTCGTAAAGTATCACCGGCCTCGAATCTTTCTCAAAAACCTTTCGGACGATTTCTTGCCACGATGGTGAGGCCATTTCACCTTGCGCTGAAAGAAGGCAGTAAGAATCAGAAATCTTAGTGAGATGGAGTAGAGTGACAGCAAGAGATATCCGGACAGCGGAGAGACGATCTAAGAAGGGACAAACAACCTGTGGCGCTTGCCTTGCATGTTAACCCTGTATATCTGGTGATGCAAGCATTGGTCCTGGAGAGACCCTGTTCTCTTATATTGCGTACAGCCTTCGAGCAATGTGACACAGCATGGAAACTGGAGCATGGCACAACCAGTAACAAGAGGAGCGCTGCCGTCATTGGCTCCTTGGTTCCTGCCATCTTTCCCTTTATACCTCTGAACCCATTCTTTTCACTCAACTTCCGCGGGCCCAGTGGCGAGTTGTCACTGGGCCGGCGGTCCGTCACCTCAGTGACCGTACGCCGTCCGACGGCGACGGTCGGTCCGGGGGGGGGGGGGGGGGGGTGCCGCGGCCGCTATTGGCCGCTGAGCCTGGACTGACCGTCGCGGCGGCCCCGCGGCCTCGCCGTCCGATCATGATCAGCCGCCGCGCCTCAGGCCCGGGCTGCCATGATCGTGTCGGAGACTCAGAGCTTGGAGGCAGATTCGCACTTGATGAGTCCGATCCCCTGTGATTTTAGTCATCTCGTGCGCTGTACGGTACTACTAGTATTAGTCCTCGTACTGATTTTCACTTAACTTTGAGTAAAGTAGTACCACAGGCTGGGCCCGGTACGGTAGTAACTCGTCCGACTCCGGGCGTCACAGTACCCCTATTTCCCTCCCATGATAGTAGTCTCATCCACCCGGTCCTACACCCCCATCACTCTCGCATTTCAGCCCGCCTCCGCCGGAGCCGGCAGGGCCCGGGGCACTACGGCATGGGGGGTGGGGGTCCTCTGCCAGAGACGTTCGGTGCCCCGCTTGAAATGCCGACCGTACCGCCATTGCTGCGACAGCGCGAGATGAAGCGACGATGAATGAAGTAGAGCGAAGAATGACATCTGAAACCAGGAAGATGAGCGACACATTCCGTGTGCCATGTGAGGAATGACTGCAACAACGGGCCCTTTCTGACTTGCTTGCCTCGTGAAAGCTGCAAATCAATCTGACTGTAAAACCAAGGCTTCTGCGGGTTCGAAGTAGGGTTTTTCTCTTGACAACTTCGGAACAGCTCGGCCATCACTATGACATCTCATCCTTATAAACTGTTTGTTCAAGCATGCAATCAGGATGAAGAGGGATTGAATATGATATTCCTGTCAGAATATGATTTCAATGATGTGTTCTCGCTCCAAGATAGCGGTGAACTTTCCAGTCCCAGGTATCCCGTGAGCATCAACAACAAGTACGTATACTATGCGAAAATGAGCAGAGACGTAGAGAAGGGATATGTTGCGATGGATTTCGCGCAGAGAAAAACTATGAACCTTTCGTTTCAGGATCTAATACAGGTGTCCCCCTTTATGGATAGCCAAGGGAGTGCAAAGGTACTGGATCCGATCCTCTCTCTCGATGCAATCATGGACTACGGGAGTATCAGAAATGAAGATACTAGCTTCAACCTCAAAACATTGAACAGGACGTTGAGAGACTTGTTGTGCCACCAGGTTTTGCTTCCAAAGCAGGAGATCATATCCCATGTGCAGGGCCATCGACTGCATTTGAAGGTGTCAAAGTGTGAAACGCTGCTATGTGAGAGCAAGATTTCTTTATGCATGAGCAAACATTCAAGGTTAGGAAGTCAATCTGCCTTGTCGCTTCTCCCGAGCACGATCATAAGATCGATTCTTGACATGGCATGGCGAGAAAAGGACACGTTTCCTGTTGTTACGAAGAACACGACGCTCTGCATTTATCCATCTATTCGTCATGAAGCCATACATGAGCAGTTCAGCCCAATCGTCAACAGAAGCAATTCTGGCATAATCTTGGATGACCCGCATAAGCTGTATACTTCACAAAGTTCCAAGAGCTCAATTGAACGAGAAAAATCTTACATCATGTCAAGGAGTCCTGACACATTCTCAAAATATTTTTCATCAGGAGAACGAGGAACGCTCGCAGGTCTCAAAAGTTCTCGCTCAGAAATCTCAGAAACGAATTTGGTTGGTCACGATGCATATGGTGTCATAGATATTGAGATTGTGAGGCGAGGAAAGGATCTGCTTCTGAGTGTAGTCAATGTTGATGCTGGGCTGACTCACCAGCAGTTAAAGGTAGGTGACGTTGTCGAGTCGGTGAATGGAAAGAGCGTCATCAACTGGATACCAAGGGATGTCTATCCCTTGTTGTGGGGAGCCTGTGGAACGTTCGTCACCTTTGGCATTTTGCGAGCTGGTCGGCGAAACTTTGTCACTGTTGAACGCACTCCAGTCAAGTCCAGTTCTGCACTTGAAGATGTAGCATTTGCGAACAGAAAGAGTACAAGCAATTTAGATAGAAGTGGTGACAGCTATTCACACAACTTTTCCTCTCCCAACGAAATATCAGCAGAAGATCAGCACAAGAGCAAACAGGTCTGCAAGATGTCACATGCGAGATCATTGAATAGTCAGTCGTAATTTCTTGGTCTAGATGAATAACATCCCAGCCGGGACACCAGAAGCAGTTTTCAAGGAAGAACGCGAGAAAGAGTTCAGGAAGCAAGGTAGGACGTTCGTGTTATCCTGTACCAGAAAGTTTTCACGAGATATTTGAACAGATAGCTTTGATTCTTCGAATAAGACTGATCAGAATGGAGGCATATATACCGAAGCGATCTTGAGAGCCAAAATGACACAAGTCGAGGAGCTCAATGCAAAGCTAAGCATGGAAAAGGCCAAGAATGATGACCTTTTGAAGGTGATCTGCCTTCCCTGCTAAAAATTGAGTTTGAGAGCACATTCCTAGCGCTTAAAGGATGCTGAGAGGCAAATATCAGACAAGGACGAGGAGATCCGAAGGCTGAAACAGGTCTTGCCTAACTATCTCACATTGTTCGAAGTTGAACTTCCGTGCTCAAGATTTGCTCATCTGCAAACCAATCGAAAGAAGAAGAAGAGTGCGAAACAATCATCAAGTTAGAAAATGTGAACCCAACACAGATCTGTTTCTACGTGTGATTTTGCTTCTGCAGATGGTTGAAACGCTTCTCAGCCTCGGGGAACAAGAAGCAGGGCTCTTGAATATCCAGCTGAAATCTGAAAACTCAGAGCTTAAGGACATTCTGCAAATTTTGAAGGGAATAGAGTTGACGCAATACGGCTCGGGTACCTTTTGTTTTTGTGAGTTGAACAATCTAACGTACACTCAAGAAATGGCTAATTCGCTCGCGCAAAATGGCAAACCAAGGAAGACAGACGGGGATTTGCATGTGTCAAGTCAGAACAGGCACGAGAGCGAGTCTGGTCTGCTTTTCTCCCTGCATCAACGAGCATCTTCAAAAAAATGGGAGGATGAAAAGTCAGCATATCGACATGAATCAAATCATGAGCATCAATTTAGCAATGTATCCCAACACGCCAAAGTCGGAAGCTTAGAAGTCAGAAGGGAAAAGTCTCAGCTCTCAGATTCCATCTTCGCGGCGACTCAGTCGTTACGTTGTTCGTCACCAGAACTAGAGGAGTTGGCTGAAAGCTTGAGCACCACTTCATCGTTCAAACCTCCTCGCAACCAGCACACGTGGGACGAAGTGATATCTACCATTGCAAAGTCACGATCGTATGACTCCAGCGCTGCATGGGCATCATACATACACGAAGAAGCGAAGAAAAGGTCGTCATCGCGATTCAGTGACTTCTCGATGCGTTCTGCAGGTCGCACAGAATCCTCAAGAGTTCCATCTACTCAGTATTCAGTAAGGACATTCGAGACGAGTTCACTTCCGGAAGCTGTCATCTCAGACGTGGAGAAACTTCTTAAAAGGGGAAAAGCTATCGGACAAATCGTCAAGAATCACAAGCTACAGGCATACAACCTGAATGAGCTCCAGGTTGAGAACTATATCAGCTACCTGGCCTCTCTTCCCGGCCGCAAGCCACGATGGCTTGCCTACTATCGTACGAGAAAATCTTGCTCCCACGCCAACCGGCAAGATCTGGCAAGGATGGAAGACATGCAGAACTCAGACTGCAGCCCAAGCATACATGACAGCGCGTTCGAATCAACATCGAGCCTGTCTGACTTCATGTCCGATGGAAGTTACGATCACAACCTGACCTCGGAGCACGCAGATGCTTGCAAAGAAATGATGTGTACAGAAGAACAAGACACGACCAACATCCTCATCAACCTGGACAGCAAAGACCCTCAGTACGTTCAAAACTAATTCTGTGGATAGAGCACCCCACCATGAATACAACCTCACATTCCCGCATCCAAAGGAAAGTGATGCATGTGGTTTCGAGATGTATTACATTTCAAGGATCTACTAAACCATAATTCTACATTTCATTGTCAAAGAAGTAATAATCTTCTACTGCACGAGCTTTAAACCTGCCTCCTTGAGATGATGTAGATGTAATCTACATCATTCAGAATCTAAGCCATCCTATACGAACTCTCCCACAATCAAACTTGATATCATCAAGTTTGCACGATTTGCACAGGTGAGCCTAATCAGAAGTTGTACACCCTTGGCTCGATCTTCTTCAATGTGTAAACCTGTTGACAGTCATTATCTCTTGGCGTCCACGGGTCCGAGCCACATGAGCAAATAAATTTACCTGATTGCAAGTTGGGCACACAAAGGGCTCTTTTGAGGTGACAAGAAACCAGCTGAAGACATCATCAGAAAATCATGCCCAGATGTACCGTGATGCCTACCGGATTTCATTGTTGTTACGAGTATCACCGCTGGCACAGTCGCCAGGGCATCCAACAATGCGTTCGTCAAAAATAGACTCTATAACGACAGGATTCTCCTTGGTACCAAAAGGAGTAATCATCTGTCACCAAGTCATGATGTTGAAAGATGCATGCAAATGCATAAATGCATGCATACGTGCTCGTCAAAAATCTTTTCTCCATTCATTTCTGCCAACATTTCTGCTCTCTCGAGACCGGTGGCCTGATCCAGGTTGGTGGGGACTACATTGTCAAGGTTGTCCTGCTGCTTCCAAGTGGGTTCAGGGAGAGGAGCTCTGCCAGAAAAAGTCCTGACAGCGGATGCACCTGCGGGGAACCCATCAAATATGTGGAGACCAACAGAAAATTAGGTTGCACTGATCGTGGAAGTGGCGTTCGAGATGATACATGCGCGATCATGCATAGAAGGAGTAACGAATGACATGGATGCATTGAAAAATAGACAACGCATTATCAAGCCGCAATGTTTCCAACACGTATCGAAATGAAATGGACACATGTACAACGGAGGAGGAAACTGGAACACGCTGATGCAGGCATCATATTTCCAAACAATTGGAATCAAGAAATCGAGATATTTCAACTCAACATGACTCGTATTTCAAGAAGAAATCGTTCCACAGGCGAGCGATTCAAAGGAACAGACAGGGATACTGCAAACATCTCGCGGGTCGCAAGAGCATCCAACAACCCTAGAAAGGGAATCGTTGCAAACAAAGTGGGGCCAGGGATAGACGAACACAGAAGTGCATTAAACGATGAAGTGCATGCTGAATGGACTCACCAGCTGAAACGGATGGTCTGAGGATGCTGCGAGCAGTGAGCGTGAGCGTGCGGGAGAGCGCGCGAGCCGCCATGGAGGCGCGAGGAGAAGCCGCGAGTGGTTGGACCTAGGGGTAGGGTACTGTCACTCTCATGGGGTAGGGTACTACAGTGGGGTTACAGAGAGAAAGGAGGGGTACCTTACAAGAAGAGCGTCGAAGTGGGGTGTAGTGAATGCTGGGATTACATACTGGATAATGGGGGTGGGGTGGTTTTCGTTGGAGTTCAAGTGACAGTTCTATGTTTTCGTGGGTGGAGGTACAAGGCTCAAGCATGCTGAAGCACAGGGGGTGGGTAACATCCTGGACTAAGGGAAGGGTAGGGTACTTTAATGGAAGAACGGGGTATACCTCTCAGAATATGTGGGGTTGTCGCTAGAAGGAGGGGTCTATCGGGTGTTGTTGCCAATTTGATAAGGGGTGGTGAAATAGGAAGGGTGGGTGATGAAGAGTTGTGGTATTGTGAGAGTACGCACATCATAACTAAGGGGTAGGGTCCTTCAGAAGTTCTTTGTTTTTGCAAGGGGGTGGAGTAAACACCGTCACATTCTTATAAAAGTAGGGGGTCTCAAGGTAGGGGTGGTGTAGAGAGACAGATGGGTAGTGGGGAAGAAAACCAGGGTAGGGATCATTTCCAGAAAGTCCATCATTTGGAGGGTGATGAAGGTCATAATTTTTGTAAGTGGTATGAAGGAAATTTGCGATATGTGCTCCCCATTGGGAGATCCCGTTGGATCCAAGAGGAGGGGTAGCTAAGATAAGAGTGAGAGGGGTTGGTGAAGGTCAAGAAAACGATTTTAGATATTTCCAGAAACAGAATCCATCGAAAGGCGAAAAGAATTTTCTTTGATTTGGAATGAACTCCGAGTATTTGAAATGTTTTGCTGACGTGTAAAATTAAAATATATCTAAATTTGTACTGTCTGAACAAAGATCCACCCCTTTGTTGTACAGGTTAATGACATTTAAAGTTTTACAGACGAAAGCCAGTAATCCTTTGAATCATAAAATAATATTCGTTCAGTTTTAAATTGTTCTTTTTGATTACCCTACCCTGTCAGGGTTCCATCACCCCACCCTACATCTGAGACCTCCATATCTGCTGATTTCCCACACAGGTCATGCCACGACCCCACCCCTTAGTGCAAACTCTCAAACAGACGTGGATGCGTTGCCTCACCTACCCCACCCTCCCTACTTTCCTTCACCCCACCCTCCGAGGTCCCTGGCCCCACCCCACCGCTGACACGTATCGAGCTTACAACCGTTTCGAGAATAACGAGCTTAACGTCTTGTAACGACCTGTTGCAGGGAAGAGACCTTTTACAGATTTTTTTTAAATAAACCAGGGAAGATGGCAGACCACTTCACGTGTCACCACCCTAGCAACCCACCCTAGCAAACCATACCATAAAAGTACCCCACCCCAGGACTTCTGGAAATCTTCCGCCCTGAACCCACCCCCAAGACTCCGCGAATGGTGGGAAAAAAAGACTCTCATTACTACCTAGGGTAGTTTTAAAAGTGGGTCCAAGTACCCCCATCATACAGGGTGCTACGGGGGGATTGAACAGATAACCATCTCGAAAAAAAGAGAATTGTTGTCTTATTCGAGCGGCATACTTCATGGCGATGCGTATGTCGGCAGCACGGAGAGGGGGGCCATGTGGTGGAGGGCGTACGAGGAGTTGGCGAGGAGAGGGAGTAGAGAGAAGGAGAGATGATGTGTGCTCACAGGACACAGATCAGTCTTGACAACTGGAACTCTGAATTGATTGTTTCACGACCAGGTTGGTTTGCACTGGGGCTCGATATCGAAAGGGACGGATCTTGTAGGAATGGCAGCGCAGGGAGACAAGTCCTCTGCAGTGAGATCCTCTGTCATTTCCTTCAAGATGTCTTCATCTCCCTTGTATCCTCTTTCATGATTGCACTCCCCTCCGCAAATTGTGTTTGAGTCCACCCTTTCTCTAATCTTGCCCTCGTGGAAATATTTCCTACTAACACTGCGCTTGAAGCTTGAAGACGATAATGCGCAGACCGCTCCTATCAAGTTCAAAATCCTCGCAGGTGTTTGTGTTGTACTGAGTGGCTGGCGTTTACTCTTCTTATAGGTCAAAGCAACTATAAGCTTGCAGAAGAAGTCGCAGCATTCCTTGGAATGCCATTGATGCAAGCAACAGTTGGAAGGTTCTCCTTACTGCATCCTATCCGAGCCAAATTTGACTTGATATTCAGGTTTTCTGACGGAGAAGTTAGCGTACAACTTAAAGAGAGCGTGAGAAACGTCCATATATTCGTGATACAGGTCTTGCGATTGGTTGCTCATTGCTATCGTAACCGAGTGCATGCTACCAGTCAACTTGCCCTCCAGTGAACGAAAATCTTGTCGAGCTCTTCTTCATGATCCGCTGCTTACGTCGCGCTTCAGCAAAAACTGTGACGGTATGTTGGTAGCGCAAGAGCGCAGGCGTTTTCATGTTTCTCAAATGTCCCATAGGCGATCATCCCGTACTTCGGATACGCTCGTCAGGTCTGCCGAAAAAGATGCCGCCTATTGTGCTTTTGACAATCGTGGTGATTGGTCAGGACCGCAAGACACAAGCTCGAGTGCCCATTTCTGCTTCCGATGTCGCCATGATGCTTGAATCTGCGGGTACAGACCGAGTTCTGGCAGTAGATTTGCATTGTGGGCAGATTCAGGTGTTTTGAACCATTTTCTTTCGATCTGTATCTCATGCACTTCACTCTCTCCAGGGATTTTTCCATCATACTCCAGTCGACAACCTCACTGCTCTCCGAGACATCGCTCCTTACTTAGTCCGAGAGGTCATCCCTAACTTCAAGGACGACCCGATCTGTATCGTTTCACCTGATGCTGGGGGTGTTGCAAGAGCCAAGCTCTTCATGGAGGCAAGTCTTTCTGTCTGCAGTGATCAGGTGTAACAAGTGCTGCAGGTGCTCGGAAAGTTGGGAGTCTGCAACTTATCACTTGCCATCACGGTGAAGCATCGCTCTTCACCTGGTGTAGTCGAAGGGATGAACGTCGTTGGGGAGATCGAGGGCAAAGTGAGTTTGCAGGAAAGAGAATGAACCTGGAAATCCCTGACAATGATGCAGCACTGTATCATCGTGGATGACATGATTGACACTGCGGGAACCCTGTGCAAAAGTGCAGATACTTTGGTGAGCATTTGAGACTTTCGTACAATGCTGTTTTTCCCTTGAATGTCTGGTTTCGCTCATCTTACACGCCATGGTATCCAGATGGAAATGGGTGCGAAGAGTGTGTTGGTGATGATCTACTTCTGGTCTCCTCATCGTTGATTTGTCTCTTCAGGCTTGCGCTACGCACGGTTTGTTCAACGGAAGCGCGTTGGAACGGATCGAGAAGAGCGTTATGTCGCACGTGATTGTTGCCGACACAATTCCTGCCAAGAAGAACGCTCCCTCTAAGATCAAGGTAGGACGAGGACGAGGACGAGGACGAGGACGAGGACGAGGGGGCCAAGAAAGTCGATTACGAGGAGGAGGGGGATAGGAAGACGAGGAAAAGGAGGAGGGGAGGAAGGAAGACGAGGAGGAGGAGGAGGGTGGGTGGGGAATGGGTGCAGGGGTAGGATAGGGGAGGATGATCCAAACAACAGACAACAAGCAGAATGCAATGAGATCGAACTTGTTCCTCTAACATGCCGCACAGATTGTCTCTTGCTCGGCCCTCCTGGCGGAGGCGATTGCGTGCATCCAATTTGGTCAGGTACAGATGATATCCCGGCTGTCTGTAGCAGGTGAATTGACAGGTGCGTGCAGAGTGTGTCGAGTCTCTTCGAGGTCAGAATGACGCCGGTTGCTCAAAGAATCTCCCTGGCAGACGTTCAGCCATGAAGGCAGAGGCCTTGCTCCCTCCCACTCGTGTGCTCGAATTTCCCAATGGTACTTCAAAGGGATTTACATTACAAGATGTTTCTGTGCACCTGATGCCTCTGAAGAAGGAGGACAGGCAGGCAGTTGCGGCCTGCTGACTCCTCGTTGGAACAAGACAAACATGAAAGATCATGCTCGCCACGCTTCTTGCAGATGTCTCAGCACAGGCATCTGCGTCTTCATCGCACTCCACCAGTCGTAGATTCCCTGCAGAAACGCAGGCATGCCGGTGATGGGAGACACGTTCTTCTATCCGCCGCTCGTCAGTGCTCAGCGCAGCAAGTGCAGTATGGGATCACCTTGCTGATCAGAGGGCTGGCGTGCACCTGCCGGTACATGAGCCGCATGTTGAGAACATCCAGCTGCCATCTCAGCGGGCGATCGCCCGGCTCCCTTGCGTCATCGTCGCTGCCGTTGGTCGCTGGCAGAGGAGAAGAGATTCCTAGAGCATCGTGCCGTAGCAAGAGCTCTTCTTCAGCATCGAGGTAACATCCCACACCATGAAGCGCCGAGCACGTGTTGAGCACCCAGTCCCTTTCCTGTCTCAACCTGGTCAGGACTCCTCATCCTCCACTCCAGTCAAACAACCCTCATCTTGGGTTTCACTTGAGGATTGTGGGCGTCAGCGTTCAAGACAATGAGCGACCAAGTCAGGATATAGACGGCATCATGAGAAACCTGAGAAACTTCAGGGAGATTTCTCGTGTCGTCTCGTCCCGTCCAACCTCCACCCTTCCCCTCTTCACACACCTCTCCCTCCCTTCCCTCTCCTCCTCTCCTCATCTTACCCAGGGTCCTCCTCTCCCCCCCTCGCTCACTTCACCCTTGGTCGGCTCGTCCAGTTCTCCTCGTGACCCTCCGTTCTGTGTCGCAAACTCTCCAGAGAAGTCCCACAGCATCATGCAGATCTTTGAGGCCCCCGTCGGCATTCTTGTCTTCAGCTCATGTCACGCGGGAAGCGAGCAGGCAACTCTTCACCTTCGCAAGGAAGACCCTCAGGGCATCCACGAGGCCTAGCCCGCGCATGTCGAAGTTGGACATGTAACACCTTGAGGAGGAAGACGAGTCATGACATGCTGTGTAGCCGATGTTTGCAAGGTTATGCAGTACCGTCTTACATGCAGAGCTAAGCTTCCGAACTCAGAGTCTTTCTTCGATTTGGTGATATACTAGACAGCAGTTCTTTCAGCTTTGCATAGCAGGCAGTGTTGACATCTCACCATCGAGATGATTTCTTTTGTCTTGTCAAGATGCTCGGCACCAACACTCTGCCGGATCCGCCAGAAGAAGAAGTTGACGATCACCTATCACATGATGTCAACCAACTTCACGACATCATCCGAACACCTTGGCTTTGTCTTCCTCCCTCCGATTTTCCCTCACAATGTCTGCAATCCACTCGTTGTAATTGTGATTGAAATCGAACTTCGCTATCCTGATCCAGATGCAAACACTTGTTACCATGCCATGAGAACGTCAGAAACATTCAAACAACCTCTCAAGTACGCCGAACGCTGTGCGTATGCTGGGGTTGTTGTTCCACTCGAGGCATCCTTGCTGGAACGCATCCTCCCCCTCGATCCTAGAGAATCTGACGAGCCATGTCGGGCATGAGATCCTCTCTCCACTCGAGAGATGAACGTCGTGCTGGTATTGAACGCTGTTCTCTAAGTTTGTACAAACATCATTCAACAACCCTTGTCCCCAAATCCGCGCGAAGATTTCTTTCCAAAGGGCATCGTTGCAAGCAGCATTCTGAATGTTCTTGTTTTTTCTGCATTGAGTCGTCAATTTGACAGGAGAGGTTGTCTGAGAACAAGCGTTACATCATGCACATCAAGTTGCTGGCGAAAGGGTCCTGGATCCTAATGAAGATTGACGACAAGATGTCCGGGGGGAGATCTTGAATCTTCGAGGCGGCAGCTTGATGCTCCATCGACACCTGTCATGATCTCTTGTGTGAGTCTGAATGCTCGCTTGCTCATCATGTTGGCATTCATTTCTTGTACTTGGCGGTGAGACTTTCTCAATCAAATTCCACTGAATTCTTCACCTGCCCCCTTCCCTCTGACTATCCTCTTGTGTCTCCAGCACTGTTCACTGACGAGTCTCCTATCTTTCAATCTCCGTCCTCTCGGTCTCCTTCCTCCTCCCCTCCCTCTCTTCCTCTTCCCCCACCCCCCCTCCTTCGCGATGTTGCCGTGCGATGCCATAGCACAAACTCTCTTCTGCCCCAGCAAAACTACTCTACCTTTTGATCAAGGAGTTTTTGCTGTCCTAGGTATCTTGTAAACATTTCCACTAGGCGGACTGGCGAACTAATCTCCAAAGAAAAATACCACGAAAATGATCGGTGGGTCTGTACAGCTTCAAATCTGGAAGAATAGAGAGGCGGAAGCCGAAAAGACTTTGAAGTACGAGAGATTTTATTGTTTGTTGCGATCACTTCTTCGACAGTTTTGCTTTCTGTGCTTTCAATTCAGCCACCTGAGCCCTGAGCTCCTTAATGCGCTGCTGCTCGTGCTCAACGGCTTTGTCAAGATCAGCCTTTCCCATCCTCTTTCCCGACTTCTTCTGCGCAGCCTTCTTGACAGCAGCAGCTTGTCTGAGCATCTTGAGCTTAGCCTGGTAGACAGCAGGGTCAAGCGGTTACAAACCCAGGGAAAGCGTTACCTCGTTTGCAGGCTTGTCAGTCATGCCGATGGAGGCATCAGGGATGAAGGCAGAGATGGGAAGAGAGCACTCGGTGGCAGACACTCTCACAGCAGACTCGAGCTTGGAGGCGAACGAGGCCACGCGGGTCTGAGCATATTGCTCGATGAGGTTCATGTCGGCATCGTCAATCTTGCCCGCAAGTCCAACGCCTTGAGCATGGAAGGCGCCCATCTGAGCCTGGTAGTAGGTCAAGATCTGCTTCACCTTCTCGCAGTCAGTGCCGTAGGTCTCGAGAGCGTTCGTCAACTGCTGCATGAGAACAACAACCGAGTCTACGAGCTCTTTGGCCTCAGCAACTGGGGCCTCCACCTCAGCAGGAGCCGGCTGGGGGGCAGCAGGAGCAGCCTGCGGCCTCGTGCCCCAGTCGAGAGGAACCTGTCCATACACATAGGGATGTACAGCCGCCTGGGCAGCTCTGGCGTACTCCATGGCAGCCTGAGCGCCAGCCTTGGCCGAGTGAGCAGAGGCGATGGCTTTCAAGCCTCCGACCATGGCAGCCTTCTCACCCTTGAGGGCTCCGTTTGCAGCAGTCGCAGCAGTGATGGCAGCGGCTCTTGCATGCTTGGCAAACCCAGTGGCAGCCTTGTCGGCTTCAGAGATGTGCTTGAGCACGTCATAAGCCTCCCTGGCGTCGGCTTCGATCTCTGATACTGCATGATCAGCAGCCGTCACATCCTGATTCATGTGCTCGACAGAGGCGATGGCAGCCTCGTGCACGGCCTGAGAATCATGGAAGATATTGTGCAGGTATCCTGAGATCGACTGGGCGGCAGTGGTCACAAAGCCGGAGTCCTGGGCCACGGCTTGAGCTGCATGGGTGTTGTAGTCCACAATCTGGCTGCTCTGTTCCAGGGCAGCTCTCATGGCGTCCTTCGCTTCTTGTGTGAGGCGGGCAGCGTCCACGATCTTGGTGGCCTGCTTCTCAGACTCGTCGGCCAGGTCTCCAACACGAGAGGCAACTTGCTGAGTGTACGAGAGCGCATGCTTGGCAGCATCTGCGGCATCACTGCTGGTTCCAGCAGCAGTAGCAGCAAGGGCAGCATCTCTCAGGCGCCTGACGTATGGAGCAGTGAAGTCAGAGTCGCCCAGGTCCTCGCTCTCGGAGCTGCTCTCCAGGTTCTTGGTCAGGGCATTGTTGCCCTCCGCTGCCTTGATCTGAGTGACGAGGTCACCTCTAGCCGCGTCAAGGCTCTTGACTTGGTTCTGAAGCTGCTTCTTGAGCGCATCAAACTCCTCATGCAGGCTGGCAACACGCTTCTTAGCCTGGTCATACTTGCGCTTGGACATCTCAATGCTGAATGAGAGGTTAGAGGTGCCTGACAAATGATGCAACACCAACCTGAGAGCCTTCTGGGCATCAGATTGCTCAAGAGAAAATGGCCCAGAGAAGGAATCAGACAACGCAACAAACCCCACAATGCAGCAGATGGCGACGGCAACAAAAACTGCCACAGCCTGACAAGTTCGGTCAAACAGGTTCAGTCGGGTGATGATGATGCTGGAAGCGTCAATTTGCACCTGGTAGTACTTGGACGCAGAGTTGCCCGATCGTACAGACTTGACAGATTGCGCGGACCCATACTGAGCCTGATAGATTCATTATTCATTTGTCTACGAAATATCGCCAAAAATTGAACCCATGAGATTCAAAGAGCTCAACATATGTGCAAGTCAGGTCAAGACGAGCGCTCTCCACAGTTGACATCAAATTTGACAAGAAACACACAAGTATGAGACACGTTCCTAACTTCTTCCTTCTTGCGCGGATGGATGAAACATACAGAGAGCTGATCCACCTCACCCAGCGGGCACAAGGAGCAAACGAGCACGATAGCACTTGCACGTTCACATCAACACAACAGCTGGTACAACTTGGTGTCTGAGGTTGAACACAATGATCTTGCATAGTCGCTCATCTCTCATCTTCTCCTCACCTGAGCGCCATGGGCGCTGATCGGCGCCTCCAGGTCCACCATCACGCGCCTCTTCGTGTCGAGATGAAGTTTTACTCAACCCCGAATCGGCAGCATACCCTCATCCCCGCTCATGAGATTACCCTCATCCCCATATTACCCTCCTTGTTGTCGGGGAGTTGAAATGCTGGTTGAAGGGATGGCGTGCCAGTGAGCGGTAGTGTGCGGAGATGATGGTGGAGGACAAGAGATGAGGGGGGGAGGAGAGGACGAGGGCGAGAGAGATGACAAGGACGAAGAAGTCTCTATGGTCCTCATATTTCACCGAGGGGGACAGGGAGGGAGGGGGCAGAGGCTAGATAGTGAACGGGGACAAAACTCAACGCAGCGCAGGCCGCTGGTTCAAATTCCTTGAGCATTCTTTGGTGAATCAGGATAGGAGATGGATCAAGAGGGCGAAGATCGCAAGCAAGTGGAAGACGAGATCATGTCTCGCTACGTTGAAGGGATGTTGCACAACTCGAAGAACCACCTGGTCGAAGCTGAGGCAAGCTTCAAGCGTGCCTACCAACTCGCCAAGGACCTTTACAAGGAAGCTCAGGAGTCGATCCGGTTTTATGAGGAAGCATGGAAGTCAGCACAAGACAAGTTGCAACAAGAAAAAGCTGCAATAGCAACAAGTGAAGTCAAACAGGTTGAGGAAAAGAAGGAAGCTGGTAGTAGTGTCCGTGATTCAACCTTGTATCATCCGACGGGAGAAGCTCGCAACCAGGCGAGAAGAAGTTCAATGCAACTTGCGATGTTTCATCGCCGATCTGCGCTAGACTCCATGTCAGAGAGGAGGAAGAACAAGGCAAGGATCGTAATTCAGAAGCTGATCAATTCTACCCTCCATTACGCTCTGTCAGAATGGCGCAAGGCCGCGAAAAGCAGCTTAAAGGCAGAAGCAAAAGATGGAGGAGGAGCTACGGATGATGGTGAGTGAGGAAGTGCTGTAAAGTAACTCTTGCTCTTGTCCTGTCTCGCTGCTTCACGGCATCGCCGAGATGATTGAGGTATCGCAGGGGTCAAGGAGGCGAATCGCAGCAACGACGACGAGAGTCTGGAGCAAAAGTTCGGGTTGGTCAAGATGACCATGGGGGAATTGAGGAGAAGAGTAGAGGCTTCGAAGCAGCGACATGAAGCCGTGAATGAGGTGGATTTACATGTCATGTTGTTTGTTGTGTCTGACAATCGTTTTCCAGGGCGGAAATGTTGTATCAAACACAAAAACTGAGTTCTTAGAAGACATGCATCTGTTTCCCATCAGCACTTTGATTCGAATGTCAGCAGAAGCAAAGCAAGCTGTGCAGGTGAGCGTAACAAGTCTCTCTATTTCCTCTGAGACATCGCCAATCCCGAGGATAACTTTGATATGCAGGAAGCAATCTCTGTCAGAGACGAGCTTGAGAATCGCTTATCAACAATAAGAGATGTATATCACGTTAGAAGGATCAAGTTTTTGAACGACGTAGAAGACGAGGAAAGAAGAAGAGATGAGAGAATCGCAAAGATCACTGAGGAGGAGGAGAGGAAGAAGAATTTCTACGTGAATGCCAAAGGTGGATATGAAAAAGCGATGAATTTGACGCAGTCAAGAGAGCATCTTGAGAAGGTGGGAAATGAAATGTCAATGATGTTTCAAAGAGATTTCTCTCGGCTCGAGCAAGAGAAAGAGAGAGTTGGCAAAGATTTCAAAGACTGGAGGACCAAGCAGGAACAGGAGATACAGCAAAAGGAGGCAGAGTTGGAAGAAACGAAGAGAAGATATGATGAAGCATCCAATGCAGCAGAGATGCAGTCTCAAAAGTCTGAGATGATTGCGCGAGCGTTGAAGTTTTCAGAAAGGATGGAGCTCGAATATGACACGGCAGCGGAGGTGGAGAAAAACTTGATTTTGAATGAGATTGAGAAGGAGATGCTATACCATGCTGGACTTGATAAGTTTGAGATAACTCGCAAGAGGCAGGAGGAGGAGGAGAGGGAAAGAGAGAGGTCTCTGACTGATCAGTACAATGCTATGATCCTGAGAAAATTTGGAACGAGCAGTAGGGCGAAGCTCAACGAGTTGAAGTCTCAATTTGAGTTTTTACACGACGGTCTTTTCAAGACGCAGTGCAGTTACGATGACGGAGATGTGAAGGAACGGGAGGAGGAGACGGCGGTGGTGTTTGCGCTTTCAAAGAGCAGTGGAGCAGGAGAGGACGAGGATGCACTGAGCATGAGGGAACTGCGGACTGAGGACCTCGTGGCTGACCTGCTGCTGACTGGAAGAGTTGGAGAGGAGGTCAGTCATGAAGCTACAGAGGGTCTGCAAGGGAAGGAAAGGATAGAGGACATGAGGAGATCTTGGCTGATCAGCATGCGGCAGCCTCTCCTGTCCGTCCTCGCTGACTTGTCGGCCACTGTGGGAGAGGGTGGAGCAGCTCAGCTGAGTGCCATGGCCGGTGAGGGATGTCGCGATTCCAAGGAGAGGATGCGTTCCTCCTGCCTGCAGCAGCTTCAGCTGGCGTGCGATGCTGCGGCTGAGAGCAGAAAGCTGATTGATGCTCTGCTGGCCGCCGGCAATCAACTCGCGGCCCACGCGTCGGAGACGCTGGGAGGAGGAGGAGGAGATGTCACAGCGTTCCTTGACGCGCTTGCGGAGGGAAAGAGAGCTAGAGATCTGTTTGCTGTTGCAGGATCGATAGGAGCCTGGCGCCTGTCGGAAAGCAGAGCAGGCGAGGCGACTTGCAAGGAGATGGAGGAGAAGGCAGAAGGAGAGATGGAGAGAAAGTTCGGCAAGGGGGTCACAACAATGAGCAAGGGGAATGCAGCTGTTTTGAACTCAGAGATGGCATCCAAGTTCTTCAGTGAGCAGCACCAACGCTTCTCCTCCTCCTCTGAGCTGAGTGTTCAAGTCCGAACAGACTTGTACGGGATGTTGAGCCAGGGGAGGTCCGACGAGGAGATCCTTCACGACAGAAAGCTGCAGGCTGCAGGAATCGTCCTCACTCGCGCGACAGTCGCGGCTGTGCGCGAGGATTGGAACGCAAAGAACGAGATGAGGAGAGCGATCCTGGGGCATCGCTCTGAAGCAGCAGCAGCAGATGGAGACAAGGGTGAGGAGGAGAGAAGGGTGGGGGAAGGGTTCGTAGGAGGGGACAGGCAGACGTGGACGCTGGTTGCCGGTCGGTGGCACTCAGTGTCGTCACGGCCTCAGCGCGGGTTGTGGTGGCGGCCCAGCGACTTCTTGCAGGTAGCGCATGTTGACTTCGAGGTCATCAGGAGATCGAGCTTGCACCAAGTCGTCGCAAGGGTCCCTCCCTCCGACAGGACCCCAGCAGACTCGCACGTGCCGTCCCATCACCGTCCAAGTGAGCACGGGAGACCCTCCCTAGTCCCAGGAGAGGAGCTGGTCCTGAGAGGCCCGGAGCAGCCCTCCTCTCCTTCATCCTCCCAGCAGGTCAGCCCCTGGATCGGAACGTCCAAGAAGAATAAAAACGCAGACGCGCCGGCTGTGGCCTACGACGCGAGCGAAGACTACCAGAAGCAGGTCAATCTCCTCCCGCACGGCGATCACCTCAACGTCTCCAGCAAGCCTCGATCGCGATGGAACTCTTCCTCCTTCTCTGACGGGACTGCAGGCCCGATGGTGAGGAGGAGGAGGAGGATGCTCGAGGGTCTGACCGTCGCGTGCAGGTGCTAGAGGCTGTCAACAGAATCTCTCACGGTCGAGGAGCTGAGAACCTGCCGGGGAGGCGAAGAGACGTCGAGGTCAACATCGTCGACATGATCAGAAGCTGCTTGCTCACTCGTCATGACACCGACCGACACGTCTCACTGGTCGCCATGGACATCGACGATGAGACTTGCGAGTTTCTCTGCGACCTGGAGCACGACCTCGTGCCTCCTCTCCCATCTGAAAATCTTCATCTCCATCTCCGGTCCAATAAGATTGCAGACAGAGGGATGCTTGCGGTCTCGTTGGCTATATGGCAGGAGAGGAGCGTCTTTGGCAACCTGCGCTATCTGGATCTTCGCTCGAACATCATCGGGGACTCAAGTATGATCGTCTTTTCTCAACTTCTTGCCGTCAACAATCGCATTGCTCATCTTAACCTTGCTGACAACAAGGTGATTCTTCTGCTACCTGACCTCCTCTCGCCGACCTCTTGCTCCTTTCGTCCTTCTCCCTCCTTCTCCCTCCTGCTCTCTCCTTGACCACTCTTGATCACCTGCGTCTACTTTGCATCCTCATCAGATGTCACCTTACATAGTCTGCAGATCGGCAAGCTCGGCGTGCTTGCCTTGGCCTCGTCTCTTGGTCTGAACTCTTCACTCCTCGAGCTCGACCTCAGCTTCAACCTCATCTGCCAAGAGGACGTGGCTCCCCTTGCGGCAGTCCTCTCCTGGAACAAGAAGCTCCTGCTCCTCGTTGACCCTGACAAGGTGAGGGAGGAGGCAGGGAGAATGAGTTAGGATGGAAGGAACAAGGGAGGGATGGAGGACGAGGCGAGGAGGAGGAGTGGGGAAGTACTCAGACAGGACCTTAGACCTTGTTCAACTCGACCCTTCGGGTCCTCAAGCTCGACGGGAACTTTCTTGCCGACAAAGGGATGGCGTGCATGGCGGCCTGTATGGCAGCAAATCCGAGTACGGGGAGACCGCGAGGAGGCGGCGAGGTTGAACATGCGCGCAGGTTTGCAACGCCTCAATCTCAATGGCGTCAGTGCAGCTCGTGAGAGTTTGTCGCTGATGGCGAAGGCCATCGAACTCAGTGAGGGGACGATACGGCATGTTGAGATTGCAGACAACAACCTTTGCGATGAAGACTTCCAACCGCTCGTGCAGGTCGAGTCTGTTTGAGTTGTGCTCTAGAGTCAGTCACGCTGCTCCATCAGGCGTTGAGCTCGAAGATGAAGCAGCAAGGCGAGGCAGATGTGCAGGATCAACATCTGATGTCATACCTCAACGTTCGAGGCAACAGAGTGAATGACACAACAGCTGACACGTTGGCAAAGTTCGTTAGCAAGCTGGACAGGAGCTGAATCAAGGTTGGAGCCGCAGCATACAATGCTGAATATTATGAGATGACGGGAAAGAGAACTGAATATTGTATTCAAACTTGCAAGGGCATTCACAATCGTTTTACTTTCGTATTCCTTCCCCGCCTCTCTCATCTATTCAGCTTCAACTCCGTCCTCATGTGCATGATTTTTCCCCTCCTTTTTCCTGCCTCTTCCTAAACTTAACCAAGATGACTTCTCACTGCACTGGATGCCACAGACAGGGTTTGAGACATGAACATAATCTACAACAGGAGGGCCTTCTCAGTGCTCCTTCTTCTCCTTGCTCCTTCACGTCTTCATCCCTTACATCCTCCTCCAGTCCTCCCTCACCCTCCCACCCTTCCAAGTCTCCACCCTCATCGCCCCCTGCAGCATCCGTCCTCCCTCGCAAGACACCTTCCTGACTCTTCTACACTGATCCCACCACGTCATCGATGTAGCTCTGCATGGCGGCAGAGATACCCTTACTCTTCCTCCGTCCCTGCGTCTTCGACTTGTCATGCTGATACTTCATGTACTGCTGCATCGGCTCCATGGGATCGAGGAACTCTTTCTTTCGGAGTCCTCCTCCTCTCCCCCCCCCGCTTGTTCCACCCCCAACGTTCAAGGCTTTCAGTTCATCCTCCATGTTCTGGACTGATCGCACTTGGTCATCGAGGTCTTTCGCTGCCGTTCGCTTCCACCCTCGTCTGGTCGACATGCCCATCAAGGTCTTATCCCAGTCGTTCTGCTGTAACTTCTTGTCTCTAGCAAACATGTTTCGACTCTTGATCCTCCCGTGGGCCCCGTGAGTCGCTCTGATAGAAGCGAACAACACGATGGCACAAAAAAGGATGAGAGCAGTGGTTCCCGCGCATACGATGTTGCATCCCTTTGGTAGACCATGCATGCTCAACCTGTCGGCCAAGCTGCGAGCTTTCTTCGAGCGATACACGTCATTGTTGATGTCGTCATCATCTGCAGTGCTGACGTCAGTGAAACCGAAACAGGAGATCAAACTTGAGATTCATCAGGCAGTCCAACAAGAGGCAATGCAAGCTCGTACTGCCCTCAACCCCTGCCTCCTTAGAGTATGGAAATGAGATCGCCAGCAACTGCCTCAATCATCTCTTCCTCCCACAAGCTCCTTGCCCTCTTCATCTTGATCCTCGTCCTCGGCCTCGTCCATGTCCTCGTTCTCTCCTCGTCCATGTCCTCGCTCTCTCCTCGTGCATCTCCTCGCTCTCTCCTCGTCCATGTCCTCGTTCACCCTGGCCTCCCTCCTTCCCCTCGCTGTTGTTCTTGTCATGGTCGTGCATCACTTACCATCGCGCCACCTCACCGTCACCATGTTGACAATTTCACAGGATTTGAGAAATGCTCTGTCAAAATTGAAATCTACAATACACCAGATTGAAAGATGAGCCTACACTGCTAGCTGTGATACACGGGTACAGCACTGCCGGGCCGGGCTCGGAGCGGTCCCGAATGATGAGACGGCGCCCGGCTGTTGGCTGCACCTCTGCCAAGTTGCGACGCCGCCGGGTCCCGGCCCGGGCTTCCAGTGCCGGACTCGGGGTGATGATCAGCCAGTGACTCCGAAACTTACTAAGCTACGACTCTTGAAACCGTCACTGCGTTGGGCCGGCGCATGGAGATCCAATCAGCTCTAGAGACATGTACCGTACTACGGTAGTATCGCCGGTTCAATGTTTTACTATATGACAGACCCTTCATACTACACACCGTTGGGTTGTGACAACTAAGTTGAGGCTTCAGGCTCAGCTTGACAACGTGACAGAGGCTCGGCCCGGACTCGGCCTCCGACTGAGACATGCGGACTTCACAAAAGTGGCAGTTCTGAGGTGGACTCGCTGTTACTTTGTGTAGGTCTGTCGCTACCAGCCATGCAGGCGTTGGCGTCCATGGCAAGTGCGTCCCCTCCAAGTCCAGTGAGCTCCTGAGCTGCCGTAGAAGCGTCTTGCATGTCCAGCAACGTCGGGGACGCGGCGAGTGTCTACCATGAGCGAGCGGGTCGGGCAGTCACTCCCTTGGATCAAAGGAGAGCAATCCTGCGATCGGGAGGTAGCCTGAGAGTGAGTTTCTCAGCTCCGACGGAGCATCAGGGGAAGGAAGAGACCGCAGAAGCTGCTGCTGCCCCCACACCCCATGAGCAGCTCCTGCCCACCAACCCGTCCACTACAGGCCCTCCCGCCGCTCTCACTGCGGCACAGCAGGTTGAACCTGAGGCTGTCGCGCAACCTCTGCAGCAGGTGGAGGATCAACCGAGCCTGCTGCAGCAAATCTTTGGGAAGTTTCAGTTCGACGTGTCCGATTTCCATCGAGCAAAGGAAGCGAGAGTCGGAAGCGATGATCGTTACGTTGCCAAGGAAAAACCAACTCAGAGACATGAAACAATGGAGCAAGTGCAAGAAATCCAGAATCGACCGCAAAGAGAGGGGAAGAATGAGGAGAAGACGGGAGTGTCTGACAACGCGTTCATCCATCGACGAATGAGGTGTGTTGCAAATCGATGTCATGGAGCATGACTGCTACCTGAAGCTACATCCATCACTCCCACGATTCCTTCAATCGTCGGAAGGAGGAGAAGAACCGTCGGCAGGTCGACTTGCCCTCCTGAGATCCGAATGAAATGATTATCTGGCAGGAGAGGGAGGCAGCAGAGAAAGCAGCAGTTCAAGCAGCTTTCTTGCAGAAGAAGATTGCGGCTGATAACGCAGCAGCAAGGTTGAGTGAACATTCGTACTGATCTCTGACCTCTGACATTGTCTCAGCGTGCTGCAAGCATTCTGCCGAGCATCCACCTGGAGGGCCTTCCCGGACAAGAGAAAGATCTATTTTGAGGTGGTGGTGTACCTTGCATTCGAACAGGCTCTGTTGATCCGAAAATTCGCGCTATCATCGTTCTTGAGACGGAAGTACCAACACGATCCCTACATAAGCGAGAATGTTTTGCGATTTTTCCCGTCTGTTGGCAGAAGCAGGTTCCTCAATTGTTGCGATAGATGAGAACTCATTTGTTCCATTGTAGCCTGACGATCAATTGGAAATGCAAACAAGTGGCTCAAAAGATTGATCAACGCCTTTTCATTGAAGCACATAAATTGCTAGTTACAGCTATGTATGATCTTCAAGAGTTCGGGGTGTGAATGCTCCTGCATCTTTATCATCTTTTGACATCTTGATGGAAGGAAGCAATTGGCACTAAGGAAGAAGATCTCTTGACCATGCAATTGGTGCGGAGAGATAATGAGTTTTACGACCAAGACAATCCGTTCTGCTCTGCTCCAGGTCTCATGCTCAAACCAACATGTTTGTTTGTGATTCCAAGATCAGGATGCTCCCGCAAACCGATCCGTGTGTGCGAATGGGACAAGAAGAGTAAGATATGTGACCGGCACCAGTATCATTGTGTTTGGGATAGGTGAAAGCCCACTTCTGATCTTCGAAACATGGGATGAATGTTGGATTACAGAGACTCGCAGTCTCTTTTGTTCATGAGCCAACATAAGATGAACATCGCGTATAACAATAGGAAAGAGCATTTCTGGCTCACTATTCTCACTTCTTTGCATCAAAGGTGCGGACAAGGCTTCTGTTCTTCAGTGAATGCTTGTTGACCTCCGAGGCAGACTTGGAGCAGGAGAAAGCTGCATGATGAAGCAACTTGTCTTGTCAAAGAAGACTGGCGCCGAAAAGTAGCTCACCATTGAATCGACGCTCTTGCAATCTTATTGTATGATCAGGTATCAGGGAAACCAGTTGCACTTGATACAAACCATCCTCAACAGAGCATGGACGGTCATGGTGCCTGACGACGTGCCATCTGTCGAGGTCAAAGAACTACATCGGGATAGAAGATGTGACCCGATGACCCCGCAGGAGGCGGTGAGGACCTGCAAGGATGGGGTCAAGATCATCATCAGGGAGGGGTACTACTCTTGGACCCACCCCGTCGAAGTGAGGAAGAGAGTCGAAGTCCAAGGAGAGAAGGGTATCTGCTCGGCGAGCTTGTTGCTGTGCTCACTGCCATGTCACAGGAGTGTTTCTTCATGGACCATGGTGCTTCGATGAGGACAGCGGTCACGGGAAGTTTGACAACATCACATTCATCTCTTCTTGTGGGAAGGGCCTGCACGTCTCTGGAGGGAGGTGGCACTTCACGGACTGCGTCTTTCAAGGACATGGCGATGGATGTAGTGTAGTCTCCTGTGGGGGGAACTCAGAGGTCTTGATGGAGCAGTCGATGATTTGCGGGCTCAAGACAGAAAGAGAAGTTCTGCATCCCTTGTTCTGCATCAGCGCCTTTGATCGCAGTAGCGTGAAGATGCATGCAACAGTGATCAAAGATGCATCTGGCAGTGGGGTAAGGGTCAGCGGCAGCGCGAGAGTGGAATGTATTGACTGTCATCTACGGGATCATTCTCTCTCTGCCCTCAAGATTGATGAGGTGAGTTGTGCGATCTGCAGTGGATTAGCTTGATGATACATGCTCTCAGTGCTGTGAAGTGATGATTCAAAACTCTCTTGCTCATCATAACGGATCGTTTTTGGATGCTCATTTCAACCCTTCAATGGCCTCATACTTTGACAAAACCCTCGGAAGTTCTGTCCAACTATACGACAACATAATCTATGGAACAATGTGGGCAAGCAGACATCGCCCTGTTTACCTTCTTGGCAAGCGAGGAAGCAAGATTTCTATAGACAAAGGCGATGTTTTGCAGAAAACAAATTCTATCCTGAAGAGTTCACAATGCCTCTTGCAAGCACTCTGACCGGAAATGAACCCTTAATTTCCAATCATGTTCTCTCTAGCTCTTGGAAAGTTTTGACAGGAAGAGACTTGGCACCACAATATGTGTTGGAGCGAGAAAGGTGGTGTGAATGCGAAGGTTTGAAACAATCTGATACATCTCTTGTCTTGCAGAATTCTGAATGCAATCAAAACTTCCAACACCTAGTCTCTACTAACTAGATCACAGTTGTACTTTAAAGTTGTGTAATGATGTACATGAATCCGCATAAGCGCGCCAGTCAGGCGTAACGGGCTCCCTTGTCATCACGAGCTGACATCCATGTGTTTATTCTGGGCTGAGCATCATGACAGGACTCTGGAATCTTTGAAATCACATGTCCAGTGATCTTCCATACGAAACGACTGATTGAAATTGATTGGGCGGTTGCATTGGAGCAGGAGAAGCATGATAAAACTGATTGGAGATCATTGAAGGTCCAACGGGAATCATGTGAGGTTGCTGAACAAACACTTGAGGTTGCGCCCCCCTCGATGAGGTGTCGATGGTGGATGAGAACTCATCGCCGCCTGCATGCATTATTTTCCCTTCGGCGTAGATGCTCTGAGCTGCTCCAGCCTCAAGGAACTGACGAGCGAGGAGCAACGGCATGTGTTGCACGGATCCATCCAAGAGCACAACCTGGCATGTGGGGCCTTCAGTGGGAATTTCTGTTAAAGATTCGTTGAAGACAGGAAGACTGCCAGCCGATGACACTGGTTGCCCGCTGTAGGACCGTGATGGGTAGCCCGGCATGGACGTTGCCATGGAGCCATTTTGATTCGGCAGAGCATATCCATGTCCGTTGACATTGCCCTGGTGCAAGATTCAGAACGTCAACATGATTGATGCAGACAAATCAGTCACAGTCCCTCACCTGCTGTGGATTGCTGTTGTATCCAGTAGGGTAAGGTTGCGGATGAGGATGGGCACCTGGTCTAGCCTGTTGCGGGGGCTGCTGATAATGTCCACGCTGTGATGCCACCCGATGTCCATGGGCTGCCTGCGGATGCCTCCAATGATGATGCGTAGGAGGGGACCGAGCTCGGGCATGCGTAGGAGGGGACCGAGCTCTGGCATGGGGAGGAGGAGAGCGGGCCCTCATGTGGGGAGGAGGAGAGCGTCCTCGCACATGAGGAGGTCCTTGAATTGGATGGGCAGGGGAGCGCCCTCGAGAAGCGGCCGCCGTTCGACTCCTTGTACCAGAGGGTTGTCCAAACCCAAAGTGCGAATGATGATGCTGTAAATCAAGCGTCAGATACATTCTTTTTGAGCTGTAGAAACAAGCTGATTGCAAGCACGCCACTACACAGATACGGACACTTGGCCATAAGCGAGCCATCGTCACAAATTCACATGCGGCAACATCTCATCAGGGACATTCGATTCTTCAGACGATAAAGCTGCGGGCTGAGTCAGCAGCAGAGTGTCTGGCAATCATTGGATGCGAGGGGACTTTCATCCTAGATCGAGCGGAAGGGCACTGATAGAGGGAGGGCCACGGCAATCTGAGCAAATGATCCGAGCACAACAGACCGTACTCATAGCCGGCGTTACTTTGTACAAGGCACGCAGCATCGACAGCAACGGATCGTCATTCATCCCATCGACACCATGCAGTCAACGCGTTTCTGTCTTACCGCTCCGCGCCCTGTCCTCTGCATCGTCGGCCGCCCACGGTTCCGGTACCGGAGTAGGTCCAAACGTCATGGTACAAATTGAAAACAAAATGATACAAATATTGTAAATTTTCTACTGGCAGAACTGATCCAAAGTCAAATTTTTGTACCTCAATTTGCTCTTACAACAAGAAGTAATTTTCTTTTAGCTCACTTCTAAAACTTTGGTTGTTTGATCACTACAAAATTTTGATTTTAAAAATTATTTAAGATGCCTGGTAAAACATGCTGTAGTTTTAGAACTGTTTTTGGTCTGCAGTTAGTTTTAAAATCGCCGGATGCATTCCGGGAATTCTGATTTGTGCACTGCAGATCGAAAACAGTTCCGAGGCAAGCCTGTGAAAGTCAAGAACTTTTTAAAATCGCCGGATGCACTCCGGTAATTTGCCTCGAGGCAAGCCTGGTCCGAGGCAAGCCTGTGAAAGACAGAACTTGTTGCCGACCGATGCAGAAGTCATTAATTTTCCGAAACTTGGTTCTGACAAAATTCTTAAGTTCTAAAATATTTTGATATGAGCTATTTTACCTTCAGAAATTCACTTTTCTGGAATATATTGGACAAATACTTCCCAAAAGTTGTTCTACAAGGACACACACTGAAAGTAGTCCAATTGTCGTTCGTCCTGGGGTACTCAACTTGAGCATCAAACGAAGGACACGACACACCAGGGGTAGGCTCTGATGGCAAACCCCGGCTTCAGATTGTGATGCAGAGGTAGAGGTTGTACTGAGTGTCATAATAGCATCAGGCCTTGAAGTCAATACCCCGAAGGTCTGGATAGAGCCATTCGAGAATCCCCTTCGTTATGAGGGGTAGGGTAGTCAAAGCGTGCCCGAGGGTAGTGGTATCCGCCCTCGTTGCTAATAGGAGAGCTCCTGGAGACTACAGGGGTACATGGAGAAAGCGGTTTCGTCCCATTGGGTGGGGTGGGGTGGGGTAACTGGGTGGGTGGGTGGGTGGGCTGGATGTGTGGAGGGACATGGTGGGTGGGAGGAATAAAAGCGGGAGAAAAAATAGACCTTGAGGGGTGGGGTGGTAAGGTATTTTCCTTCAGAGGATTACTATTATCAGGGTCTCCGTGGTGAGTTTCATGTGGAAGGGGGTAGTTATAGGATTGTTGTGGGGTAGGTTGGGTCAGAGTGATGTGGGGGTGGGTAAACTATGTGGGGTAGTGGATCCTTTGGCGGGAGATCCCGCTCCTCGTCCTGCCCCTGCAGCGTTTCGTCGATCTTGGTCGCAGCGCCTGCCCCCCCCTCCCCCCTCCACAACCTCTGTTCCTCTCCCTCCTCGTTGCAGGCATACCTTGTTCTGTCCGTGATCTGACGGGGAACTGTGCGTCTAGCTCGTGTCGGTCTCATTGAGCCACAATCACAAGAATTGCCAATACCCTCGATATCCTCGGAGGTGTTCTGCTTCGTTTGATTGTGCTGTAGTGGCTAAGAGGCATCTGTGGATAAGAGAAAAATCCTATCCTCCTGAGGGGCCAGAGCGAATCGCAGTTCGGATTGATTCAAAGGTCTGAGCGAGAAAAGTGCACTCCTAAAATGTCTTTGGAAGAGAGTATTGCGAAGCAGATTGGTGATACAAAACCATTAGACGTTGAGAGGCTGTGTCTCGATCAAGCAAAATGTGGCGATAACCTCGCTGCATTGTCTCCCTACAAAAACTTGGTTTCATTATCCCTGCAAGACTGTGGAATCACTTCGTTGGAAACCTTGCCAGAACTTAGCCTTTTGACTACTCTGAAATTGGGCGATAATAGAATCAAAGGAGGTTTGGAGTTCATCACTAAATCTCCCGAACTAGAGAAGCTCTATCTTGCAGGAAACATGATACCTGATATTGAGGCGTTGAAGCCTTTGTCCAAGCTGACTAAACTGGAATGGCTTGACCTGGAAGGAAATCCTGCCAAGGAGGAAGATGGCTATTCAGCTAAGCTGTTTGATTTGATTCCGTCGTTGGTGGTCCTAGATGGAAAGGACAAGGGTGGAGAAGAACTTGATGAAGCAGATGATGATGACGAGGTGGGGAACAAAAGTCATTAAAGCTCTGTGTTGTAACCTTGTACTCACTGTTCGGATTCTTATCAGGAGGAGGAAGAGGAAGAAGAGGGAGAAGATGAGGTGAGCGACAATTGATGTAGATTCATTATTCTGATTCTTCTGACAGGACGAAGAAGTATTGAACATTTGGGATTTCCTGTAGATGTGCTAACAAATTTTTAGGGGGCGGAGGGCGAAGAGGAGGAAGAGGAGGAAGAAGACGATGAAAATGATAACTATCGCGCAATTCTTTCAGGAGACCAGGTTTACGAAGAAGACGAGGAAGATGGTGAGATTTCTTTTTTCGCTTTTAGCGGTATATGTTACCATGACGTTGTGGGTCAGACGATTTTCAACCTCCAGCTGAGGAACCTGAGGATCTTGAGATCGAAGAGGAAGAAGATGCGGATTTGGGTGAACAGACAGTGCTTGGAAAGCACGAGAGAGAAGATATCGATGATGGAGAGGACGAGCCCAACAAAAAGTGAATGCTGACAATTTTGAAGCGTTCACAATTTGGAAAATTGATCGTACATATTTAACGATGCCCACAAGACGGGAATGCTGACTTACGAGCGTTCGACTTCATGTAAATTCCGATATCGACAACAATGCTCTCTGCGGTTGAAGGCAAGGGTCTTCGACCTTTTATTGCAGGCGGCGCAGCCTCAACTGAGGGTGCCTTTCTTGAGAGCCTCGTATTGCTCCTCTATAGACAAAATTTTTCGTTTTCCAAGAGGTGCGCTGCTGCCTTGTGTCTGCAAAAGCAATTAAGTTATTGATTAATTAAAAATCGAAACAAGTTAATGATGAACCTTTGTGCCTGAATCTGATGATGCAGTGTTGAAGGTTGAAGATGGCGATCGTCCGACAAAGTTACTGCCGTATTCAACTTTAAGCGGAGGAGCATCAGGAGGAGACCATCTGCTCCTGGGAGGACCATGAAGAGTTCAGTTCAAGCATGAGATGAAATGGCAACTAAAACCTGTACACCCGAATCTCATTTGGCTTCAAGGGCGATGTTGAAGTCAATGCAGGCCGGAGAGAAGCCATCTTGTAAGGGAAGAAAAATCCAAATAACATTGGGAGAATCTCAAGGTACTCCTTGTTTTTAGTGTAAGCGACAATGAGAACGAGAAGGAGCCCAAATCTTGCTGGTGTGCTGGGATCGAACATTGTGCTTCTGTTCCCCTACGCAAAGATATCAAGCCAACTCGCACAGAGACATTTTGAATTACAGACTCTCCCAGCCTGTCTGCCGTGCGCGTGAGGAGAAATGCATACGCAAGACTTGAGACGGCGCCTGCATGGCATCATGTTGTATCGGGCAGTGATATCATCGTACCTATCACAAAGCTATTCACGGTGGACTCGGGCAAGAAAAGATTCATCATTGAAAAAATGACCGAGCTGATAAAAAATGTGTCTAGAAGAAGCTCTTCTTTTAACTCTTGGTAATTTTGCATGCTTTCTTTCTGCATGCTCTCCAGTACTTGTTGTTCTTCTGTAACGCGCTTCCCGAAACCCTCATCACCTTTCACAGGAATACCGCTTTGGCGGGCAAAGGAAGCAGCAGCAGAGTATTGCTCACTCAAACTGGGAATATCAGGCATGCTTCCTGAAGTACGGAAATCATCAAAGGCGTCGTCATATTTCTTATCAAAGTCCTTCTTCTTCGCCATAGTCCAGCTCTGCCTTGGCCGAGCTGATCTGAGAACAGGGGCCTTCATCCCCTGAACTCTTGGCCTTGGCATGAAGATGCCATTGGAAGGGACGAACGACGTCCCCCAAGTTGCTGACACCGCCTCGGCCGCCATTGCGGCTGCTACCAGGTAGAGCGACATGGTAGAGGGAACAATGGAGAGAGCCCTTGCCCGGGTGGTTCACCATCATCGGTCATAGTTTGGCCGAGGCCCGCCGTTGTAACGGTTATTGATAGATCGTTCGCGGCCAGGTTGCCTCCACTAGTACCCCTCCCCCTCCCTCCCCCCGTACATCTCCAGCCTAGCTGGAAAAGTGGAGGTAGTGGGGTGGGGATCAGGGGGTAGTAGGAGGGGGCAGTGGGGGGTGCAGGAGGGTTTCAGGCAGGGTTTCAGGAGGCTAATTGGAACCGCGGAATGTCGGAGCAGGAGGGGTCAGGGGAGTTGGGGAGAAATGGAGAGAGAAAGAGGAGCAGAGAAGAGAAGGAGGAGGAGAAAAGACTGAGAGAGGCAGAGAAGAAGAGAAAGCAATTAGAAAAGGAGGAGGAACAAAAGAAAAAAGAGGAGGAAAAGAAGAAAAAGGATGATGAGAAGGAGGAAATTAAGAGGAAAAGAGAGGAAGAAAGGAAGAAGAAAGAGGAAGAAAATAAGAGGAAAAGAGAGGAGGCAAAGAAGAAGAAAGACGAAGAAAAGGAGGAAAAGAAGAAGAATGACGAAGAAAATAAGAGGAAACGAGAGGAGGAAAAGAAGAAGAAAGAGGAAGAAAATAAGAGGAAAAGAGAGGAGGAAAAGAAGAAGAAAGAGGTAGAACAGGAGGAGAAGAAGCGAAAGGAAAAAGAAAAGAAAGAGCAAGACAAGAAACAGAAAGAAGAAAAAGCCAAGACAAAGCCAGACCAGCAACGTGAAGCCAAAAAGCGAAAATCAGATAAAGATCCGATAAAATCTGAAATGGACTTCCAAAAAGTGTACGACCTTTCAATGTCACTCTCTTCCCGATGCTCTATGACAAAAAAGAAGAACTGTGTTCTTTTCATAGGCAGAACCGGGGTGGGCAAGAGCACAATCCTCTCGGGAATGATCGGAGGGAAGTCCTCGCTGGAAATGAAGGAAGATGAAGATAGTGCAATCGTACAAGTCCACTGCAAGAAACCGATACGTAACAGTGAAGGAGAAGAAGTCTTCAGAATCGGCCACGACAGGACCTTGTCTATGACCACTTTCCCTGAAATCTTTTACCACGAGACGACCAAGACGGCTGTTTGCGATTGTCCAGGTTTTGATGACACTCGTGGGAGCGAATATGATCTTGTCAATGCGATGAGCATTGGTTCTATCCTACAGAAGGCTGCTTCCATCAAGCTAGTTGCAGTTCTACGCCACAGCAGCATCACAAGTGTGGATGGACGAGGAGGAGCTGTGAAAGACAGTCTTGTCGATGGTTTGCGAACCATCTTCTCCATTGACAAGGACGCAAAGAACAAGCAGGCGCTGCAGTCTGTCATTCCTTTGATAGTGCTGGAAAGCTCAAGTCAAGGACAAACTCCGAGCTTGACATTGAATACCGTCAAGAAGCAGTTCAAGACGATCTTGCAACCATTCTACAGAGAAGATCCAGACATTGTTGAGATGTTGACAGCAAACCTCATAGCCATCGATCTTCTAGGTGAGCCTAGCAAAGAGTCTGGGATCAGCAGGCTTGAGGATCTGAAAGAGGAGCTCTTGTCCTCTCAAAAGTCGAGGATAGATGATGCCGTCTCACTAGGAATGCCATTGACTGCAAGGCTAAAGGCACAGACAAGTAGTCTGATCGCTGTTATCAAACAAAAAGCGTTGTCTTCCTTGCGTGATTGTAAAAGTCTTGAAGCCCTTGAAGACGTTTGCAACCTTGAGCGGGAAGTGCTGAAGAAGTTGAAGAAGCTCAATGTTGGTGGAGCTTATACTGCCATGCAGACTATCTCGACGACAAAGTCTCGCTGCCGCAAGGCCATTGAAAGCAAGCTCAGACAGAAGGAAGAGGAGGCTGTGTGGAGCTTGTTTTCAAAGATCAGCGAAGAGCTTGTGCGATTGCATGACGAGCTCTCAGAAGGAACGAGCAACTTCAGCGATGCAATCCTGCAAGATGTCAAACACCAGATCACGGAAAACCAAAACATCCACGAAACCCTCAAGAACGACCTGCACCAGCAGGCCAAGACAGCTCTGGAGGACTACACGTTCTGGATGCTCGCAAGAGAGGTAGAAGAGCTTACGAAAGCAGTCAGAGATGGTGACTTGCCGAGCAAGAGGTCTGAGCTTCAATCAAAGATAGAGTCAAGCGAGATCGAGTCGCGTCTCAAGGACTTGCTCAGGAAGCATCTCGACCATGCGTGTGGCGAAGAGAAAGTGGTTTTCGATTCCATGGAGGAGCAAAAAGCTGAGATGGAGAGTTTTCGACATCTTGTTCGTAAATCAGCAACCGAGAAAGTGAAGAACAAAGACTACGACTTCAGCGCAGAGGCGAAAAAGAATCTCATGGGCAAACAGGGAAAGTCGCTTCGTCGAAGCGTGAGCTCAGAATACGTACAAAGCGAGGTGAACTTCATCCTGGAGTCTGCGGGGGTTCGTCTCCAGCAGGCGAAGAGACTCAACGACATGAGCTTCAACAGAGACCAGCTGAAGGAGAGACATGCGCTGATAGTGAAGACACATGACGCCTTGAACCGGTTTGAAAGTCAAGTGGAACAATCTGTCTCCGAAGAAACTTTCTTGAGCCCCTCATGTGAAGAGCTGAGGAGACTTGAGGAGGAGATAAAAGGGTCAGATAAGACCATGGCACTGGACTTTCTCGTTGAGGAAATCGCAAAGAAGATAGATGACGCTGAAAAATATATCAAGAGCGCAAAGCTTGACAACGACGAGAGAAGCTTGCGGGACGATCTCGATCAATGGGGTGAAAAGGTTGAAAGTGAAGCCTACTCGAACCCTGAGAAAGAAATGTCTCAGGAGCGGTCGGCAGAGAGAGAGGAGCTTGAGAGCAGGATGAAGGACTTGCGAGACAAATCGGGCAGAAAAATGCCTTTATTGGAGCTGAAGCTGAAGGCTTTCGTTGATAATTTTGCAAAGATCAGGACTTTGAAGAAGAAAGAGGAGGCAGGCAAGGAAAAGGCTTTGCTTCAAGAGAGATTGGACTCTTTCAGAGATCAAATCAAAAAGGCCAAAAAAGAATTCATCGCTCAGCGCAAGAAGAATGTGAAGGAGGAGAAGTTTGAGCTCCCAAGCACCTCGTTTCTTGACAGTCTCAGTGAGAAGATAGAGGAATGCTCAGTGTTATCGAATTCGAGAAGAAAGCAGACTGAATTGCTGGAGAAGATTCAAGAGTTTCTAGACAGTGAGGCAAAAGAGATTGAGCGCCTAAAAGACGAATCCACACCGCAACCGTCAGGTGGCATGTTTGATTGGTTCAAACAACTCTTTAGCCCAAAGAAGAAGTAGCGACGCTTTGAATCAAGTCTCAGGTATGCAATACTAGTACTTTTCTTTGAGGCTGACCCAGTAATACACCTTAACTCATCTCACATGTGAGAATAAACGTTGCAGTAGCAAGTACGAGCTCCTTCTTCTCTCTACTTGTGCTCCATTCTAAATACCCTGCGCTGCGCGTTCTGAAAGAAGTGAAATGTAGATCCAACGATCGAGCATGATAAACAAGGAAGTGACATTGCATGTGATGTCTGCAAGTCCATCAGAGCAAGGAATTAAAACTGAGCTGACAAAGGAGCCGCATACCACGCTGAGAGCACAGAACACTGGGTAGGGATCGTTTGAAGAAGTGAAGGGAGAAGTAATGAACAGACGTGGGTCATACAAACAGCTGGCGCAAATTTCTCTAGCTTGACCTCATCTTTTCCCATTGACATTCTGCACCTTGCAGGAGATAACACTGCTGATACGACAGAGTAACAAAGACTTCTCCCACTCAAAAGAGATCATCATTGCTCGTCGAGTACACAACCCCTCCCGCAAACGCTCCGTACACCTGTAACCGCAGCGTCATTCCCTCCCTCCCTCCTCCCTCCTCCTCTCCTCTCTGCCACAAGTCGATGACCTTGGAAGTCTGACTCAGATGGATCGGCTCATCCAGCGGCAGCTCTGCGTAGTCCTCCAGCTCCCCTTCAACCCAACACCCGTTACCTCCTCCTCCTCCTCTCGCCTCCTCTCCGCTCACCCGCCTCGCAGTCCGCTGGCGGCATGCGGAAGCTCTCGCTGCTCCCCACCAGCGTCCACATATGCGACGCTTCTTCCTTCCCCCGGTATGTTCCCCCGCACGTGTAGATCCACACCTGCCTCCCTCCTTCACTCCTCGCCCTCCTCCTCCTGCCTCCCCTCACCTTCACCTCGCACGCCTCCTCCAGCCCGCACCCGCTGTACAGTCCTCGCACCATCATCTGCCGCAGCTCTCTCAGCAAGCAGACGCAGCCTCCTGCAGCTCGCTGCTACGTTGCGTCGAGCTCGGAGGTCGAACATGATCCCGTACGCTCCTCCTCCCAGGGATCGAGGCCGCGTGATCAGCGTCACGAGGACCTCGTCGCTCTCCTTCCTGAAGCTGCATGGAGATGTCAGGACAAGACAGGGAAGGCAGGGAGGAGGACCGAAGGCCCTTGTTGTATCCTCTCATGTTTCCTTCACCGCCCAGGACGGAGACATGGTTGGTCAGGATGATATCCCTGCTTGAAAGTGACTGCCTCTTCCTCGCATCCTCTTCACCTTACTTCCTTTTGCTCCTCTTCTCAAGGGATGCAGGAGCTCGCATTGAAAGAGCTTCCGAACGATCGAAAGGAGATTGCGGATCCCAGCGCATGGACCTGGATGATACGGCTGCGCGAGCAGGGCGAGAATCATCGCCGTCACTTGTCCTACCATAACAACTCACCCCTCCACCTATCCCAGTCACCCTTACAGGGATACCTCTCGTCCCGGTGTATCCCTGAGAAGACGTCATCGCTGCTGCCATGACGGTGCAGCACAACCTTCTCCGCCCACAGGAGGGCCTTGTTGCGAGAACGCGGGAGGGAGGAGGCGGGAGGGCGGCGATCCCCACGAGCAGAGAGCATGGCGTCGTTGAGATACTTGGAGAGAGGATAGACGATGTGGTCTTGGGAGGCGCTTGCAACTCTGTTGACGTGCTGGTCTTGTTGCTCCCCAGCTGCTGACACCCTACAAATTCCTCTTCCTCCCTCTTCGATTCGATGTTGGGCATCGTTGGCGCAGGCAGACCCATGGGTGAGAGGAGCGCTCCTTCCTCCCTTGCATCTCTGCACAAGCTCCTCCTTGATTCTCTTTCTCTCCTCCTCCAGCAGTTCTAGCAATGAACCCGTCGATATTGCCATCTCCCTGAACTTACTTCATGTCTCACCGTGGCACCAACACTAGTCTAGCTTCCAAGTTTCACGCTCTGAGCAGGCAGGGCACAACCATCATGTTCTAGAGTGACTTGTCCCATGCTCGCTCGCTCATCGGCCGATGTCCCCGCCTGACTCCCCGGCATTCCTTCGTTCAGTGGTCAAACTCACCTGGTTTACTTACTCATCCGTCCGCCTCCGCCTCAGCCAGTGGCTTGTCACTTTCCATCAACCACCCCCATGGTTCCTCTTCAGTACCCCTGATTTTTATAGCTAAACGATGGGTAAGAAGTACCCCCCACTTGTCCCCTGATCCCCGATATCGCAATGGCATCGGGTGAGGAACTTCCCTCCTTCGGTCCATGCTTGCTGCCTTCGCTTCCATGGCACATCATCATGATCTTTTCCCTCATGGTCATCCTCTCCTGCACCCAACACCTTCATCTCTTCTTCGCTGCTTCCACCTCTCAGAGCATCCTCGCTGACATGGTCTTGTTAGCTGGGAAGACGTTCACGCATGTTTGAAGCAGCCTGTCTTCCTTTTGACGAGAGATTTGTTTACAGCAGGAATCACGGCTCAAGAACTCAGTGTTGAGGAGCACATGATGACAAGGAAACTACAAGAGCATTGAACGACTGGATTCATGGCCTCCCGAGATATCAGTGACACAACGGACTGTTCGCAAGTACCATGAACAACTGAACTCAATATGAACGGAAAGAAACATCCCGACACCATTCATAGTCCCAACAAGCGCGCAAGACGAGGATACCAGTCAGATGCCAGCTTTAGACCTGCAATCGCCTGCGTCGGGATCGATTTTGGAACTTCAAGAACTGGGTTTGCTTACGCTTTCATGGACAGACAAGGTATATGACAAGAAACAAGTTGTTCCTGCACATCTGTGAGTTATTGTCTCTCCTGCAGACGAGATCTTCTGTCGAGAACCGGGAGGTCAGGAGCCTGGCAAGACTCTGACCAACCTTCTCTTGACCAGAGATGAAGAGTTCATAGCCTTCGGATCACGAGCGAGGGAGGAATACTACGAAGGAGACCCTTCCGCTCTCTTCTTTGAGAACTTCAAGATGCTGCTCAACGAGGTCGATGGAGGATCCTACCCTGTAGTCTCCGCTCTCAACGGCAGGGAGGCGTCGCTACGGACCGTCCTCGCTCACTCGTTGAAGTATGTCAAGGACGAGGCCATGGCTACCTTGAACCGTTGCAGCGCGGTCGAGATCAAGGCCGACCAAGTCAAGTGGGTAGTGACAGTTCCTGCCATCTGGTCCGACTGCGCCAAGGTGACCTTAGGTGGCTCTCATGTGCTGTGGGCTGATGCTGCTGATTCAGGCGATGATGCGGAAAGCTGCTCTAGATGCAGCGCTGATCAAGGAGGAGACGTCGCAACTGCTGCAGCTGGCGCTGGAGCCGGAGGCTGCCTGTATGGTGTGCGAGAGAGAGAATGTCTGCCTGAGAGCCGGGGATCAGTTCATGGTGGTGGACTGTGGAGGGGGAACGATCGATATAACCATGTCGTGCGTTCATTCATGCAACCCTCTCAGTCTTGACGAGCTGGCGGCTCCGTCCGGCGGGCCCTGGGGCTCTACATACGTGGACAGGGAGTTTGAGAAGTTTATCTTGGAGCTGTTGGGAGAGCAAGCGTTCAACTGCTCCAAGGAGTCTGTTGTTTGGATCGAAGTCTTGCGTACGTGGGAGGCAGTGAAGAACTCCTTCGATCCCAAGGGGCTGGCTAAAGTTGCTTTCTCCAACCTCAACGGAGGTGTTCAGGGCGGGATGAGCATGGGGACTGGCGAGGGAGCGAGTGGGAGGAGCGGGGGAAGGGTGATCAACCTGGCCCCCCTCCTTGTGCTCAATAACCTTCAGCTAGAACCTCTAGTTCAGGCCTTCAATCAGAAGCATCCTGACAAGCCTCTGCAGATCCGGATGATGACTGCCGTCATGTTGCCAAACGAGCTCATCATGAGCTTCTTTGCCCCCGTGCTCAGAAACATCACACGCCACATATCCAGGCTCATCTCCTCCCATCGCATCGACTACATCTTCGTCGTCGGCGGGTTCGCGGAGTCGAAAGTGCTGCAGGAAAACTTGAAGTTCAACTTCGAGGCTTGCGATAGGAGAATCGTCGTGCCAACTCGACCAAGTCTGGCGGGTAAAGCCCGGCCTGTCTGCTAGCGCGCCGCTCACTCAATCGCATCTTGTCTTCTCGATGTTGTTTGCCGACAGTGTCTGCCGATGATGTTTGGTCATGGTTGTCGATCATGTTGCCACGTATGTTGTATCGAACAAGGCTTGCTCATGGTGTGTGATGATTTTGTCCAACCATGTCAAATACAGATGTAGTGTCGCACACTGACCTTCTCGGACACATGGCTGACTGACGTTGTTCTCCTCAGTTGTGAGAGGAGCTGTGATGTTCCAACTCTCACAGGGAGAGCGCTTCCGCAGCAGGATCGCTCGCTTCACCTACGGGTGTGACATCCTGGAGCCCTTCGACCCCTTCGACAGGCGTCACCGGGACCGCAAGCTTCACTTCAAGACGGAGGAGGGCAAGATGGTGCCGTATGTTCGCATCTTCAACCCGCTCGTCCTCAAGGGAACGAGGATGAGTCCATCCTTTGAGGTGACTCAGGCACAGTTTGAGTCGGTCGAGGACAGTCAGGACATGTGCGACTTCGACATCCTGGCAAGCGTGGAGGAGGAGGTGCAGAACATCGAGGATGCAAAGACGATCGGGTCTGTGGGGGTGAAGCTCAAGGCAGGACAGGAGGCGGCGCTGTCGCTGTCCTTCGGCAAGACGGAGATACAGGCGACGGCGATGAACCTGACGACAGGAGAGAAGTCTCGAGCTGTCATCGACTGGGGTTTCGACTCTGTCTGAAGATGTGGAGAGCGGGAGGAGCAGACGGAGGAGAGGCGGGACAGGAGAAGGAGGAGGAGGAGGCAGGAGGAAAGATTTGGTATAGAGCATGCACCTTGCGATAAAATCTCAACAAGTGGATCCAAACTGCTGGTCAATTATCTCCAAGATCTGCCTCCTCCTCGGCCCGTTGCTAATCCCCATCCTCCTCAGACGTTCCTCGCTCATCTCCTGCTCACAGCCTCAGCGGAAAGATGGGAAGGAGGAGGGAGGGACCAAGAGCGAGCTCCCCGTCATCGAGCTCCTCTCGAACAGCAGCGCTTCCTCCGCGTGCCCGTGGCTCCTTAGCCAGTCACCTACCTGAGACACTGTCCACGCCCTGCAAGGTGTCAGTTGGAAGAGGGTGGCACTTGCTGGTAAACCAGGTACAGGTGGATGGGTACAGGTGAAGGAAGATCAGGAGGTCAATGTTGAGGAAGAGGATATGGGACGAGGACAAGGATGCGAAGGAGGAGGAGGGCAAAAGGAGAAGAAGGAGGAGGAGCAAGAGGAGAAGGAGGAGCAGGAGCAGGAGCAGGAGGAGGAGGAGGAGGAGGAGGAGGAGGAGCAAGAGTAGAAGGAGGAGCAGGAGCAGGAGCAGGAGCCGGGATGGCACCTGGGGTTCACAGAACGAGAGGGTCTGATGGCTCGGATGACATTCTGAGGAGAGACGCTTATTTCTCGTTTCATGCCGTGAAGTCGGACAAGCAGCCTGCCCGTCACCTGATAGAACGACTATGTGAGCAACAGCAGGAGGAAGCAAAGGATGCAGCAGGAAGTGAGTTGAAGGAGGAGGCGGTGTTGGTGGTGGTACCGCAGCAGCAGCAGCAGCAGCAGCAGCAGCAGCAGCAGGAACAGAAATTGAAGCATGCACCTCATCAATAGCTACAACGGTTCCATCCAGACCGTTCAGCTCCTGTTCTCGCCGAAGCCCCACCAGCTTCACTCTCCCTCCTGTCGCGTCCCACAAGTCTGGAATTCCTCTCCTCTCTCCTCCCACGTCTTTCTCTGGAGCTCTCCTCCTCCTCACGTACGTTCTCCAAAGATCTTTCACCGCCTCCCCCCACTCCGTCACCGAGTCTCTTCGCGCCGCCTCCAGAGCTCGACGACCCAGGGCGAGCAGCAGGAGCTGAGCTGGAAGGAGTTTGAGGAAAATTCCCAGCTCCCTCCTTGTGTGCCGCAGGGACAAGAAGTTCCATGGAGTCTGGACGACACTCGCGGCAATGGCGCCGGCGAGGTGACCGCAGAGGGAGACTCGAAGAGGGTCAGCAAGCTGAGAGATGATGACCTGAAGTGGTGCGAGTTAGGACCAGGTAGGTGCTGAGGAAGAAACGAGGGGGAGCAAACAAGATCATGATCGACAAACTTTGTAAGGAGAGGGAAGAAGGGAGGGAGGGAGGGAGGGAGGGAGAGGATATGGGGAAGGGAGGGAGGGAGGGAGGGAGGGAGGGAGAGGATATGGCGGAGGGTTGACCTGGAGGTACGGGGCCCAGTACGACGGGATGCAGAGTCTTGGCGAACCCCATCGCTTCTCGATGTATCTCCGCAAGTACTTGACAACCTGCAAGGGAAGGAACTAAGGAAGAGAACAAGAGGGAGGGGGGAGGGAGTACGTAGAGCCGAATCTCAGGGGGGAGGTCGCTGAGAGGGAAGCAGAACAAGGAGCCTCCTGCAAACATCTCCGTCCCGATGGCGTTCAGTGCAAAGAGGATCCCGCTGAAGCCGATGGAGACTGTTGTCAAAGAGATCTGATGCATCACCAGCCTTCTGACGACCTGATGGACGCTTGCTCGCGGCAAGAAGCCTCCGAGTTGGACCTGTCTTGTATCCTTGAAGCCCAACAGGCTCCCCACCGCATTCAAGAGGACGGTCGTCGAGACGTGCGCCAGCCCGACGCTTGGGATTAGAAGGGAGACGAGGAGAGCAAACTTGAAGGATCCTATCCTATCCTCGACCTTGTTCCCAAGAGCTGCAAGTGCGAGCATGTTAGAGACTAGATGCGCATGGTTGAGATGGAGGAAGATGCCGGTCAGAAGCCGATGTCCCTCCCTCATGGGGTACAAGAGGATCCTGTCGGGGCTGATGCCCAAACTCGCTGCGGGGTCCTTGCCGAGCAAGCCAACCTTGGCAAAGAGATAGCAAAGCACGTTGATGATGAGCAGAGCACGTGTGGTTGGCCGCAGCCTCTGCATCGCCTCCATGATAAGGTCCTGAAGCGACGGGCCGGAGCCTTCCCGTCTTGACAGCAGGTCCCTCAGCATTTGGAGGACGTCCCTTTCGTCGTTGCCGCCGCGTAGCGACATGGCGCGGGGGCTCTCGTGCACTGGAGGGGAGCGCACAGAGGTCAATTGTAGTTGGGCATGCACGTCATGAATCCGCAAGCTGGATCCTCTCACTTTCACGAGCCCCTGCACAGCAGCAGCGAGACTGAGCGCGAGGACGAGAGCAAGGGTCTTCATCATGAGAGTTGCGTGCTGTTCGGTCAGTTGCCGCTACGTGCGACGATGGGAGGCAGCGCTTGCTCTTGGCCATTCGATCATCAGCTACTTCCTATCCTCTGACGCTGCTCCATGACGAATCAGCCTTCAACCCGTTCGAGCAAGTTTCATCCTGTTCGATCCCAACTCAGACACGAGCTTTACCCATGACTCCTCTTCCTCTTGCTTCCCGTCTTCCTCCTCCCATCCTCCCTCCTCCCTCCCTCCCTCTCGCCTCTCTGTCCCTGCTCCCTGCTCCCTGCTCCCTGCTCCCTGCTCCCCCGGCCTCTTGCTCCTGACCTTCGCCATGGAACTTCGACATCGCATTTCGCCAGGTTTGTGCGGCAGCTCCCTACCTGTAAGTGTCCAATTAGAGCTGTAATAAGGCAGCAATCCCCAGCCATGGCGGCCTGCAGGAGGAAACATGTTCTGCTCGCTGCCGCGCTCTCCAGCCTCGTCATGCTCACTGCAGGCTTCATCCCTCCGTCATGCCTGCCGACAAAGTCGCTGAGAGCGTCTGCTCGCATGCTCGTGCCGCGGAAGCGCCGAGGGCGCGGGCAGGTCATGATGGCTAGAGGGGGGCTGGGTGGCTTCTTCGAGAAGTTTCTAGGGGGTGCAGGAGAGGACGAGAGCAGGAGGGAGTACGATGAGGTTCTCCGGACCCTGTCCTGTGCCGAAGGATGGGACATCAGCATGGAGATCGGATCTACCCCAGCACGGAACGCCGGGGGCACAGGATCGCTGGCGAAGAAAGACACCATGACGGTGCAGATCGGAGCATCGGTGAGGTTGGATGTGGACGAAGGGTACGATCCTCCTCAGGGTTCGGTTATCCTCACATCCGAGTCGAAGATCTTTGACGGTATAGGCTTCTGGAGCGTCCAGGAGGACACGGACGACGGGGTTCCGACAGCCATCCAGGCAAGTCTGAACAGCCCCATCGGGATCACCGTGAGCGGGGAGACCATCGTGAGCCCGGGTCAGGTGTTCCTCAACTTCAAGGTGAAGAGGGAGGAGAGGAGGGAGGGAGAGGTCTTCTACGACATGCCTAGGGGCCTGGTGACTGTCAAGGAGGACCTGAAAAGCTCCTTTCTCTTCGCCTCCTACGATGGGCTGCTAGCCGAGTTCAAGCTGATAGGAACTTGCACAGCGAGGAGGAGGACGAAGGAGGGAGTTAAGGAGGAAGAGACGAAGGAAGAAACTGAAGGATGATGTGTATCGAAGTGTTCATAGTGTTCATAATGTTATCACGGAATTCTGCTCCAGATCCCCCAGTTCAGGATTCAGAGGTTGCGGAGGGCGAGTAAAAGTCAATAGCCCTTCCCTCTCTCCATCTGCATTTCCTGCTTCCAAGAAGAAAACCTTCTCCTGGGAAGGCCATCCGGTCAGCCAGCTTGACCACCAGGAAGCTCAAAGTGTTCTCACCTCCAGGAGCATCTTTTCGACAGTCAAGGCCTCGGCCTCCTTCTTCGTATGCTCGAGCCTTGACTCAAGCTCACTGACCTGCCAGAGATCATTCTCAGTCATGCCAACATCCACTGCGATCTTACTCTTGCTAACAGCTGATGCTGTGGAAGAACAGCGCATTTCCCAAGGAGAGGTCAACGCATTACAACATCACACGCAAGATGCGATATGTTTACATTCTCGAACTCAAGTTTGGAGATTTGATTGATGCAACTGTGCAAAGAATCCTTGGTATCATGGAGCTCTTGCTCCATCGAGTATGGCACCCTTGACCGACCTCAGCCCAACGATGCGCAAGGAGTTGAAGAGACTCACTGACTGCCGGTACGGGGAGTAGAAGGGTTGCTAGACGACAGTACCCGTGCTGCGACTCCACGCAGGCTGATGAGGGAAATAGTTGTCATGCACGAGGAGGAGGAGGAGGATTAGGAGATGCAGGAGGAAGAGGAGGAGAAAGAGCAGTAGCAAGAGCAGGAAAGAGGGAGGACTCACTCTTGGATCTGCTGGAGGTATCGGATCTCTCGAAGTTTCATCCTATTGATCTCCATCTGCATCGCATCGATCCTTGAACCTTGTGAGCAGGTCAGTGAACGTGCAACGACAAAGGTTTCGATCGGCGCACTCTGTGCATGCACGATGCTGTTGTCTGCCATGACATGTCAGAGAAGAGGATGAAAGAGAAAGTTCTCTCCACCCTCCACGCGCACCTCCATGAAGCGCTTGTTCGTCGCGAGATGGTGTTTGAGCTTGATGCGGTTGGCCCAATCCCTTGTAGGCGAGGGAATGCTGATCTCTGCTGATGGGTAGAACCCCGTTGACAACCTGCCGTCCTGTATGTCTCCTGTGAGAACAAAGTTTGCAAGGAAAGACGCGAACTGTGATTTGTGAGACTTGTAGATACAAGACTTGTATTCGATCCCCAACAGTCCAGCCCTTGACAGTTTCCAACTGCTGCGAGTCAGCCACGGTCTCTTGCAGCTCGACACTGACCGTCGAGCGATAGTGCCTCCTCTCGATTCATTTTCTCCATCCAGTTCTGACCAAGAGCTGACATTCCCAAGACTTGGATATAGTTAAAGAGAACAAATGACATGTAGTCTAGTCATACCTTTCCTCACTCGGACAACATCTCACCTCAACAGTGCCAAGATCTTCTCTCCGCCATCTTCCGCTTCACCCTGGTCGATGGTTCTCTTGCTTCTCTCATCTTTCTCCTGCCTTGTTGTCCTCCGCGTTCCCCTGCTCGTTCACCATTTGCTTTGAGGATTTGACAACAGCACCCCTTCCTACTGGGTTATTACTACCCCACCCCTTGATCTCTCTTTTTTTCATAGTTGAGCTACGAGTTTCGGCTGCGACGTACTTTGTGAGGAGAGGAGAGGAGAGGAGAGGAGAGGAGAGGAGAGGAGAGGAGAGGAGAGGAGAGGAGAGGAGAGGAGAGGAGAGGAGAGGAGAGGAGGGAAGGAGAGGGGAGGGAACTAGTACTTAGATGGGACGAAAGATACGGAGCGAAAAAGCAATGTAAAACTACTGTACATATTTGTTTACATAACTGAAGCAAACTTCACAGTCCACGAAAAAACCAAGAATGTCACATGCTGAAATCAGAAAAGGCCTTCATTGCTTGTCGAGTACACAATCCCTCCCGCAAACGCCCCGAACACCTGATATTAACCATGTCAACAACAGCCATCTCCTTCCTCTTCTGGTTCCCTTTACCCCACCCATGCCCCCACTCCCCCTCCAGCTCGCTCCTCGTTGTTCTAGTCTCCCTTCCCCACCCCAACCCCTTCATCATTGCCCCTGCCATCTGAGCCTTCACCTTTGGGGTCTGACTGAAGAGGAACGGGCTCGTCACCAACGACCCCCCCAGCAGCTCCAGCCCCTCCTTCACTCGCCGTGTCTCTCCCGCCCCCTCCTTCTCCTCAGCAGTGCACGTCTCTCTTGACCCCACGCACACTCTCCCCGGCAAGACTTTCTGTCCCTCTCGCACTGCCACCCCTCGCGGCCGAGACGTCATGATGCACACGCCCTTCGTCTGCCCCTCTCCGTCAGTACAGGTATACCGGAAAGCTCTTCCTCCTCCGCCAACCCCCCCCTCTCCCTCCCCCTTTTCCCTGATCCTTCGTCCTAGTCCTCGTCCTCCCTATCGTAAGCCTCCCTCCTCGTCCTCCTCCTCGTCCTCTACTTGCTGCTCACCTCTGATGGGATCAGATGGATCGGCTCATCCAGCGGCAGCTCTGCGTAGTCCTCCAGCTCCCCTTCAACCCAACACCCGTTACCTCCTCCTCCTCCTCTCGCCTCCTCTCCGCTCACCCGCCTCGCAGTCCGCTGGCGGCATGCGGAAGCTCTCGCTGCTCCCCACCAGCGTCCACATATGCGACGCTTCTTCCTTCCCCCGGTATGATCCCCCGCACGTGTAGATCCACACCTGCCTCCCTCCTTCACTCCTCGCCCTCCTCCTCCTGCCTCCCCTCACCTTCACCTCGCACGCCTCCTCCAGCCCGCATCCGCTGTACAGTCCTCGCACCATCATCTGCCGCAGCTCTCTCAGCAAGCAGACGCAGCCTCCTGCAGCTCGCTGCTACGTTGCGTCGAGCTCGGAGGTCGAACATGATCCCGTACGCTCCTCCTCCCAGGGATCGAGGCCGCGTGATCAGCGTCACGAGGACCTCGTCGCTCTCCTTCCTCAAGCTGCATGGAGATGTCAGGACAAGACAGGGAAGGCAGGGAGGAGGACCGAAGGCCCTTGTTGTATCCTCTCATGTTTCCTTCACCGCCCAGGACGGAGACATGGTTGGTCAGGATGATATCTCTGTACGTTAAGGGTGAGGAGGGAGGAGAGAGGAGAAGCACTCTTCTACTCTTTCTTCTTTCTCTTCTCAAGGGATGCAGGAGCATTGGCGGACAACTCCATCTGACGATCGAAAGGAGATTGCGGATCCCAGCGCATGGACTTGGAGGCTACTCCTGCTGACTTTACTGCGTCCTCGACGAGTTTGATTGGAAGGGTTTTGTTGTTCCTTTTGCACAGAACGAAGAATCAGGTCATAAGGAAACAGCAATCAAGGATACCTTGCTGAATCATCCTCCAGATCAGATTGCGTTGGGTTGATCACAATCTTTTCAGCCCATAAGAATGCTTGATTGCGAGAGGTTGGAACGACAGATGTCATCCCTTTCTGACTCCTCACGGATCGAGTAGCTGCAATCATTAGCTGGCTGAGAGATTGAAATTTTGTCTCGGCATCTGCCTCCGTGTCTTTGCAGCCCCTGTTGTTGTTCTGCTCAATTATCATCTCAGAGTCGTTGAAAGAGATCTTGACTGATTTTTCTTCCAGCTCCTGATCTCTCTGTTGAGAAGTGTTCTTCTCGATTCTCTGACTCATGACTTGCTCTCTGATATTCTCTCGTCGCATCTTCAACAATTCTCGTAGCGTGTGTTGTTCAAGTGGCGGAACTTCTGATCTGTCATGTTTCCTGGATGTCATATCATCGGATACATCCATTCTGTGCGTAAAGATTTGCAGAGATTGAGGAGCGATCAAACTTGATTTGAGCTGCTGCTCATCAGTGTGAATGTCAAACTTTTCTTGTCCACTTGTCAAATCTCGTGATGAATTCTGTTGCGGCGATGCTGTAACGAGGTCGACTGAGATTGACTTAAAGGTGTTTGCAATTGGAGGAACTTTCACCCCTGTGGAACCACTAAGTGAACTTAGCAACCCTGCCGAGGACATGTCAAAAAATGTCGCTAACATCACCATGATATTCATATCATATCATATCATATCATAACATAACATATCATATCATATCATATCATATCATATCATATCATATCATATCACATCCATGTTCATATTCATTTCATTTTCATATCAACACCTTCTTCGTGTGATGTCCATCCGTCTTTCCCCTTGTCCTCTTTGTCAAGGTACATCACTTTGAACATGTCGTCAATCTCCGGCGTGTCTGGTCTGCCCCCCAACTCGTCTCTATGATCATCTGAAACTTCAGAAAGCTTTTGAGGAGCTTCAGGAATTGCCGGACAAGCGCTCTGGTGGACATCTGCCCAGGTACCGTCCGGCAGAACATACTTGTTTGTTTTCGACTTCTTTCGACCGTCATCGTTGGTTGACATTGAAATGGATTCGCGATTGATATGAACTTTCTCCACTTCCATGTCGGAATGGATGTTTCCTCCTTTGCTCTCCAGATTCTGTATCTTGTAACCAAGCTTCCACTGCAAACAAAATGTCAAATTCCTCCTCCTCCTCCTCAAACAACAACAACAACAACAACAACAACAACAACAACAACAACAACAACAACAACAACAACAACAACATCGTCATCATCATCATCATCATCATCATCATCATCAACAACAACAACAACAACAACAATTACAAATCCCGATTTTCAACTTCATCACGTCCGGAGCAGACGAGAGAGAGAAAACAAGACTAGGTACGAACTCAGCGTTCAGGCACTGACCGTGGGCTCATCGTAGATTTGCAACCTCTCTTCATCTTGTATCCTGATGATCAAAGAATCCTTCTGACCAAAGTTCATCTTCTCCGCCGGCTTGTTTCCTGCGATCCTAAAATAATCCTCCTGTACAAGAAACTTGCAGGGCACCTGCTGGAAGTGTTACAAGGCTTCCCATCTTCCTTCTTGGAGTCTCCCCTGCCAGCCCCTGTCGTCTCCTCCTCCCTCCTCCTCCTCCTCGCTTCCTCCTTCCTCCTTCCTGATCCCACTGCTCCCTGCTGCATGCTTGACCTGCTCCCTGCTCCCTGCTCCGTCCAACTCCCTGATTCATCCCTTCGGTCTGCTGCTGTCTATCCCACCTTCCTCATTCCCCCTTCCCACATCCCCTTGCCCTTCGCTTCTTCCTCCTACTCCCTCTCTGCTCTGTGCTCTTCTCCTCACCTTGGGCAAGGGATCAGGACGCGGCTCCTTGCATTCTCTGCACTGCGCGTCCTCAAGGAATTCTCCCTTCCAGCTCCACACTCTCTTTCCATGCTGATGCCAAGTACCGCACTTGCCGCAGATCCACTGATCCGCACACGTACATCCCTCCCACCATGCTGGGTGAGTCTTGCCCGTGTGAAAGGCCTCGCAATTCGCCTCCTGTAACTTGTGGAGCTGCCCCGTTCCCAGCCTGACGTGCTCCTTCATGGCCTGTACAAGTCCGCCTGTCTCATCAGCTCAGTTCACTCCCTCTCCTGCCTCCCCTCTCTAGCTCTACCATTCCACCTCTTCATGACCTCTCCCTCCCTCTACCCTCTGCCTCTCCTTCTCTGCTCTTCCGTGCTCCTAGTCTTCTACCTGATGTGGAGACGCCGATGCTATCACAGAACTTTGCGGTCGGGATGTTTCCAAATTCATCCAGCATTCGTTGTTTGCTGTACATCAGGAAGATGTTCTTAATCTTTTCCATTGAGATCTCGAATCCTATCCCATAATTTTGTCGTTAGGGTAGAACTGAGCGCCAGGGGGGGGAGCGATGTAGACAATGATAAGGAGGAGGAGAGGAGGAGGAGAGGAGGAGAGGAGGAGAGGAGGAGAGGAGGAGAGGAGGAGAGGAGGAGAGGAGGAAGTGGAGGAAGTGGAGGAAGTGGAGGAGCAGTACAAATTTCTTAAGAGTTGTCCACATGCTTCACCTATTCGGTTCAAGCCAACAAGAAGTTCCTCCTTATCCAAGGAGCCGCTGCCGTCTTCATCCATCTTAGCTGCCAGCATGTCCACGTTGAGATTGTTTTTTCCGCAGTAACGTTGCAGACTGATCAACACTTGTCTGCAAAAAAGCAAAATCAGGAACAAAGAAAGTTGAAGATTGGCAGCAGGAGCAGGAGCAGGAGCAGGAGCAGGAGCAGGAGCAGGAGCAGGAGCAGGAGCAGGAGCAGGAGCAGGAGCAGGAGATGACCTGGCTTCAATCACGTGATCTTGTTCCTTCTTTTTTTGTTCCTGCGTTGACATGTAAGAAATGAGATTCAATCAGAAACGATCGCAGAGCCTCCTTAATTTTACAGTGATCTCCTCTTGCTGAGTCATCCTTCTTCTTACTACCTTTGTTCTTCTCCTTCTCTTCCCCTTTATCTCGCTCCTCCTCTCATCTCTTTGTCTCGCATTCCCCTCCCTCCTCCTCTCACCGCCTTATAGTTCATCAGGCCCTCTACGATGGCGACAGGGTCGTGGGTCTTGTCAATCCTGAACTTGAGGTGCAACTGCAGACTCTCAACATGCTTGTCAAACTGCAGCCCAGCTGACCTCTGCTGCTCGTTTTGACTCGACGTTGCGAACCGGCCTACCCTTCCTGCTCCAACACATTCATTTCTGCAGAGAGCAGGCGACGAACCGATCGGATTGCTGGATTCGTTACTCTCTTCACCTGTCTACGAGGGCAAACCAGGCATCCTCTTCATACGCATTTTGTTGTCCTCCGCTTCCTGATCGCCCTTCCGCTGGGCCCCATTGCCACCTGTCAGTCCAATGAGGGAACAAGGACTGCAAGCGTAAGCATGCTCTGAGACAAGATGACACGTGACGCGAAGAGTTGTGTCAAGGTTGAAGTGATCATTGAACAAACACATGTCGCATATTGAACAGAAAACATGTTGTTGGCTGTTGTGGCTCACCCGGAGATCATGTAATTCCCAGTCAACCTGACGACTCCCAGCCAGTCGTCGTTCTTTCCGGCGTCCCAATCCCACACATCCATCACGACCTGATCTTCCTCTTCATCAAACTGAAGGGAGATCTCCTTGTTCCAGTATGGACACAGCGTGCTAGAGAGAAGGAGCAAGTCTCAAACAGCTCAAGAGATTGATTCTTCGCACCTCTTGCAGATCTCTGTCCGGTACGTCTTCTTGTCTTTTCGGCCGTCTCCGTCTATCTTCACTGTCACATACGGATCGGCCTGGCTGCAAGTCAGGACAAGAAACGCCATTCTTCTTTGCTCTTACCAACCCGCACATCTGACTGTCACGAAAGAAAACATCAGCCTTGGGCAAGTTGCGAGCCTCGATGATAGTCAATCTCAAGTTCCAATTCATTAGTCGACTCTTGATCCTCTTCGCCTCTTCAAGTCTGTTCTCGGACTTCATCCTCTCTTTCTCTTTCTGAAACCACATTTCACTTGACATACCATGACACATCTTTCCGTTCACCAGCTCCTTCCGTTCCTTGAAGGTGAGCCGCTTCGAGCTGAACTCGTCCTCGTCCTTCACCTCGAGGCCAGCAGACGCATACTTCCTCAGGCACTTGTGGTAAGCCTGAGGATAGCGTTTCCACAAGATGAGAGCAAGAATTAGCATCCCAAACGTGACGACCATCGGGACTGAGAGCAGGTCAAGCACTTCGATGCAGCACAGGTTTGATATGTTCAGTTCACATGTCACGTCACTTCACCATGAGACTTCACACAAACATCCTCAAACCATTGAGCATCTTCATTGCGTTGCGCATCGTCATATCATCCAGCAACTTCATAACATTTGTTCTTGCAATCTACCTCCTAGCCGAGTGAAGACCGCCATTTCGTTTACTTTGGTTGAGTTGGGATAGGAGTCCGGGGGAGTGCAGACGGCAAGAGAAGAAGTGTTGCTTGCCGGATGGCAAGTCCATCCCGGCTCTATGTTGCAAGAAGAGTCGCAACCGTCGTTGGGGCGAGTATTCCCTATCAACGATGAATGCACAGGACAGACAAAGAAAATCTCCTCTCACCGTCATCACACTGCTCTTGGTTGATTGTTGCAGCCTTGTCGTACTTGATGTTGACCGTTATCCCATCTCCACACCTCACCTGAGAGACCAAGTCCAGGGAGTTGACATACTTGATCGTGCTCTGGGGGCTGACGAGCTTGTAGGCCAAGTTGTACAACCTCCCGCGTATGAAGCTCGATGTCGAGAAGGCTATGAGAGAATGGCTCTTCTTTGAGATGTCAACACAGTCATTCTGCGGATTCCCACAAGGAGCCCCCCCACAGTCGATGGGCAGCGCAGGAAGATCAGGTGCCTGAATGCCAGTCTGTAGTACGTACTGAGAGCTGAAACACAGCAGCGAGCATTGCGATCCTGCGGGCATGGAGAATATCACAGTGACAGTCTGCTGGAAGATAGAGACAGGAATGCCATTGGCGCTAGGGTCTGCGTTAGCTGCTGGGGTCATAGTTGGGGCCGGACAAATCATGCAGCCATTGGGAAGATCAGTGCAAGGGGTCCCGTCAGGTCCCTTCGGCACGGTTGAAGTCTGGCTAGAAGCCCTACCAGTAAGGAGCAAGAGAGACAGCAGACCATAACCGATATGGACTCTTATGTAATAAAGTCTCTGCGCGTGGAACATGTTCAAAGGTTCTATCAAAGTTGCTGGCAAACTTTGATGAGTGACAGGCGAACAATGTGTTAGTCGTCACCTCAGCGATGAACAGCAGCCATTGCAGCTTCCTTCTTCACTGGCACCGTGGCCGAGGCTGCCATGGATGAGCCCGATGATGATCGGATGATCGTCGGTGCAGCAGGAGTCGTGGTAGTTCACTGTGGTTGTAGATTTTGAAAGCTGTAGTCAAAACACCGGAAGAACTTCGCCGAACCGTTGAAGAACCGACGGTTACCGTTCAACGTGACTAAAAGGGCCACCCGGCGACCGCCCCGGGCCCCCGCAAGTTCCGAAGCCAAGTTCAGTTCGGCGCAGTTTTCTTCTCAGGCTTACTGGCTGTGTGCGACCGTGAGTGGAAGCCGCTCCTCGACTCGGCGTGACTCAGGCTCGGACCGGCCCGGCCCGCCCAGGCCGCTGCAGGCTGCCGCTCAGTGGACTCCGGGCCGGACTCCTGGGCCGGCCGCCCGGCGGGTCCGAAAGTGAAACGTTTTTACTGAGTACTGAGTCGGCTGACCGGCCCGGTGCTCAGCAGGCCCGCCGGCTTACAAGTCCATTTTAAACCGCCCCCGGTGCGGTCGAGTTGAGATCCAATTGTTTTACTTAAACTGTATGAGTAAAAGGTAAAGTACGAGCACGAGCTACCCACCCTACCCCAATGTTCCAAAAGGATCCAATCATTTGTTAACCCCTCCAATTTACTGTACTAAATGGGGTATTTGTAAGATTTTATTCACCCCTACCCTCTCATTAAGAACTTTCGACAAAGTACCCCTACTTTGTTGGACATTGAGCTGGTGGCAATTGTACCCCACCCCCCATTTTCCTGCAACTGACCACCACAGTAGCCCTCAATCCTCCTGTCTCCCAGGGGTAGAATTAAGTACCCCCACCCCTACAATAAAACCTCAAATGGTGTAAAAACAACCGGTGACAATGGACACGAATCTACCCCTTCGGATCCATATGTAGAGACCACCGGTTCTTACCTACCCTACCCCTCTGGTAGACTACGGAATCCCCCCTACTTCAGCGGGGTAGCCCTGCACGTGCCCCCGCTGCGCTTGCGACGATCATGGGATTCGACGGTAAGGAAGACGCTCATGCCGGCGGTTGACGCTCGGCCCCTTGTTGTTCGATGCTCAATCTAATGAGGAATGTTGTGTTACTTCGTTCCCTCCCCCGAGATTCTTGCATCAGTCTTCTTGTGGTAGTTTGTCATGCGAATTTCGTGCTGCTTCAATGTAACTTGCAAAGGATTCTTGATTGATGATGCGGAATTGAGAAGCTTCATCCTTGTTCTTGCCTTTGTGCCAAAAATCTTGATGCCAGTACCTTGTATTTTATCTCTATGAGATCCTGATGATTATCCTGTGCGTGTAAATCACCGTGTAAAGCAAATGGTCGTATCATGGTCATGATATGTGATGCTTTTGCTGATTTCATAAAAGGCGATGTTTGCCTCTCTTTATCTGTTCTTATGCAAACGACATGATTTTCTGCAATGTTTCCTCTCTGCTTGTCGATATATTCTTTATCATTCCTGTTACACTTGTTGACGACTTTTCAGGTGGTGGAAGAGGAGGTTTTAGGGGAGGAAGAGGAGGTGGAGGAGGACGTGGAGGAGGACGTGGAGGAGGACGTGGAGGTACTACTTCATCCTACAGCTTTACAGGCTTGCTGACTCTGTCTTGAAGGTGGACCAGGAGGTCGTGGAGGAGGACGTGGGGGTGGCCGTGGGGGTGGCCGTGGTGGAGGAGGACGTGGGGGTGGCCGTGGAGGAGGACGTGGGGGTGGTCGTGGAGGACCAAAGGGCATGAAGGGAGGCTCCAAGGTGGTGATCGAGCCCCACAGACATGCTGGCATCTTTATCGCCAAGGGCAAGGAAGATGCTCTTGTGACCAGGAACATGGTCCCGGGAGAGTCTGTGTACGGCGAGAAGAGAATCTCTGTCGACGATCCTGCTGAGGAAGGAAAGAAGATCGAGTACCGTGTGTGGAACCCTTTCAGGTCCAAGATTGCCGCTGCTGTTCTTGGTGGTGTTGACAACATCTGGGTCAAACCTGGCGCCAAGGTCCTTTACCTCGGGGCTGCTTCTGGTACTTCCGTTTCCCATGTGTCGGACATTGTTGGGCCCACTGGAGTGGTGTACGCTGTTGAGTTCTCCCATCGCTCTGGTCGTGACTTGATCAACATGGCAAAGAAGAGGACCAACGTGGTTCCGATCATTGAGGATGCCCGTATGCCACTGAAGTACCGCATGCTCGTCGGAATGGTCGACGTTGTGTTCGCCGATGTTGCTCAGCCCGATCAGGCCCGTATTGTGGCTCTCAACTCCTCCTACTTCCTCAAGACTGGTGGACATTTCATCATCTCCATCAAGGCTTCTTGCGTGGACTCCACTGCTGCCCCCGAGGCCGTGTTCGCCTCCGAGGTGAGCAAGCTCAAGAAGGACAACTTCAAGCCGCAGGAGCAGGTCACTCTCGAGCCCTACGAGCGAGACCACGCCGTCGTGATTGGCTCCTACCGTGTGGCAAAGAAGAAGAAAGAATGAGAGATGGAGCATGACTCGTCGAAGCTTTGCGGCTGATCCTGCGTTTTGAGGTCGTCCTGTGTGATACATTTTGAGAACCACGGCGCTTATGCTTGGTTGAGATAACTCCTTACACTATTCCCTCCCTAGCTAGCTTATTACCACAATCCCGTGCATGTTTCTGCTATGGTCGTTTTGGGCATTGGAAGAAAGACCCATGTTTGTACTAGCTCTTTACAAAGATCCGGAATCGTGTATCATTGAATAAAGTCTTAAATGAATACGCGGCTTCCTCGCATCAAGGGCTCAATGACAACCTTCCCCTCCTCTCTTAGAACCATTCGTATCTTTATTTCAGGTCGAGATTTAAAATTTGCCCTGGCAAAAAGCAACGAGTAGTAGTAGTAGTAAAATTTGCCTGAGTTCTCGGCATGGCAAGAACGACACTAAAATGGCAAGAAAGAATAAATCGAAGAAAACTTGTGTTGTACCTCACAACTTTCCTTCGTCCCCCTCCCTCATCCTCCTCCGCTTCTCTCACTTCGTCCAACAACCGCGGGTCCTCCTCTCCCCTCATCATCTGTTTGCAACTGTCTTGGAGACAGTGCCATGTACGCTCACGTCCCATTCGAACGACTCGGCGTCAGACAAGCGGAAGAATCTCCTGCGAAGATACCAAGCGAAGATGAAGAAGAAGAGCGAGCCCCCCGAGAAAATGCTGAAAGTGATCATGAAGTGAGACCCCGCCTGTCACACGGTCAGCGCCACGTGTACAACAGCTGCCGTCTTGTCACCAAGGCATAGAGAGGAGCGTTCAAGAGCAGAACGAGAGCACTAATGCCGTTGGCTAGACCCGTGAGAAACCCAAAATTCTCGTAGCCGAACGTGCTGCCAACCCCGGCAAAGAAGAAAGAAAACAGAAACTGAAAGCGCAAGAAACCTTTCAGACGCGCAACACTTACGTGACATATAAAAGTCACCTGCCGAGCAGAAGAAAACACCACGAGAGTGAAAAACTGCAACTCCAACGACGGGACGATAGCGGCTACCTGCAGCAATCTGTGAGAAAACATTCCAAGATGTGGGAGTGCAGCTAACCTGCCACAGAAGGAAGCTTGCATTCACGAAGATCATCAAGAAGCTGAGCTGACACCTGACACGAGGGTCATGCCCACGAAAAGCTCGAGGTAAGAGTGGGAGAGGAGGGAGAGCTTGAAGAAACAAAGGAAGACTTGCTCACCGATCTTGCAGGTACCCACAGATGGGTGTCGTGATGAACCCGAGAGGATAGATGATTCCAAATAGCGTCAGCCAGTCCTTCCCTCGCGTCTTCGGCTCTCCGCTGCACTGAGGAACACACTCCGCGCATTTCCCAGCACATCCACATGACCAGCACTCGAGCTGGTCCCCTACTGCCGTTAAATAATAGGTGCTTGTGAGAAGTTGAAAGATGAAGAAGAGGAGCAGCCCAATCCACTCCGGCGTCATCACTTGACGTGAGAGCGGCAGGTACGACAGGTCCAAACACAGCTGGTTTGCGTTCTCCAGCGGCGTCTCCGGGATGACACCCAGCTCGCCCATGAGCGGCTCCAGCTGTTCCGATCCCTCGAACGCCCAGCCGTGCCATGAGCTATCGTCCCCTATAGAGCTCCGCGGGGTCAGAGTTCCATCTGACCAGTCCGTGCCCGACGAATCACGACTGTGCTGGCTCGAGTCGACTCGACTTGAACGTGCTCGTCCTCTCCGAGTGTGGGTAGAGCTGTCCTCGTACTTGACGCTGCTCGGGCAAGTCAGCTCCGCCTCCTGCCCACAGTTCCCTCACCTTCCGGGATCGAGGTCGTCAGGCGAGCAGAAGGGTTTGACGGGCCACACCGAAGAAGTGAGCACCACCATCCCGCAGGCACCAGCGTAGGCCATGAATTGGGACTTGAGGTCAAGGTCGAGCTTCTCGTGAAGGAGCCTCATGAGAGTGAAGAGGAAGCTGCAAGGACGGCGAGTCAGCAAAGAGCTATGAATTGCAGAGTGTCACCTTGAAGCTGCGAACGATCCTGTTATGGTGCTGACAACCAGCCTCTCGTTCCCAAGGAACAAGTTACTGATGTGGAAACTGGTAATCTGCAGCCCGTTCCCTCCGAAACCGATGCAGGCGAGGCCAGGAAACCACAGCATCGATTCAGGCTCAGCGTATGCGAGCATGAAAGATCCCGCGCACACAATGAATGCCGAGCTCATCCTTGCGAATTTCGTCCCCCACAGGTCCATGGCTACTCCTGCAAAAAGAGCGCCGACCGCGTTCGCCGCGCCTGCGATGCTGAAGACAAGAGCAAGCTTGCTCCTCATCGCAAGACAAGGGTAGTTGGGGTCGTTCTTGCCGCCGTTGCAGGACTCTGCAAAGACTCCCAGCTCATACAGTACAGGAAGCAAGGCCTGCCAGCCGAAGATGACGCCTCCGCAAACGATCTGTGCCAATGTCAGACTCATCAGTCATGAGCAGGGGCAGCAGAGCATGTCGCGCACGAGCAGAAAAGTATGAAGTATGGTGTGAACGTCAGACTCACTTGATGGACAAGCGTGATGATGAGGTACGATTGCTTCGACAATCGGAACTCTTGGGCGTAGTACAAACCGCCTTCGAGGGCAAAGCCTTCGGCCCCTCCTTTGTCTCTCCATGATTCATAGTCTTCCATCGGATCCACAAGGATAGGAAGAGATCAAAGACGTGTCATGCAGCACCACAGACGATCTTTACGCAGATATGCAAGGTTTGCGGCCCCGAAACGAATCCTTGGGCAGACTTGGAATATGAATAGTATATTTCCTCCTTACTCACCCTGTAGCAGGTCGGGCGACCATCACTGGAGTCGATTCCAAGTAACAATATGACAGGGCCGAATGCACCTGAGAGGCTCTTTGATCTGCAAAGCTTGTCTACGAGCAGAAATTCTGTCTGGGAGCAAGTGTGGTAGCTGACCTACAGCTGCCTGATTCTCCTGGCACAATCTGAAAGTTGCTGAGGAGAATGTCCAGTTCGAGGTCTATGCTTTCGTCCTCAGGTGTTCTGCTGGTTGCGATATTGCTCCTCCTCCCCCTCCTCCTCTGCCCCCCAGTCTCTCATTTCTTGCCGGGGTTGCCGGCCATCGATCCCTGTATCGCATTCTCGGTACGTGTCGATTCCAGCTATGTTTTGGGGAATTATTTCTAAATACTATAACAGATCATAGAAATTTTCAAATATATAAGCTTACGTTGAAACTAATTTTACCACTCAAGCATGTCATCCAATCCATCGAAAATCGTAGTCACCTTGAATCTTGTATAACCCCATAATTTTAAAGAAACCAGTTTGTACCAATCATGATTTCTATTATAAAACCTGGTACAATACACAATTTCGGTACTAAGGGTTGGTTGAATAGTACCTGCTTAAACTCTACCATTTACATTTGAAAATAATAAATTTTGTACTGTTTATTGGTACGTAGCAGTACAAGACTGAGAAAATTACCAAGAGGTTTTAAAGTCGCTACAAATGCTTAAGTGGTATTTTGATTTTATAACTATTTTGTAATAATTTAAAACATTATCCATATATTATTACTTGTATAGGTACGTAGGGATGAAATAACGATGGTAACGGAAGTGATGCCTATTATTTTTTAACTTTTACACAAAGTTGCTTCCTTCTTTTTTTTCACTTTGTGGGATATGGCGCTGTTTGACCGCCTCCGAGAAGGGGTAAAGGGGTTGACGGAGAGGAGGAGGAGAAGGAAGGGGAAGAGGAGGAAGAGAAGAACGAGCAAGGACAAGGACAAGGACAAGGACAAGGACAAGAACTACCAGACACTCCTAACGTAGACCTTGGTCGCTGATTAAAAATCATTCAAGACATTGCAGGTATTTTGTCAATGTAGTCCTTCCTTACAGAATCCAAAACATAGCAATCTAAACCATTATCTGATTATCATCTACTCTTGCATCATGCCAAAATTTGTTCTCAATAACATTGTGATTCCTATGCATAAGTGAGCTCGCTGTCACAGGTCATGCGATCGCAACCTGACACCGTCCTTCCGCCACTGCGTCGGAATTCATCGCGACCGCGGCGATGTAGTTGCATAGCGAGGTTTGAACCATCAAGACTTGATGTTCTAATGCTTACAGACAAACAAGGTGGTCGAGAACTGCATACCTTGACCAGCTTCTCCTCTCTCTTCGCACTCCTCCGAGTCATCGTGTAGGTGTGAGCGTGAGGATTCTGAGGAGAGTCTTGCAATGTTTCAACATGTTTGTTGTCTTCAGAGATAGACATAGAAAACCTCATGTATGCCGTGGGAGGATTCGAAGTATTCAAGGCATGATAAAGCATGTCCATCATGTTTGTCATCTGATCATATCGTTCCAGGGTCTCCACAACTCCTTGCTTCGAGAGGTGTGCAAGAGGCTGGAGATTTCAAGCAAATTGCCGGCAGAGAGCATCGTGAACGAAGGCGACGAGGAGAGAGGAGGACTTGTGAATGTTTCTTGTGAAGTGAATGTGGCCATGGTGCAGGCGGACACGTGGTATCTCATCATCTCCGGGGAGGCGCATATCAAGCTTCAACGAGAAGCTCTGTGAGGATGAAGCTGCTGTAAGAGAGCCCTGCTGAGACGTGCTTGCAGTTCCTGCGTCGAGATGGCGACACTGAGCGAAGGGATGGGGTGATGTCGTATATCCATGCAGCACGCAAGTTTGATCTTCAACAAGGTTCGGAGAGTTTGGGCTGATCTACGAGCAACCAAGATCTGCAAGTGTTTATGCTGGCATGGAGGGTACCGTGATGGCTAAGGTAGTTGTGTTGGACGGTGGTATGAGGTCCTTATTCTCGTGTTAGTTGTCGAGAGATGATTACTGCAAGCTGCTCAAGGTGATTTGACTCTGTCTCAAGTCTCAGAACTCACCTGCTCCATCAAGGAGCACCACAGACGACTGCTGTTTGCGACGTTCCAACAGAAGCTTGACTTCCTCTCTCAGTCGAAAGTTTTCTCAATCCTTCCAGGTGTGTACACTGTCACGGTCATAATTGTGCACTTACCAGATGATGGAAGAAAATGCTCTGATCTCCCTGTCCTACCTCTTCTTCTTCAAGTCTGTTCCTAAGGGTGAGATTTGCTACAACTCATCGCCGAGTGATGTAAGAATCGCCTCTGCTGGGTTGTTTCATCTCACAACCGCTCAGGCAGCGCTGACCTTCGTCTTCGAGGGGCAATGTTCATGTTGGTATCAGGTAGTTCTTTGTCCTCAGCAGCCTGGTCTCACTCAGGACAAGGTCGACGACATTGTTGTCAATCTCACAGTCGACAAAGGTTTCGTTTTCGGCCCCATGTGCTCGCCGGTAGCTCAACCCCCGACATGGTTTGGCTGACTGCTCGCAGAATCAGCTCCTCCGGATCAAAGCGTGCGAGGAGAGCAACGTCCAGCTGCTTGTTGCTGACTCGCTCGATGTGGCTCTGCTCAAGTATGGAGGAGACATGCTGCGCGAGCTATCGAAGCGAAGAGCAGGTGTGAGGACAAGAGGCTAGCAAGGGAGCAGGAATGAAGGGAGGGGAAGGGTGGGGGTAGACCGTTTGGAAGCAGAGGGCAGAGAGGCTGGAGAAATCAAAGTAGACCAGATTCTGCGAGCAAACTGAAGAAAGATGGAAGGAGGAGCCACTGACTGAGATGATGTTTGGTTTCAAACAGAGGAGACCAACAACCTTTTGCAGCGAGCAAGTCAAGTTGGGTTTTTGTCGAGGAGACTGAAGTTGGACAATCTGAAGACGAAAGAGATGGAGATGATTGAAGAGATCCGATCATTGTCACCGATGCTGAAGCGGAAGAATAGGAGAACAAGATCTCCTACAAAGCTGCTGCCGATGACGAAGCCGGAGCACAAGAAGGAAGTTGTCGTTCTGTTCCTCAACAGAACTTTCTCGGTACTCAATGTCTGAACATTTCTGATGATTGGTTGACTTCAGCCCGATCAGACGCTCAACATCCAGGCAGGCGATCGAAGAACGATCCGCCTGAAGGACTACATGAGGATAGAGGTCGCAAGATGCCTCCTGTAACGCGCATGTTGACAAGGTGTTGCGATGTTGATCCGTTTCTTTCAGCATCCCGCAATCATGCATCAATGTTCTCGACATCTCGGTGTTCGGTGGACAAGTGAAGGAGGCAAACCACAACTTGACTGACCTGCAGGTTCCAAGATGTCACGCAGCAAGGTCTACATCTCCATCGATTTGCAGAAAGATTCCCAGGACAGCGACGGGATTCCAAATCTCATCGCGTATCTGCTCGAGCAGATTTCAAATCTAGAGAGCCCGCTTCACAGGGCAAAGAGGTCTGTTCGAATCTCCTGCCCACCTTCCTAGCTTGACGCGAGTGTGAAGCATGCACGGGCTGTTTGCGGGGATTTACTGCCGAGACAACAAGAGCTCAAACATCCTGACAACCATCGGAACATGTTTGATCGTTGAGAGAGTCTTCGACAACCCTTTCGAGTTCGTCGAGCCTGTTGATGAGTGGGTCGTCCGGATGAACAGCCTCTGCCCGATCTCCTCAACCATATGACAAGTGCGCACCTGCTCCTCTATAGAGCATGCGCGGAGAACGCAGAGAGTCAACTCAACAGATACATGCAAGTTCAACAGATCGCCTGTTTTGTCCTGCACGTTTTTCTTCCTCACTCTTCTCGTCTCTTACAAGTTCTTTCGTGGGATAGGATAGTCTGAGTCAGCGATAGGAAAATCGGAGCCTGCCATGACAGCTTCGATCTCCTTCACCTGCAACCAGCTCTCAGGGATACTGTTCGTCTTGCAAACAATCTCCCAAACCGTGCGAGGAACGTTGGTCATCAACTCAATCCCGTCTTTTGTGACAATCACGTTGTCTTCAATACGACATCCACCGAAGTTGAACCTGCGACAACAAGCTCGTCATATCATGAACATCATACCATGTCATATCATATTCATCAGATAACGTCATGTCATGCCATGTCATGTCATGTCAATTCTTATCACGCAAGGAGCATCAAAACGATCATCTCCCAAATCGCATCAGTTGACACTTCTCAGCAACAACTTTCACATCAAATACACACATGCTCAGCAGCTTCTCTTCGCACAAGAGCTTCTTCTTCGTTTCATCCTGCACATCTCTTATCATCCTCGAGCAAGTGCTCATTCGACTCACCTTGAGGGCTGGATCGAGTAGTGCAGGAATGAAATAACATCCAGGTTCGACGGTAAGCACCATCCCCTGTAGATAACCATTCACATAATTCTCCGCCCTGCTTCTCGTCACTCTCCAACCCCACCCTCCCTTGCTCGTTCCCTGCCATTGTCCTGCTCGTATCTTCCTCGTCCTCGTTCTCGTCCTCGTCCTCGTCCTCGTCCTCTCATACCTCAAGAAGCTGTCGATTCATCCTGAGCGACTTGAATCGCTCGACACCCTTCGGGTAACCGCCGACGTCATGGGTGTCGATCCCCATGAGATGACCGAGGCCGTGAGGCATGAACAGTCCGGGGATCTGCCAGCGAGTGAGGCAGGGGAGGAAGGGACTGAATTTCCTCACCTTAGCAGCGATAATTTCTTCCATGGAACCTTTCAAGTATCCATGTTTGAGGAGCTGAAGACGGTCAGAGGAGCACACCGATACACGGCATCTCACATGTTCAGCGATCGTGTTCTCTGCCAGGTCGTGCATATCTCTCCACTCCACGCCCGGTTTCCTGCAAGCCATCAACATGCCGCGTGAACTCGACAGGCTCGTTACATGCTCTTCATCACACGCACAGTCGCATCCAACACGCCTTCGTAGATTCCCTTCTTGACTTCATCAAACTGTTGAGGTCATCGTAGCGTCATCATCAGGGCCCGTTGACATGTCAGTTGCTCACTTTTCCGCAGGCAGGGAAGGAGCATGTGATGTCGGAGGCATAACCTGGTATCCCTGCTCAGATGCGAGATGCGAATCTGCCACTGGCAAAGAGAGCTCACAGTAGTATTCGTTCCCCATGTCATTCAATATCATCTCATCTGCCATAAGCTTGCGATTGTTGGGCTGTTATGGCAGACAGGTCACAGATCAAAGGCGCACGGCTAGTTGAATGAAAAGTTGCTCACTGCTCCCGCATGGCCGTAATGAAGGACAGCTGCGTTGGCGCCACATCCGCAGATCGCAGTGTAAGAAGCCTGGTAAAGCTTCGATGAGAAGGAGAAGGAGAAGGAGATACAATCACGTGTCTCATTCCTCCATTGAAATAACAGTAGTGCAAGAAATCAGCTTCCATCTGCTCTCAAGCATCAAAAATGGAACTGGAAGCAAGTTTTTCACCTGATATTCCATCATGTCTGGTTTCACCTGTGCAGCAACAACAGTCAGCGATCAAGACGGAGAGTCATGACGACAAATCACTTTCTGCATGACTGTGATGTGCGCTTTGCTGCTGACACGATTTGCAAACTTCAAGACTTCGAGCTCGGCGCTAGTCTTCGTCACGCTGGACATGGCGAGTAAGAGAGAAGATAAGATAAACTAAGGAGCAAGAGAGCATGAGGGAGGAGGATTGAGGAGGAGACACAGAGAAAGACGGGGAAGGGGAAGAAGAAAGGAGCAAGAGAGCATGAGGGAGGAGGATTGAGGAGGAGACACAGAGAAAGACGGGGAAGGGGGAGAAGAAAGGAGCAATACCGAGCTTCGAACAGTGCAGGATGCAGGATCTCAAGGTCACAAGGGAATGCCTCAATTCCGTCAAAGTGTGCGGGTTTCCCGACAGATCTGAAACAGGGAGATGGTCAGGTGCAGGCAGTCACAAACATGAGAAGATGCGGCACTTGCTGTCTGAGTTGACGCCGTTGTAGAGATAAATCTTCGTAGGAGAACAAGAAGTGAAGAAATCCTTGATCTGATCGGTATACATGACCTGAGCTAGTTGAGAAGCCGAACTTTGTGAAAACACGTCAAAAACCTTGTCAACTTCGTACTTGACTTTGAAATCTTCTAGACTAGCAATGCTCCCCATCCAAACAGCATATTCCTGTAGAGACATCACAAACAAGACATCATACAGGGGTCTCCATATCGTCGAGGTGTACCGAAGGCAAACGGGGAACAAACAGGATACTCTCCCCCGAGTCGACCATCAATGCTCCAAAGCAGTCTGCAAACAATATCTGAGACAAGACAAAGGTCTCAAGAGGAGAAAACCGACCTGGTTCAGCGACACCGAACACGTAATGAAAGTTGGACTCCTGCAATGATACGAGTGAACGAAGAAAAATTGAAAATGAACCACTCGATGTCAAGTTAGCTTGATGCATATCAAGTGCCCAACAATGGGGATTGAAAGCCCTCCCCCAACACATGCGCTTACTTGTCGGAAAAGCTCTTCATGATCGGTATCGTCCCTTTCGAAACCTCCATCAGCACACAAACCTGACGAGATTTCGCTTTGAATACCTGCACCTCGAAACTCCTCCGGCGAGGAACGCGACGGATCCGAGAACAGCGCCAAGCTGCTTCATGTTCTTGGAGCAAAATGTCATCCTCTTCCTCTTCCTTGTCCTCTTTGTCCTCTTCGTCTTCTGCACTTCCCGTCCCCGCCTCACTCACCTTGATGACTTTGTTTCGGGTCTCCTTGTGAAGAGAACGCGGGACTGCAAGAGTGTTGCCGCCCTGCCAGTAGTGCGAGGGTCCAGGTACTGACAAAACAACAAGGATCAGGACCATGAACACACCATGAGCGGGGGATGCGGGAGGAGCAAAATGTAGAAAAAGGAGTTTTGCATGCATCTGGACAAACTTGGACCTGAGGCGGTGGGCCAACCAGCAACCATCATGGGATTCTCCATATGATACATCTTGCCGAAACTTGATCCTCAGCTCTGATGAGAATACGTCAGGACGCCATTCGTTCAAGGGGTTGGTTTCTCATATCGGGTAGTTGTTTCTTCTACAAACTCTTCCATTCAACTGATTCACCAATGCTCCACCTTCTACTCAACCGTGTGAAGGTCAGCATCACATCTACTATCATCGACCATTGGATTGATATCAGCTGTTTCCTCCATGTCGTCTCCATCTTTGTCGCCATCTCGATCGCCTCCCTCCCTCCTAACAGGACCAAACGCCCTGCAAGCGGCTGTATGGGATGGGGAGGGTAAGTTCTTCTAAATCGTAAATGCTGTCCCTCACAAAGTACTATCAACTATACTGAGGTTAGCTCGATTTAGTAATACATATAAAAGAAAGATCGAGCTGGGCATTGACCAACATGGTGACGTCAACTTGAAGGGGAAGGGGGGGAAGAGAAGGAGCAGAGGAACGGGCAGAGGCAGGGACGTATGCAGACGTACAGGTAGGAAGAAGGAGGAACAAGTGGAAGAAGTGAGAAGTGGGAGGGTGGGAGCGGGAAGAGTCAGGCCAGCAGATCAAAGGCAACGAATATCGAATGGCAGAACTGTGCAGTTGAGGAGGCAGGAAAGCAAGCACCGGGTCCTTGCAGAAGGTTGAGCAGGGAAACAATGGCATGCGATCACAGGAAGTCGCATGACCATGTGCGATGCAGGACTGTCCCCCGCCTAGTCATGGCGAGGGCGTTTCTCTTCGGCGTTGCTATTGGGTTCGCGACCTTGAGCGCATACCAGCTGTGGAACCATCGAAACTCCAGCAGCATGCGGATGAATAGACATCGATCGTCTCTTAGCAGGTGGTCCAAGATCCAAGGAAACAGGACCAAGGAAGGTCATCGTGGACACACCAGGGACTACATGGCTGTATGCGACATACAACGGCCTGAGAACTGGGTTGTGGATATGAAGTACGAGGCCTCGAGCGAGGAGTCTGATAGCGTCAAGAAGAAGCGTTTCTTCGTCAGCGTTCATGATCCTTCGATCGACACGGTGATCAGCAAAGGGATACTGGATGGAATATGGGGTCCAAAGGAGAAGTACCCCAGTGTTACAGAGATGTTCTCTATCTGCAAGTTTGCAGGGAGTAAGAAGACTGGGAGACCCTACCGTCTTGATTGCGGGAACGGCAAAGTTTTCGTGGAAGGGGGAGCTGCCATCGGAATGGTTGTTTCTATCGAACCCACTCTCTGTAAACTATGTCACTGACAAGGTGTTCACTTAGGTTAGCTTGTACATGGCTGCACGCGGCATGCGAGTCTATTCCTATGACGTGATGACAGGTGTCTTGACTTGACTTTGAGACTGATGGAGCACAGGCTGTAAAAGACAACGTAGAGCGCATCACGGAAAGCGCATGCATGAATGGTGTCCGTCATTGTACCCACGTGAACAACTCCTTCCATGCGAATGGCTGAGTTGCTGAGATGGAGAAATATGTTTGCAGAGAAGATTGAAGCATGAGAAGTTGAACAAAGGAGGCAAGATCAGCCGCAAGAGTAAGTTTCATTCTGACCTGCACGGCTCTGATGCGATTTGGAAGAGCGAAAAGAGATTTCCTCTGAATGTCGAAACTCAAGCCTTTGGGGCCACTTTTCTCCATCAAGATTCAAAGTGAAAAAAACATGATTGATGTTCGCTTTTCATTTGTGTTGATTTGATTGTATAGATCCGACAAAATCTGATTGGAGAGAGGACGGCAAACACCACAGCTGGGAAGGTATCAAACAACATAGCAACTTGCACTGTTTGTAATTTGATCTTCTATCCAGATGCACAAGCTGCAGACGCAGCCTGGGAATCTTGCAGCCATCGAACTGGGGGGTGGTGTAGTGACAACAGAGGTGTGTCCGTATGGCCTCGCAGTCCTGCGTAACGGATCTTTTCTCAGGCCTCGTTGATCACTGTCGATGAGGACGTTAAGAGCAGACAGGTGAGAGAGTGAGCTCTGAGGGTGAACCTGAGAGGCATGGCGAAGATCGAGATGCTTCACTTGTCCGGGGGATACAGCACACAAGGGTATATCTCTGTTCGTTTCTACAAGTTTCGTGAGAGAAATGTCAAAGACCATGGAGCGAGCTGAATGCCATGCGGGGGGCAAAATCCTTCTTTGAGAAGCGAAGGTGCTTTGAGGCATGGTTGGGGTTTCAATTTCTGATGTTTGTCTGGTAAGGATCAAGAATGTGCTCTTTCTCCGTTACTACGGAGAGAGCCAGGTCTGCTGCTCACTTGCTGGTTGAAACTGAGCTCACTAGATGCGCACAGGAGGGTAAAGACAAGATGGTGTGAATGAGCATTGGATGATCTTTGATGCTCGACAGGCAGATCTGACTCCATCTCATAGGCGAAGGAGATCGTCGAATTCCTGCAAGGCTACGGGTTTGAGTTCTACAACGTCGAGCAATCAAGTTGCACGACTACCGCTCCTACCTCGTTTGCGCTGAATGGATTTGATGCAGGAGAGGGAGACGGCAATACCCCTCCTAAATGGATTCCACCCAGCGAGGTAAGTGGGGCTGTGTGATGCTGGAACAACAATTGAACCTTGAAACAGGTTATGAGCTACGTGATGCAACCCCGAGACTATGGTGCACACCCCCGTATTCTTGCGTCGTTGGGGAAGTCCCATGTAAACAAAACAAGACACAACTAACTGGTGCAGTCTCTATGAAAATGACTGGAGTCCTTAGCAATAATAAAAGTAAACGAGTCGTGTAGCAGAAGACAGGACAGCTTCGCAAGATATTGTTTATTCTTCTATGAAACAGGCGCACGGGAAAATTCCACTAAAGAAGTACAGCAAGCCGCACACAAAAAAAGGAGGATAATGCAATTTACAATGCTTGTAGCACTCAATGGTCGGTGCGTCGACGAGTAGTACGCATTCTCATGCAGACGTAGTTGGCATAGTCGTGCCAGAGGGGATCTGTGCAGTACTCATCCGTGCGACTATCATTTGATCCCGTAGAGGGAACACGGCAGAGAGGAGCTTTGTCAAGATCCATGGAGGTCTTTGATTCTTCATCACACATCCTGGGGTCAGAAGCACAGGATTCATCCCCTCTGTTTCGCTTTCCATCATGCTCCTTGTCCGCAACAATGGGAGGAAGCGTGCAAAAGAACTGATCGAAGGCGTCCTTCTGGAGGGGCTTTATCGTAGTAGCGCTGCAGCTCATGGTTTCAATACGGGGAACTGAGGAAATTTTCGAAGGAAGGTTTCTCTGTGGAGGAGGAAGAAAACTTGTTCTGATCAGCGAAGAGAGCGAGTCGAGCAGGAGGTTGTGTGGGAGGGATTGATGTCAGGAACGACAGTTGTGTCCGGCTTTATTGGCACATTCCACCACCCCACCCACCCTCCGAGCTCAAAACCTCTTCAATTCCTAATCTGGGTGTTGGAGGTCAGTACCCGTTCAAGTAACACAATTTTGCACTAATCAAGTTTGGTGGGGTAGTGACCCCTACCACGACGAATGTAGCAAGCCCGCAATCTCGTGCTTCGTCATTAGCTCCTAATGACCAAACCGGACCGTTTCTATTTTGGAGCGTTCCATTTAAATAGTTTTATTCTTTGCTCCAAAGCAAGTGATTGGAGCAAAAGGATAGGATGATCGGTTGCGGATGGTTTCCGTGTCCGTCAGTACCGGTACATGTCAAAGCCATGAATATGGTAGGGTATAGTAATCAGTATCCCGGAACTTATGTGAAAAGGAGTTATTTCCATAAAACGAGATATTCGCTTACCTTTTGGATAGACTGGAGGGGTACAAGTCCATCCACCGGGTGGGTAGGGGTCCAGGTAGGGGTCCTTCCGGTCCAGTCGGACTGGTTTCTGTCAATGTCTCCCACCGAGGCTCTATAGTCAACTAGAAAAACATCACAAAAAGGCCTTATAATCAATACTTTTCAATTGTTCACGAATTTCAATGCTCATAGTCATTATCATTCAGGTGTCATAGTCAAAATCTGGTAAATCCGATACAGTGTTGTAGTCAATTGAGTCACGATGGTTCGACTGTCATGAAGGCTGGCCCCAAGAGGCTGGCCCCACCCCCTCCACCTGCCTCTTGTACCCCCCGTTTCCCATGCCTCCCTCCATGACCCCCTTTGGCCCGTTATAGATAGGGGTAACTGAGGCAAATCCAGTACAAACTTTGCAGCCCTTTAAACCCGGCGCTGGTCAGACTGTTCGGCCATGACAATCTGACATGATATGACTGGGGCAAACCGGCGGGGCCGCGCTGGTGAGGCTGGGAGGTCAAGGGTGTAAGGGTGGTACTTTTCACATATATCTGCCAATTAAGTAGAAGGGGACCTCACTGGGACTCCCGGCCCTTGAGGCTCCGAGAGAACTCCGAAACTCGGACAAAGTCAAACGGAGGCCACAGCCAGTTCCCCTTATTAGTACTTGTATGACCGTGATGCCTGTGACGTGACGCAACTTTGAGTAAAAGATGACGCCTGCAGCTGAGTCTGGCAGCACCGTTCGTCCGATCGGTCACGGCGCCGGGCCGCGCGGGCCGCGCCGAGTGCCAGACCGGGCCGGGCTGAACGTTTACTCAAAGGCTAAGTCGTCTGAACCGTTTCACCGCCGCCACGCCCGGGGCGTGACGCCCGGGGCGTGACGCTTGATCGACTGTTTTTTGCTCAAGTTAAGTTAAAAAAGACTCAGAGTACGAGCCTGACTGCGGCAATCAGGAGAGTCGAGGACCATTCAATGATTATCATGGCCCCCGCGCCATGATGCCAGCGGCTGCCGCAGTGCGGATGTCCGTCACGGCGCTGTGGCCGCCGCCGCCGGACGAAGGAATGACTCGGACGTATACGGCGGGCCGGACTCCATTACCGTACGTTTGCTAATAGCTTTACAGTCAATATCCGATTCTGTCCTTCCTGGTACTATCATTTTACCAGGCTACCGTACTGCTACTGTGGTGTGAGAGATGGGCCCGTGACAGCCTGCACCGTCAAAATTCCGACGGACTCCGCCGGGGATTCCGCACTTGCGAGGTGACACGGTATGTGACTCAAACTCTGTAGCCAGCTTGAATTTGCTTGGCGATGGTCACAAGCTGAATGTTGCTCGTTCCTTCGTAGATTGTTCCGATCTTAGAGTCGCGGTAGTACCTGGTAGAAATGATCATCGTCATTCAACTCTGGCCGACTCTCAAGCAAGGGAAGTACTTCTCAGCAGGCATGCCCTTCGTAAATCCAATACCACCTAACTGAGCGTGAGTGTCCCATGACTATGATGCTATACAACATCAGAATTACCTAGCCAATCTATGCATTGACTGGCAGTGCTTTGTGCAACTTCCGTAGCCTGCAATTAGTCAAACGATGAACACGGAAAGTAGGCACCAATCACAAATTGTACCTTCAATTTGGCCATGGCCGCTTCCATCACAAATGGAGCCTTGGCTTCTTTCAATCTTGCTGCGTTGTACACCAACACCCTACAAGTTCCAACAAGATCAATGCGTTTCCGCCTAATATATACACGAAATACTTCGCGGCTTCGATTTCCATGAGGGCCCGCGCATATTGAAATTGCATGCCCTTTAAAGATACAATTATTCATACATACTAGTCAAGAAGAATCTTGATAAAAATTGAACATAAATCATGTGAGACAGACCTGGAAATCGGCAACGGAACGTCCGAATTGTTTCCTCTCGTGCAAGTCTGCAAACTGGTTATTGAAAAAAAAGATTCGTGTTGTGGATCACATGGCAGTGTGTTCTCAAAGGCTCCCAGTGCAAGCCCCACCATCTGTGGAAATGAGATAGTTAGGTGACCGTCGCAACTGTTGATGCCACACTCTAACACACCTGAGCCCCTATTCCGATTCGTCCTTCGTTGAGAAGTTCAATAGCCATCTTGTATCCTTGTCCGCGTTTTCCAAGCATCTGGGCTGAAAATCAATGGACTCTCGCGGAATTCCACCAGGGCTACCGCATCTTTGGATACTCTGCAATTCTCCAAGGTGACCTCTGCCCAAGACTATGTTAGTACAACGAAGACAACAAAATATGGTTTCATGAGGATACCGCATGTCGATGATGCTCTGATTCCTAGTTTGTCTTCCTTCGCGCCAACTGCCTATACCACCAAGTATCGAGTCAGCACCTGGAGCGAAAATCTGCAAACCAAAATCATACTATTCCAGGGTTTGACTTGTCAACAATGAACGCAGTGATTCCCTTATGTGCCTAAATTCAAGAATCAAAATTTAAGATCAAAGTGATCAACAATGTGAATCGTGAGAACCTCTGAAAAATCAGTGTTGGCAAAAATAATGAAAATTTCGGCTTCTTTAGAATTCGATATCCAGCTTTTGGTCCCGTTCAAAACCCATTCCTGGTAGTGAATTTCAGATATGAGTGCCAGCAAAGAATGTACTTGACCTGAGATGCTTCATCCCATTCAGCTTTGGTTTTCAATGCAAATGCATCTGAGCCGCTTCCTGACTCTGACAAGCAGAAGCTGCTGAGAGCCGATTTGCATAATCTTGGGAAATATTTTTCTTTCTGTTCGGTGGTCGCATATCTGTTGAACGCTGTAATGTTGAGGGTGTTATGGATGTCCACCATGACCGCAACAGCAGGATCTACTTTGGCTATCTCTTCAATCACCACGCAAGCAGCAGTAAACCCCAGACCCACCCCTCCATACTCTACTGGAGCCTCGATCCCCATTATTCCCATCTCGAAGCAAGCAGCGATGATTTCGGGGTCCATCACTCCCTTGTCATCCATTTCTCGAACTTTAGGGCCAATAACCTCTTTTGCGAAGGCAGACACATGTTCTTTCAGAGCGAGCTCCTCCTCTGATAGTGCCGTGACTGCCGGTCGGCTTGTCGGCTCTGGGTCGTGTCTCCTGGCACAGAAAGTACGTCTAGTCTCAACTTTCAAAAGGCTTCTGTGACAAGGAAATATGCCAATCCGATGGGAAGAAGTGTGATCACAACATAGTTCAATCAAATTCAGGTTTCTCTGCGACCCAAGAAACCATGGATGAGCAACGATTGAACGATTGGTGTCGGTTTGTTGTTGATCCGAGGGGCATTTGTCCATGATTTGAGACTCATGATTGGCAGCATTGGCGAGAGATGAAGACAGGCGAGCAGAAAAGAAACCAGCTGAAAGAGTTGAGACCTTGTGAGAGGATGGAGAAAGGACAAGTCGTCGAGGGAAGGGCATGAACAAGAAATTCCGCCGCATGCTGCTCCTGCACCAGCGCACTAACAGCCACAAACCCTATAAAAAAAATGTTTTAGTTGGATTCGTGGGGTTGTACCCAACGGGGGTGCCTTTGATCCCATGTGGGTCCTTGATGTTTCCATGTTCCAAAAATAATATATGGTTTATCTTGCATTGTGTGGTCGTGCTGGTACAAATCTGCAGATTAAGAGAATAAAAAAATTGCTTATCTCATGATTATATGGTTACATTTATGGAATATTTATCGCTTGGGTTGTAAATTGTTTGGTTGGCCGGAAATAGAGGGTAAGGGTACTCAACAATGCTGAATTGAGAGGGTGGGTGGGTACTCCTTGTTGCAGGGCAATTTCGCAAGTTGCACCGTAGCGGTACACGTTGCAACTTTCAGAGTTTCAGAGTTTTAGAGTTTCAGAGTTTCAGAGTTTCAGAGTTTCAGAGTTTCAGAGTTTCAGAGTTTCAAGTGGTTGGCCCTTCGTCAGCCAAACAATGGTAAGCACCCGTTCGCAATGCAAGTGATGTGTGACATGGCTGTTTGACGGGGAACATGATCATGATTGAGAATCAAGCTCTCTTCCATGAAATTTCCGAATGTTGCTAGATTTCCTTTTGATGACTGAATCAGACCGCAAAGTCTTTGTGGAGATGGTAACTCACGAGGATTGTGATAAAGCACAATGAATAACACGGAATGGATGTCGTGATATTGTTCATGAAATGTTCAACATGTGTTCGAGTGGTGGGATTGATCTCTTCCACTCAGCTCTTTGTGGTTGCTCGCGCTCCTGCTCTCTACTACCTTCACCCCGACGTCTCCTTCTTCAAGGGGAATGGCTTCAAGCAGCTTGGGCCTTACCTTGACATGCCGGACAACTCAGCGGCTGGAGATGTAAGTTCTTGCTCCAACGCTGAAGATATGTTTCTACATGACCAAACCCTTGGAAGTCTTCCAAACTGATTAATCCTTTTCTCTTTGGCCCTACAGGTGTGGAACCCCCCTGACACTGAGTCGACTTCTGGTATCAGCTATGACAACTGCGAATCCCTTGAGGACTAATAGCTGGGACATTTTAACTTCATTCTTTACTGTACATGACAAATGAAGATAGCAAACAAGACAGAATGCATCAGGTTGGCGTTTCGGATTGGTTGAAAAGCTTAAAGATTTCAGCTCAGAATCATGTTGAGTTTTAAATTTGATCGTCGGCCTTGATTGCCTCTTCCTGCTGACATTGTGGATTTGAGCTCTGATAAGGGCAAGTCTGCCACCTGCAAATCACATGCTCAGCAGCAGCACATGGAGTACGAACAACCAACCATTTCAAAGTACGAGCGAGCTGTTTGTTGGACGCCACGAGATGTGGCTGTCTGCCTTTGCAGTCTCTCGATTTGGTGCTTGCTCCTGCTGCGACGAGAAGTTTTGCTGCATGCGGGAGGTCGAGCTCTGCACACAGATGTAAAGGAGTCTTTCTGCAGAACTCCTTGGAGGCGTGCTTGTCAACGGGTACATGCCGTGACATGAGCTGTTCTAGTATCCACGTCTGGTTCGAAATGACTGCCATATGAGCGAGTGACCAGCCGTCGCTGTTGAGGGCCTGTAATGCTGAATCCGTTGAGACGGCGATCCCAAAGTGAAGGATGGAATTCCACCATGCCTCAGGCTTCTGGAGCATTTCTCTGTCGATGCGCATCGCTCCCCTAGCAAGCCATGTTTCCTTGACGCATTCTTGCAAAGCGAGAGTGACGTTGAAGGTCTGCGACAGCAGATTGCAGGCGGAGAGCGGGTCCAACATGCTCATTTGTCTTGCTAACCATCCTTTGCTCTCAATCAGTCTTGAAGCCCGTTGCATCTCGCTGCATTGACAATAATGAGACATGCCCCAAGGGTAATTGTACTCGGGGACAATTTCTTCAGAGACTCCCGGTGATCCCGCTGACGGGGGAGAGGCGCTGGAGTCCATTCGCCACCACATGTGAGCTATGACGACCATCACAAGACAAGAAGCTGTCAGCACCTTGGAGATGAACCAACATGTGTCTCCTCGCCCATGGCGCTTCAAACCTTGGTTGGGTCCGTCCTCGTCCACTGATTTCTCATTTTTTTCCGAGGACTTGTTTTCTGCTTGCTGCCCTGCATCCTCTGTCTTGTTGACTTCACCTTCACGTCTCTCTCCCTGTCTTCCTCTCAGTTTCGGCATTCTCCCATCTTCATCGCTTCTCGGAGTACATCACCTTGTCGACTCCTCTCTCTCTCTTAGGTTTTTTTTAAAATGATTTTGACGCAAGTCAAAAAAACTAAAAAAAATCTTGACGTGCCGTTGATTGAGAGGCTGGCCGAGTCCGACGGTCACCGCCCGGCGGGTCACACGGTGGCGCTCAGTGCCGCGGGCGTGGGACTCCCCGAGCCTGACTCAGTGAGGGCCGGCGGGGGGCCGAATCGGTCTGTTACTTTGAAGCTATGATCGGATCATCAGAGGGCTAGTCTTCTTTACTCAGCTAGTAGTACTCGTGGAGACATTCAATACCGCATAGTAAAAGAATCGTAATGAATAAATATTGACTCAGCTCGGCCCCCCACGCAGGCCGCGCCGCGGTCTCCGGGCCCGACCGTACCCACTCACGCGGCCGGCCGCGCGCTGCTTCGGAGTTCCATGCTATCAGAACAAGTTTGTCATGCTCATGATGGGACCGTCCCCTCGGGCCTGCGGGAGGCTCTTCGTGCAGCAGTGCCGCAGTGCAGTCTCAGGCTCGACTCGGGAGTCTCATCCCATCCCTCCTCTCCGGACTGCGCGGCATCCACGAGTCTCCTCCCTACTCCTCCGGCTCCTCTAGCGGCTGAATCCTCGGGCTGGTCGCCATGAGCGCTCCCAGCGTCAGCTGCATACGAGTCAGTCAAGAGCGCGGCCATGAGCAAGGCTCGGGGACCACGTAGAAGCCTCCAAGGAGGGAGTACTGCCCGCGGAGAGAGTCGGCGACCTGCAAGGAAGAGACTGAGGCGAAGGAAGAAATAGTTCGCCTCCTGTCTCACTGTAACTTTGTCAAGTTTGAGCTGACGCAGGAGAAGCTTGTTCCTCTTCTGACCGAGCAAAGAGTCTTTCTCTGCCGCCTGCCGCACGTTCAGCCTCCTCCTCCTCCCACCATGCAAAAACACCATGGCCGAAAGCTCCGAGGCACAGAGGCCTTCACAGCCGTAGCGGATCATCGAGATCGACCGGAGAGGCTGGAGGAGGAGGTCAGAGGCGGGGCAAGGAGGAGAGTCCCAGACCTCGAGCAGAGGAGGAAGTGAAGGACTGCCTGAGGGCCCGACAGCTCCGACGATGGTGAGGACGAGAATGAGAGGAGGACCCATGGCAAGAGCCTGGCGCACGCGCTCAGAGACGGAAGGAGGAGACTTATGGCAGGCAAGGGAGGAAGAGAAGGGAGGGGGGGGGTTACCGCTGCAGGTGAAGTTACACTAGCACCGATGAGCTGACCGAGAGCTGAAGACGACAAGGCCTGCCAGGGATGAGGAGGAGGAAGAGGCAGGAGGAGGACAGAGCCAGGAAGAGGAGGAGGGGGAGGAGGAGGAGGAGGAGGAGAAAGGCAGGACGATGATGGGAGCTCACCTGGAAGGTGACAAGCTGAACGAAGTCTTTGAGGCTTCCCTGCATGCCGCAGCTCTGGTGGACGGTGAAGCCTAGGAGGAAGAGAGGAGGAGGAGGAGGAGGAGGAGGTTCAGGAGCAGATGCAAAGAGAGGCAGAGGCAGAGGCACCGAAGAGAGCAGCGAAGAAAGCGTCGAGTGGGGCCTGAGTGAAGGTCAAGATGACGGAAGAGAAGAGGAGGGGAAACAGGAGGTAAGGGAGGGGAGATGAAGACGTAAAGGAAGCAGAGAGGTACAGAGCGAAGGGCAGGGCAGGGCAGGGCAGGGAAGGGAAGGGAAGGGAAGGGAAGGGAAGGGAAGGAAAGGGAAACAGGAGGTAAGGGCAGGGCAGGGCAGGGCAGGGCAGGGCAGGGCAGGGCAGGGCAGGGAAGGAAGAGGCAAACAAACCTCAGCTAAGGTCTTGCTGAGAAGGTAAGAGAAAGACCCGTAGTATCTCCTCTCCCTCGAGATAGTGATCCGTTCCTGTCGAAGTGAAGTCCCTCGTCAAACAGGTGGACGGCAAGGCAGCAGCCGACCTCCACGAAGTTCATCAAGGACTTGACCATGGCGATCATGGAGCTGTTGATCGACGTCATCACGATGCTCCCGATCCTGTCCACAACCTGCTGCAAGTTCAATACCTCCTGCTCCTGCTTCTCCTGCTCCTGCTTCTCCTGCTCCTGGTGCTCCTGGTCCTCCTGGTGCTCCTCGACTCTCGTCGCTCCTCCCGTTTTCCTCTACCGTGCACACATCGCTCTCTTTACCACTATCGCTCCCTCTGACTTGCTATGTACAATCTCTCCCACTGGTCCTCCCGACCTCAAGCCTTGTTCCTGGTAAGAATCTGCTCTTCTCTCCTCCACGCGTTCAGTAGCAACTCACCCCAGTCTGCTCTCCCCATACAACTCCAAACAGCCCGGCCAGGACGACTGTTGCTGCCAACCTTGGAGGTGTGAGGAGGAGCGAGGGGATTTGCCATTCCAGGAAGGAGAAAAGAAAAATGTGAGATGGGAAATCAAGATTGGAAGAAGAAGGGACAGGGCAGAACAGGGCAGTACGGGACAGGGCAGGGCAGGACAGGTCAGGACAGGGCAGGGCAGGGCAGGGCAGGGCAGTGCAGGGCAGGGCAGTGCAGGGCAGGGCAGGGCAGGGCAGGGCAGGGCAGGGCAGGGCAGGGCAGGAGGGGACGGAGAAGAAAGGCAACGAGCAGGAAGGACATCAGCCTCACCTCACGCCATTGACAAAGACATCTCGAGTTGTTTGCTTCACGGCCCTGCAGAAGAGAGCTCCAAAGGCCGAGCCCAACCTTCCCATTCGTCTCTTTCCGTCCTCTCTCTTCTCCATCCCCCCTCTCTCCCCTATCAGCCGTCAGTTCCTTCCTCCCGCTGCAGCAGGACAACCTCTGTTGGGTTGGAGGAGAGGAGGAAACGGCAGGCAGAACGGCGAGCCCGAGGGCTTCTCCTCGAAGTAGGAGCAGCGGAGAGATCGCCACTTCTGTGTGAGGAGGCACAGACGATCACGCGTGTTCCTCTCAGAGTCGTCGGTGGTCTAGGAGAGGAGAGCAAAGACGTGAGAAAAGAAGATGAATGGAGGGAGACAAGTGACGGCAGAAGGGCGGATGACGAGGGCATGAAGAAGTGGTGAGGAAGGGAGAGCGAGGGAGAGCGCGAGAAGGAGAAGGAGGAGAAGGAGAAGGAGAAGGAGAAGGAGCAAGGGGGAAAACATTTTCAGTGGCTGCTGAGCACAAAAGAAATCATTACCAGGTCTATGCTAACCAGGTCCAGGAGGAACTCAGCAGGATTTGTTTCAGCTGGGCACCTGAACGATGTGAGGTGAATGAGGTTTGCCAGACAAAAAACGAGGAAGCAGGGAGGGGAAGAGGAGGAAGAGGAGGAAAAAGAACAGGAGGAGGAAGGAGAGAGATGCGCGGATAAGTGGAAGTGGCAATGTGAGTGGAAGGGGGGAAGGTTGGGGATGGGGAAAGAATTGCCTGAAATTAAGTGAACTGATCCATTTGAGACAATCTTTTCTTGGGCCTGGACATAAATTATCATCTGAAAACGTGAGGAAAGGAGAAGGAGGGGAACGGGAGGGAACGAGATCAGGAGGGGAAAGGGAGGAGGGAGAGGGGGAGAAGGAAGAGGGAGATACCTGCGTAGATTGTCTCGCCTTCGTTGAGAAGAAAGATGTCATCCAATATACGCCAGACCTGCGGATCACGAGGTGGATAAAGATGAGTAAGAGAAGGAGGAGCAGCAGGAGCAGGAGCAGGAGCAGGAGCAGGAGCAGGAGCAGGAGCAGGAGCAGCAGGAGCAGGAGCAGGAGCAGCAGGAGCAGGAGCAGCAGGAGCAGGAGCAGGAGCAGGAGCAGGAGCAGGAGCAGGAGCAGGAGCAGGAGCAGGAGCAGCAGGAGGAGCAGGAGGAGCAGGAGCGGGAGGAGCAGGAGCAGGAGCAGGAGGAGCAGGAGCAGGAGCAGGAGCAGGAGCAGCTGCTATTTCAACGTCCCGTGTACTAGCATATCACCTTTGAAGAAGGCTGATGGATTGAGATGATCACTGCTAGAGGACTCAGTCTCGCTCCCTCGCTCCCTCGCTCCCTCGCTCCCTCGCTCCCTCCCTCGCTCCCTCCCCCCCCCCCCCCCCCAACCCCCTCCCTCGCTCCCTCGCTCCCTCGCTCCCTCGCTCCCTCGCTCCCTCGCTCCCTCGCTCCTCACCTGTGTGCCCTGAGTCTGCTAGCTTGCGGAGAACGAGGATCATCCTCTCCGCCTAATGTCGAGAAAGTTTCAAGAGGGAAGCGCATGCAGGGCGGGAAGAGAAATGAGCAGAAAGAAGCAGGAGGAGGAGCAGGAGGGAGCAGGAGGAGGAGCAAGAGGAGGAGCAAGAGGAGGAGCAGGAGGAGGAGCAGGAGGAGGAGCAGGAGGAAGGGAGGAGAATCACTTGGAAGGCATCGAGGCCTGACGTCGGCTCGTCTGCAAAGATGATATCTGGACTTCCAACAAGCTCGCAACCTGTTCCACTTCAGAGAAAGAATGAAAATGGCGACGAGGATGCGGGCACGGTACTGGATCAGGAGAAACAGAAGCTGCAGGGGGAGCAGGAGGAGCAGAGGAAGCAAGAGGAGGAGGACGTGGGAGGCGAGAAGTATGGGGAGCAGGAGGAGCAAGAGGAGTAGAAAGAGCAGGAGGATGGAGTTGGATGAGGGAGTAGAGATCTTCAAACCGAGAGCAAGTCGACGTCGTTCTCCTCCTGATATTCCTCGCGTCCTCTCATTTCCAACCCTCGATTCACTACCTGCTCGTCAAGAATCGCAACAAGAACTCGCTGACGTTCTCACCGCACGTTCGATAGATGGAGTGTCCTCAACAACTTTTCAACAATCTACAGTACAAGCTGTCAGCCTCTGCCATGCAGATTCTCCCCACTTTTCTTCTTCTCTCCACTTCCTCTTCTTCTCTCCTCTTCCTCTCCTTCTCCCCCGTTGATCTCCTTCCCCTTCTTCCTCGTCTTGTCCTCCCCTCCTGCCCTCCAATCTCCCCCACTCCTCCGTTGCCCAACCTCTTTGCGATGGGCTGTGGAGGTTCCAGGGAGTCGGAGTTTGGCTGCCATTTGCAACGTCTCTTGAACTGACAAGTGGGAAAAGAACTGATCTTCCTGTAGGTATGAAACAGATTGTCATCATACAGTAGAGCAGACTCCTTTCACGTGTATGAATTATCACACGTATGAAGAGACTGTCATTGCACGCACTATCCCCTGCAATATTCTCTCCTACAAATTTCTAACCTGCCCGACAAATCCATACGTCCGATCAATACGACCATGATAAGCTGAACCTGACAATCTGAAGTGATGACAAACGTGTAAAGAGACTCATTCACCAAACATCTGCTATGCTGCCATACCTTCCAGATAGCTTCTGCCTTGGTCGCTGCGACAAGGTCCCTCCAAGAACCTTGAGACAGCATCACATGGGGGTGAGCTCCTCTTCTCTACCTGTAGCAGAGATGTCTTGCCGGCTCCTGACGGCCCCATGATGGCCAGCAACCTGTTTCGAAGAGGAATCACAGAAGGTGCAGAGGCACTTGGAATGCAGAGATTGTAGTAGTAGTAGTAGTAGTATTAGTAGTAGTAGTAGTAGTAGTAGTAGTAGTAGTAGTAGGAGGAGGAGGAGGAGGAGGAGGAGGAGGAGGAGGAGGAGGAGGAGGAGGAGGAGGAGGAGGAGGAGGCAAAAGTGATGATCACAACCTGCCCGGATATGCGACACCATTCAGGTTCTTGAGAACTTTTCGTCCATCTACCGCGAGGGAGATGGCTTGCCATGAAATCGCGGGTGTATCGCTTTCGCCATGAGCCGCCGCGAACAACTACAGCAGATTGCACATGAGAAACTGGCGATGGAAGAGGAAAGAGGGGAAACGGAGAAATGAGAGAAAGATCTCCTCTCACCACAAGGAAGAGCGCAAACACGGCGGATCCCCGAACCATCCTGTATATTGATCTCGGCAAACTCGACCCTTCCCAGGAGGTTTCGAACGGCCGCCTCTGCTCTGATCCTATCCTCTGCTTCAGCAAGGCCTCATATCTTAGATTCGTCTCAAAGGACTTCACCAGCACCTTCTCCTCTTCCTTCTCTTAGTCGCGCTGGCTCTTCATCGCTCTCTCCCTCCTGCCATGGCCCCCAAACTGTTCCTTGAAACTCACATACAGAATCTTTTACACGGAGCCCTAGTGTCCCCTCGTCCCCGCTCAACCTGAAATCAAGTGAGGCGGGCTGGGTTCGATTCAAAAGTGTTTTTTACCATGGCGGTTACGGCCGTTGCAGGGGAAGAGCGCGAGAGCATGGCGGCGGATCCCCTTCCGGAGGCCTCCTTTCCCGCCCTCATGCACGCGCACCGCCGAACTCCTGCTCGTCTTCCTTCAACTTCCAGCTGTTGTTTGTGCTCTCTTCATCTTCAACACTCTCCTTTCTCCTTGCTGCCTCCCTCTGTCCGCGATCCACCTCAGTCGCAACCAACCCTCTCCCGCTACATCCGTCTCCCTCCTACTCTGCACGTATTTTCTGCACGATCTTGGCTATCCAATGCTCTTCCGCCATACACGTGAAGTTTCTTTACGCGATCTATGTGCCAGAGCATTTGAGCCTACTTTCACTGCACCCTGGCGCTTCATCACTGAGTTTTTTCCATTCTGTCAAATAATAGAAAATCTTATCTGTTATTAATTTACATGGTCTTGATGGTTACATAGTGGTTTTCTTATCTGTACAGTCAGTCAGTCGAGAATGTGCGTGAATGAAGTAAATCTCATCTATGATGTCTTTCTAGAACCGATCAAGGGCAGTTGCGCCATCTGAAAGGTTTCGACTGCAGCATATCGGAGCTTCCCATTTGGGATGTTCCATTTGGGTTTTAAGTTGTTGGTGTGTCTATTACAGGAGAGTGTTTCAGGGATCTATGATTAAACTGATGGAAAATGACATGACAATTATGATCGTTTGAACATGCACTTTTAGTCAAATGCGTTGTACAGAATATGTGTTTTCTGAATATGTGATTGGTTTCTGCAAATTTGATTGATTCTGTTCTCTGATTTGGATTTTGAACAAAGCAAAATTTGGGGGGGGGGTCGTTCAATTATTTGGGTGTAGAATTTGTAGGAAAAGATTTGGAATTCGATGTAGTGCTTATTGAACATAGATTTGACCGAAAGTGATCCTTGCTTGCAACGCAATGCATTCTTCTGGATTCTTGCTTTTAATATGTCTGAAAAACTCGCCATTACTTTGCAGATTTCGTGCTGTTGTTGAAGACAAGGGGGTGTAGAGTCAGCAAAGGGAACGGGGTTTGGCAACGATGAGTTCAGACGAGGAAATCAATGTTGAACTTGACCAGGTCCGGTTGTCCTCCCTTTCTCTTGAAACACAGGAAATGATTATGTCTCCAGTCTGAAGATGAAGAACAAACCATCGATAAACCATCTGAAACCGATCAAGTTGAGCAACGGGGGGAGGAGCCTTCAAACTTGGAAGAGAATAAAGAAGGATCAAACACTCCAACAGCTAAGCAAGATGAAAGTGATGAAAAACAGGAACTTTCCAATGATAAAATAGTTTCTAGTGGTGTAGGAAGTGAGGACATTGTCACGGGAGACAACGTACAAGACAAGGACGACAAATCGCAGGTTCGGAGCCAAGATGATGACAAGAAGGAGGATCCTTCGGAGACTGCCGATGCACAGAAGGAGGATTCTAACGCTCAGGACGAAGTTGAGGAAAGTTTCGATTTATATGGGGACTTGGAGGAAGATAATGCTGAGGAGAAAGCTGGAAGAGATGATGAATCTGGTTTCTTGCCAGAAGACACCGATATGTCCAGCATTCCTGTCAACACAGATGTAAAAGATTCTAAATCGCCTGGGCAACATACTGGAAGTTCTGCGAAGAATCAACTAGATTCTGGTCCCAAAGGCCCCTGCTCTGTCACAGTGAACAAATTAAATTGGTGGACCAGCGATGCAGAACTCGAAACGTTTTTCGCGGAATGTGGCAAAATAAGGAAGATAAGGTTCGAGGAGGACAAGGCTTGTGGAAAATCCAAGGGCATAGCTCACATCGAGTTCGTCGACAGGTTTCGTCTTATTTGATTCAGGTCAATTGTCTCACACTCTTTTCAGCGTGTCTGCTTTGGATGCTGTCAAAAGGAGTGAGTCCACCCTGGATGGGGCTAGGATTCTAGTGAGCCTGGACCTGCATCCTGCGCTATCGCAGGGTCAAATGCGACAGAATGTTCCTCTGCCCGGCGCTGGACAGTCGCTTGTTGGGAACGTGAGCCCAACACTGTCAGCTCAGGGAATGCCTCAGCCGATGATGCCCGGCAATGCGAGAGGATCGACGCAAGGACGAGACGCCATGAGTAGAAGTTCAAACCAAGGGAACGCATATGGAATGATGCGGGGAATGCCGATGCCAGGAATGATGATGCCTCCGGGTATGTGGGGAATGCCTGGAATGATGCCTCAGATGTGGGGAATGCCTGGAATGATGGGCATGCCTGGGCAGCAGGTCTGACACTATACTCGGCGTGGTAGTATGATGCTGATAAGATTTGTACTTCAGATGCCAAGCGGAAGTGACAGAAGGAGGAGTAATGGTAGGGACAGGGACAGGGACAGGGACAGGGACAGGGACAGGGACAGGGACAGGGACAGGGACAGGGACAGGGACAGGGATAGGAACAGAGAAAGGGACAGAGACCGAGACAGGGACAGGGAAAAATCAAAGGAAAAGGATAAAGACAAGGACTCTGATAAGGGAAGCGAGAAAGAGAAGGAAAAATCTCGAGATCGTGGCAGCGGGAAAGAAAGGTCTCGCTCTAACTCGAGGAAGCGATCGTCATCCCGCGATCGCGACAGGGATTCTCGCAGGTTCGTCTAGAAAGAAAATTATTTACTTGGCCGCGATCCTTTCAATCTGACGATGGTATTTGGCAGGAGAGACCGGAAGGATGAAGAGAGAAATCTGAAGAGGAGACGCTAATCCTCAGTCACGCGGGGTGACTCAATGATTGAAGCGCACCACTATCGCAAAGTAGGACTGCGGCCAGTCACGTAGTACACCGGGCACCGGGCCATGAACTTCCGAGTTCGAAAAATGATACTACTCAGTGACTAGTAAACTTGGGTAGTGCGACTCGTCGCCGTAGAACTTAAACCCGCCACCGTCTTCTTGTTCCGCTTGTGCCGACCGTACAGTGCGCCGTCATCCCGGACGCCTTGCACCCGGTGGCCGCGGTGCCGCCCCGCGCACCGGGCCAACGGCATCCGAGTCGGAGGCCCGGCCTGGGGGGCCGGGGGCCGGGGGTGCTCAGACTCCGGCACGGCCGGAGCCCGGGGCCGGGCGGCCGGGCGGCGCAGTCCGACGCCGTGACGCCGACACCCGGTGCGCCGCCGGGTGGAACAAATAACGGTGGAGTAACGAGCAGCTATGATTTCAACGATTTGTAACGGAGGCAATCGACACCTGTCTCCAGTCTGCACTGAACCATGGCGCAAGACAATGCTGGAGGAGGCGCAGAAGGCAAGGCCAAGGAGGAGAAGAAGAAGACCAAAGCAGAGATTAAGAAGGAAGAAGAGATGGTGACACATTTTGCAGTCTCATTGGAGGGCTTGCTCTGACTTTCTCCCCCTCCCTTCCCCTCCCTCCCTGCCCATCTTGTCCGTCTCTGTCTTTCTCTCCCTCTCTCTCTTGTGAAATGCAGAGCCCTGAGGACATCGAACTTCGCGATCGCCTTGCCCTTCTGGCTGAACGAGTGAAAGATGTCGATGCGGCTGTGGCCAAGGCTTCGCTAGACGCGATGAAGTGATTGTTCTTTGCTGCAGCACATGTGTTTCTGACTTTGATACTCCTGTTGACAGGGAGGAGATTCGGGCAGCAACCAGCTCGATGACTTCAGTCCCCAAGCCATTGAAGTTTTTGAGACCCCACTACCAAGGGCTGAAGGATTTCTTCAGTAGTATGATGGACAGCGAAAACAAGACTCTTCTTGCTGACGTGCTATCGGTGCTGGGAATGACCATGGCTGGGTGAGTTACACTAGAAGGAGGCAAGAACCCATGTTTAACGCCATTCTTTGGAAGGTCCGGAACAAGAGAGAGCTTGAAGTACAAGTTGTCTGGCGCTAAGGGGGGACTGGACGTCTGGGGCTTCGAATACGTCAAGAACTTGGCAGGGGAGATTGGTCTTGAGTGGACACATAGGAAGACGACAGACCAGAGCACTGATGACCTGAAAGAACTAGTTGAAGAGATCGTTCCATTCAATATCAAACATGGTAGTGAGCCAGAAGCGTGCGATCTTCTCATGGAGGTCGACCTTCTCCCTCGGGTAAGATCTTGGATTCCCCAGTCACGTTGCGTGATTCTTTCAACCAGGTCCTTGAACATGTTGCCGAGAACAACTACAGTAGAATTGCCTTGTATCTCACAAGTTGTGCTTCCTACGTGCCAGAGCCTGAAGATAGCATGATCTACAACGTTGTTTTTCAAATTTACAAGAAAGTGAACAGGTGAGTCTTGTTTAGCATGTGTTTGAGGAACTCAAACTTCCATTGTCAAGGTTTCCGGAAGCACTTCGGATTGCCATCAGATTGAATGATGCTCAGCTTGCTGAAGAAGTTCTCAGCTCATGTGAAGATGAAGACATCAAGAAACAACTGGCTTTCATGGTTGCTCGACATGGAGCTCTGAATTTGACCAGCGAAGACGAGGCGCTCACTGAGATTCTTGGAAATACCCACCTTAGCGGCCATTTTTTGTCACTTGCTCGTGATCTTGACGTGTTTGAGGTTTGAATTTGTCAAAGATCTGGTTTCAATGGCTCATCCGTTTTACAGGCCAAGACTCCAGAAGAGATCTACAAATCCCATTTGACGGAGACAAGGACTTCGATGGAAAATCTCCAGTCTGCGCGAGCCAACCTCGCGTCTTCTTTCGTGAATGCCTTCGTTAACGCAGGGTACACCTATCACTAGCTGGAACGTAGAATCTTTCCTGACAGCTTTACAGATTCGGAAATGACAAGCTTCTCACCGGCGACAGCAAGGCACTCTCTACCTGGATTTACAAATGCGGCTCACAAGACTCTGCACATGGGAAAATGAGTGCTGCTGCGTCCTTAGGAATGATTTTGATGTGGGACGTTGACAGTGGTCTTAATCAAGTGGTCCGATTGACTGAGATCAATGAGGATTACATCCAGGCTGGTGCATCGCTTGCTTCAGGAATTGTGAGCGCCAATGTTCGAAGCGAGTGCGACCCTGTGCATGCCTTGCTATCGGATAAAGTAGAAGACAAGAAGCTATCTACAATTCAAAGGGTTGGCGCAGTGTTAGGCTTGGGGCTTGCATATGCAGGAACACAGAAGGAAGACATCTTAGATCTGCTTACACCAATAATTGCTGATCCAGAGATTGATATTGATTTGTTCTCCATGGCTTCCCTGGCTTTAGGATTTGTGTTTGTTGGTAGCAAGAAAGCCGATATTGCCGAGAATATCATTCAGGGTCTTTTGGATCGATATTCAGATGATCAGAAGGTGAACTAATTCTTTCATGTTCTCACAAATAATTCCTTCCCCTGCTCAGGTCGTTAAAGATGCCGCCTCGCGTTTCGCATGCCTGGGATTGGGCCTCATCTTCCTGGGACAGCAGGAAGCTGCAGATGTCACCATGGAAGCCTTGAAGGCTGTCCCTGGCCAGATTGGTCAATACTGCAGCCTTACCGTTGAGACTTGCGCCTATGCTGGAAGGTATTATCGTTTGATTAGATGCCACAACAGGTTGACAGATTGTGCAGTGGTAATGTGATGAAGGTACAGAAGATGCTTGGAATTTGTGCAGAACATCTCGAGGAAAACAATAGCCACCAAGCAGTAGCAGCTATCGGAATTGCTTTGGTAGCCATGGGGGAGGAAATGGGAGCAGAAATGACCTCAAGGAGCTTTGAGCACATGCTTCAGTATGGGGAAGTCAATCTAAGGAGGGTTGTTCCCTTGGCGGTTGGCTTTTTGCACATGTCGAATCCGAAACCGACAGTCATCGACATGCTTAGCAAGCTTTCTCATGATGGAGATTCGGAAGTAGCGCAGGGTGCGATCATTTCGCTTGGTTTTGTGGGTTCTGGCACGAACAATTCTAGAATCGCCCTCCTGTTGAGGCAGCTTTCGACTTATTATGGCAAGGATTCAAATACGCTGTTTGTTGTCAGAATTGCTCAGGTCTGCCATCTGTCCATCATCTATGTTGTGTTGACATTCAATTTGTTCAGGGTCTTTTGCACATGGGCAAGGGGTTGATGACAATTTCTCCTCAATATTCCGACAGATTGTTGACCTCTCCCACTGCCTTGGCTGGAATTCTCGCCGTGATGCATTCCTGCATGGACTTCAAAAACGTCATTTTGGGGAAATACCATTATATGCTCTACATGATCTCGATTGCAATGCAACCGCGTATGCTTGTCACGGTCGATGAACAGCTCAAGCCTCTCCCCGTTTCCGTCAGGGTTGGACAAGCAGTGGATGTTGTGGGACAAGCTGGAAAGCCCAAGTCCATCACTGGTTTTGCAACACATACAACCCCTGTGTTGCTTGCGTATGAACAGGTGAGTGGATGCAAGCCGTTTGAAGGCGTCTGACTTCCTTTTGTGACAGAGGGCTGAACTTGCAACCGACCAGTACCTGCCCCTGACCTCGGTGTTGGAGGGCTTCGTCATCTTGAAGGAGAATCCTGACTGGAAAGCGGATGCTGAGAAGAGCTCGCCGTCAAAGAAGGTACAAGAGGTGTCTGACATGTAGAGCTGGTGTGATTGTTGGTCGCAGGCCGAAGCCATGGAGATTCATGACGATCACCTCAAGAAGATGGCGCTGAAGATGGCCAATGTGAGACCGGATCAGAGAATGTACGGCAAATAAACGCCTGAACCTTGAATGCTCAATCACTGCATGCTTCGCGCTCATTCTTCTCCGCACCTATGTTCTACGTTTAATGAAACTTTCGACCTCCTTCAGTGCTTTGTTGAGGGCTGAGGTGGAGGAAAGAAAATGATTCCCTTTGGGAACAAGAGCGAGTTCGACTAGATCTGCATTATTCTCATGAGCTCGCAGAACTTCGAACAATCGCTCGGCATGCTGTGGAGGTACATGCCTGTATCACCAGCAGTAAGCGGCGAGTTTGAACAGTCATGATTGTAAACCTGTCCTCTGAACCGTGGAGGATCAGGAGGGGAACTTGTAGATCCCTTGCCAGCTCTTGAGGCCCTGGAAAGGAGGAGTACGAGTCGATGTAATCCTTGGAAAGCTTCCACCTGTACGAGATTCACGAGGGAGGAGGAGCGCAGTGGTACTCTGCCTCTGAGGATTGTCGGGGCAGCCGAAAGGAAAGAATTCCTTGTAGCAGAACCCTTTCTCCTTGGCCTCCTTGACCTTGCAGCACGTGTCAGTGAAGGACAGGACGAGGGCCTCTACCGTGACTCACCTGGTCCTCCGAGAAGTCCAGGGCAACTGACCCCGGAATATCGTCCACACATGCGAATGTGAAGCATCCAGCCACCGGGTCACCTGCGAGCTGTGAGCTCGGCTGCGCTGATTCTCGAGTCCCACCGGGAGGATGGAGTTCTTTGCTCGCAGCGTACGCTAGAGACAGAAAAGCTCCTGTGCTGAGGCCGCAGATGAAAAGTCTCGAGTTGGAGAACCGCTGGCAGCAGAAGCTGACCTGGTGCATCGGCAGCTCAGAGGGCATGAAGAAACAGTTATGGTCAACCACAGCCGCTATGTCCTGCATGTCCCCTGTCAAGGTCTTGGACACAAACTCCGGCGGTGCTTCACTTGCTCGCTCTGCTACCAACGTCATGATCCGAGAGGGGAGCTGAAGGATTTCCTGCATCAAACTCTTGAGCAGAGGAGCCTGGGATTCCTCTTGTGTTGAAAGCCACGAAGACACTGCGGTCAAACTTCTTCAAAAGATGTTCGCAGAGCTTTCGAGGGAATCTGCTGGCAAAGAAGCAATGGTCTGGTGTAGGAACGCCTTGTTTGAACAACATCAAGGCATCTGGTGTTACTGATGCGTCGGGGAAACCATGATTGTACAGGAAAACGTTCTGACAAGCCTGATCGCTCTCTACATTCTTCTCCAGTCTTGTGAGGATCAAGTCTTGAACCTTCACGATCTCCATCTTTGAGCTCAGGTGGCTGAGAGGCGAGCAACGAGCACACTTGCGGTATTCACTCAAGAGTGCGGATCGAGCTCGCAACGGCGACGAAAGCGAAGAAACCAACACCAAGACAAGTCGGAGCGATGAAGGCAGGCAAGACGGTGCTGAGGAAATGAAGGAGGAATGGAAGGAGGAGGAGGAGGAGGAGGAGGAATGGAAGGAGGAGGAGGAGGAGGAGGACTGGAAGGAGGAGGAGGAGGAGGAGGAGGAGGAGGAGGAGGACTGGAAGGAGGGTCGGGTTATTGAATGTCTTCCTCCTCCTACGGGACCCATACCGCACATCGCCAGCCACAAACCATTTCCCCTCACTCTGAGGCGGAGCAGCAGCTCTCCCCGACTCTTGTCTTGCTCCGATTGCTGCTGCTGCTGCTGTGCCTGCTAGAGTGAACGACTTCTGTCTGGGACTCAACATCCTGGCTGCATCACTGACCTTATCTGTATCTCGCTTCCTCCCTTTCGTCGCCTGTCTCACTATGGGTCTGTCACTTCATATCATGAAGTATTTACGTATCTCCCTGCCCAACTACCTCCGTATCAATCCTTGTGTTTATCTAGGTACAGCTCATTGCGTCAACCTGATTTCCTGCTTTCATCTTATAACAAACTGTCGTTTCTTGTTTTATTTCCTTCTCTTGCCGAAACTGGTTCACGAAATCTCACCCTTCATCATCACAATCACATCATCAATTCTCCATGCGGGCCTTGTGTTGCTCTTGCTCCAGAGATATTCAAAATTCACAGAGTAACCGTGAGGGTTGCCAGTTCTGAATGAGAGAGGTCAGGACAACCAATGGAAAGGATGGTAATGTCACTTGTGCACGATCTCGAGCTTTCTTTGAGGTGATGTCACATTCGCAATGGCAGTATCGAGCTCCTCTCGAGATAGACTGTCTTGGACGTCTCTTCGAAAAACTGTCGAGCTGCATCGTACGTGAGGAATGTTTGTGATGTGCTATCAAGACATGATATCAGGGGTATACCTCGTCCCCAAAACATCCGCAAATGTATCGCTCAAAATGATCTTTATGTCGAGATCGCGCCAGGAAGATGGTAGTTGAGAGGTCCACGGGCTTTTCACATCACTCCTAAGATTGAAGAAGATGAATTGCTTTGGCCTCCGAACTGCAAAGACTGGAGAAAGAGGAAAGAAAATTTCTGTCGCGCCTCCGATTATCTGTATGAACAGGAACATAACACATTCATGATAAAGTCAAACAAGATGCGGACAACAAATATGCACAACTCACTCTCAATCTCACAAGACATCGGTTGGATCGTGTATGGGGGACTTCGCGGCTGAGCCTGTGCTCCATGGAACGCGGGCTGCTTTGCTCATCCCCTGTCCCTTCATCTTGTGTCTCTTCTTCCCTCTCCTCTAGAGGATTCAAGTCTCCGTCTCGAGGGCTCTGTGTATCATCGTTCGAACTCTTTCTCTTGATCGGGATGCCCATCTCCTCCTCCTTCCCCTTCCCTCAGCCGCCTTCTCCTCCTCCCCGCTCGTTCGCCATTCCCTTCGAACCAGTAACGGCGAAGTTGACTAAACCGAGCAGAAAGTCTCGTACACATGAGGCTTCGGAGCCTCCTCTGCTCTCCTGATTGTCCTCGTACTGATTTTTAACTTACTTTGAGTAAACTTCGGAACTCGAGCCCTTTCAAGAGTCGGTACATGACTCAGTGATCGCACTCTACTAGCCTCCAACTGGGCCCGGCTGGTGCGCCGCCGTCCGGGTGTGTTAAAGCGTGAAGTTGACTTAACAGCGTTCCGGCGAAGCCGCCTCACTGAGGGGACTGGGCGGGGGGTAATGAGCCTGCCCAAGTCGAAGGGTCCTAGCCAAGCTATGGGCGACAGTATTTTAAATGTGGGGCTTCAGTTTACACCACAAAAATCGATTGATTCAAGTGACAAGCACTTCATGCAGCACGAGTGCTTTTCCCTTCCGTTGTTCGTTCCCGGCTCCAATCGAAACGGCACAGCATAATCCTCGCCATCATCACCTGCAACAGACCCTCGGTACATTCACAAAGGCTGATCATGACATACTTTTCTTCGAGGAAATCCCTTACACTCATTTTTGTACCTTCAAACTGTGAGGCTCCGTGAGCTCCTGTTTTGCAAAATCCACAAAAATCTCCCTTCTCACCTCAAACTCCCAAATGATCGCCTCCTTGTTCCCTTTCTCAGAGGAATAGCCAAGCTTTTCCAGGTACTGTTGCGGTTGTCAAAGACCAGTATGCCCACGATTTAAGATTTACTTGTTGATGCTTATCCTCTGCCTTCCAAAACTTTTTTGCAGGCAACAATTCCGTCACAACGGTACCTGCCATTTGCATGATTGATATGCATTGTGAGAAATAATAAATACAGTTTTTCTGCTCTATAGGCACGTCTTGTTCCTGGTCAAAGATTTCAATTCCATTGTATGAGGAGGAGACCAACAATAAGGTTGCATGTCAAAATCATCGAAAGTCTAGGCTCACGTTGGATAGTTCAACGTCGAACAGAGGTTGCTCATTCAGTTGCTCCTGCACGTACCGAAGTGCCTTTGCATTCTTAATCAGCCCATGGAGCATACCATCATGTAAGATACTGTTTCAGCTTGCTTTTTCTGGACAAGATCATGATAATAGATTCCGTTCCTGCAATCACAACCATCAATTGATATGCAAGGAAACCTGTGAAACAACCGGTATTGTGTTCCAAAGTCACTACCCTGCCTGTTCAGCTGAAAAACCATTGCTTTACAGGAACATCGACAGGCCGGGACAGAGCTGCCTACTTGCGTGACATCGACGTTCTCGAAGAATGTCTCCAAAAGTTGCAGGTAGCTGCAAGACCGTCACTCTTCCATGCCCTTCACCTCCGATCACCACCTAACTCGCTTGGGATCATACTTGACTCGAACTGCCTCTGCATGTCCCTGAGTTTTCCACTCATCAAATTCTCTCTGTCTCGGATGTTGGTTTCACCGTCTTTTCAGAGCACACGTCTGCGTACTTAGGGTTTTCTGTTTTTCCTCCAGTGTATCCAGCCTGGACACACGAGTCATCAAGATCTTTGTGCGACCGACGTTTACCTGCGTCGATACAACGCCAACCACGCGCTGGAAAACTAACTCGAGTGGCCTTGTGGAACGCAATAACTCCTCAAAACACCAGCTATTCGCTCACCAGAAAGAACCCCCCGCAAAAGTTGCAACTTTGCAATCATGCGACTGAACACAGAACAGCATCAACACATTGTTGGAATGATGCTTGAAGTACCTTGATGATGTTTGTAACCTCGATCTCCATCATCAAATCCTTGGGTTGTTATGTCATGCCATCAAAGTAGAACATTCATTATTCATCATTCACCTCTCCAGCCAGCGGAACATTGCCATCGATTTCTATCTTGTCCGAGTAAATGTTCGACACCAATATACGTAGACCTTTCATCCCAAGTTGGTCTCCAACAGCCAGCTGACCGGTAAAAGATTTCGTCAGATTTTTCTCTCGCGACATCCGCCCAACAAAATTACATCATCCGGGCACTCGGATTTCGAAACATTAACAATGAGATCCAGCCGGATTGGTCCAAACGCTTTTTCACACGGTATCTTTAAGCTCTTCAGTTCTCTTTCTTTCATTCCAATAACCTTCAGTAACGTCAGAGACCTGTATGCTGAAATTGCACCTTGACCGCTTCCTCAATTCCATCGATCACTCGACCGCTTCCAACCTCAAACTCAACAGGCTCTCTGTCTCTTGTGTTGTCAAACCCCTTGCCATCTACCAGGCGGCCGATGTAATGCACCGTGACGATATCCCCTAGCTCCACCTCCTTCTGCAGGGAACACTGTAAACCCAAAGTCCTCCGTCCCGTTGAGTCTGGCTGAAAGGAGGAACCGATTCTCCTCCTCCTTTGCATCAGCACTGAGAATACGTTGCACTTGTTTCCTGTGCTCGTCGCTGTCCAGCCACAATCAATCCCTTGTGGTCCTATTTCAGCGAACTTACCTTTGAGAGGGAGTGACAGTGGTGAAACCGAAGATCGAGGAGGGAGGGAGAAGCAAATCTCACTTCTGGTCATCGTTATCATCATCATCAACAACAACATTGTCGTCATCATGATCATAATCTTTCCCCTCCTCCTCGTCCTCCCCCTCCTGCTGCTCTCCATTTCACGTTCACCTAACATTGCGACCAGTCACCACCCCTACCCTTCTTTCCATATTGTGTATGATCCCCTACCCACATTTTTGTCTGGTTGGTTGGATTACCCAGTCATTTGTAGCAATAATTGTGTATATCATAGGGGTACCAAGGACTACCCCCGGTCATGTACCCCATCTTCTTAGTGATCACCCCTTGAAAGGAATCAATGCCCGATCCAAAGCGTGTTACGACCTGCACGAAGCCTACCTCCTCCTCCTCCTCCTCCTCCTCCTCCTCCTCCTCCTCCTCCTCCTCCTCCTCCTCCTCCTCCTCCTCCTCCTCTCCCACTCGTTTCCTTGACATCATCATCCTTGTCCCTGCTGTCCATCAGCATCCTCAGCCGTCGTACTTTTCCTCGTCTTCCTTATCTCAATTCTTCGTGAGCTCTGATCTGAACTTTGTCCTCGCCTCTTCCTCGCTTCTGTCCATTTCGCCTTCATCATAAGAACAGTTGACAAGCCTCATCGATTGTTTTCTCCTCCCCTACCTTGAGCTCTTCTCTCAACCCCAGCCATCTTCTATCAGCTATCGAACATGTTGATCTGTCCCCGATTTCTATCCTCACTGATTTTGGTTTCCAGGGACGATGAAGGAATTATGGGCGTTTGCTCTGATAACGCTGTCCTTGTGTCACTTTTCAGCTTCATGGCCAGTCAGTGAATGTTTTCTGAATCTCAAGTCGAGTCCACTTCTCCAGACCTCACATCCTACAAGAACTCAGGCGACTACTTCCTTGCAGTGTATGTTTTCCCATGCTCCTGGTAGTCAATGGCGCCCTTCGAGGCGTCAGGAAGCAAAACTTATGCCCCTTAAGCTGGCAAAGAATAGATGGAGCGGGAAGTTTGAAGACCTCTCAGCTTCACAATCTGACCTGACGAAATTCCGTGACATCTTGCATGAAATCCAATCTGCCAACGAGACGGAATACCCACGAATTGTTGGGAGCAATGTTGAGTTTCTGTTGAGGACTGATTTAGAAAGGCTCTCGAATACGATTCAAAGCGAAGAAATGGATGAGACGAGCAGAGCTCGTCACGAGCAGAGCTTTCAGCTCGTGCTGGATTTCCTGGAAGTTTTCGTGAATGAAATCAAACAGATATGGGATGACAACAGGTGATCTGTCGAAATGTTTTTGCAGGTGTAGGCATGTTCTCAGTAAACTCTCACAGAGCTCTGCTGAAAGAAATTCTGCAAGCTTCCAGCAAAGGTATGCAAGCGCTGGACAAGAAAATGGAAGACATGATTGCTGGGCGTGAACCGCGATATACGCCTGAGTTCTTAAGTGAGAAGGTCTTGCTAATGAGCTGTTGTTGAGCATTTTCCAGGATATCTTGATGCAGAGATTGAGAGAATGAAAGATGTTGTTCAAGATGCAGCCAACAACAAGAAACGTGACGAGAGGAGAAGGTTCGTAAACGACAAGTCGAAGAAGGTTGGGTCTTATTCCCGCTCCACTTGTTTTGAATTCGATGGTACATCAGATCATCGATCTTGACGACAAAGAGGAGGAGGAGGAGGAGGAGGAGGAGGAGGAGGAGGAGGAAACAAAGGGATCTCCAGACGCAAGGACAACCCTTCGTGTTCTCACCATGGTGAAGGTAACATCAAGAACGATTCTGATGTCAGTTCAGCAGTGACGACAAACAGGCACGAATCTCTGCAGAGATGGAGAAATTTTTGGGAGAAGACGCCTGGGCAGCTCAGCTTCTCTCTCGAATGCTGCAGGTGTACTCCTACTCCCCTCCTTCACCCTCGTCAGAACCTCTCAATCTCATCGTCTTCTTCCCCCCCTCAACAAACTCCCTCCCGCCTTTCCTCCTCCTCCACTCCTGATGGATTGTCTTGTCAGGTCGATCAGGTTCCCCTCAGGGTGACAGCGATCCGCACAGCCCTCATGGAGATGCCAAATGCTCAAGCTCGAGCGACTTTCGTTGACGTTGTCATTCTTGCTGGGCCCGAGCCGGAGTTGACTCGTCCTTGCAGGTCGTCTCCGACGCTCTTGACGATCTTAGAAGGATGCAGGCGAGCGGAGACAAAGTGGATCCGGAGATGCTTCAGCGTATGGAGCACATTGAACAGGTGCTGAAGCGAGAGCTGGGAATCTAGTGGAGGAGAGCTGGGGGTAGATCTGGGAGTCCGGCTGAGGCGACTTTGACATCTTTATTACACATTTGACCTCTTATTGATTATTCAAAATTAAAAAAGACTGCGAAAGAATAAAAAGAACTTGACAATGGCTGTCGAGCTGTGAAGGTCTTGAGATCGAGCGATGACTTTTTTTTGCACCTGGTGAGTCCCTTGGAGTTTCCCTACTGGCGCTTCAGCTGGAGGCTCCTTTCAACGCGCGGATCATGGCCCGGGCGTGACCCTTCTTCACTCCCAGCTCCATCTGACACAATCCGTACCGTTAAGATTTCTCAGCTTGTCAACAGTAAACTTACCAAGTCCTCCTCGGCCATCAGCTGGACTCTGCTGAGGGAGTCCCAACCGTTGCGCACGAGGAGCTTCTCGTAGCCCGAGAGACCCGCGTTGGCGAGGAGCTCGGAGAGCCCACGGGGGGCGGGGAGTTTGCGGTACCTCATGCTGGACGAGGAGGCAATCTTGGCATGGTCCCGACCGGATTTCCGGGGAGGGAGAGGAGAGTCATCCTGGGAGGCGGAGGAGACAAGCTCGTCTCCAGCTACCCACTCCTCCTCTGTTCCTGTCCTCCAACTTGGAACCTCCTTGCTGTGGACAGACCGACGGCCCTTCGTCTCCTGCTCCCTATCACTTCGCTCACGCGCCTCCTCCTCCTCCTCTACCTGCGGCAAGAAGGGCCGAGCACTTGCCCAGCTGTTGAAAGCCTGCGGAGGTTCGAAGCTCTCTGGAGACAGGAAGCCTCTCCTGCCTCCTACTCGCCCTCCTCCCGCCCCAGTCGCTCGAAACTTGTCGAGGGGAACCGCTTTGTCGAGATCTCTCCGCATCGCTTCTTCCCATGAGAAGATCTCCTCTGCGTTCCGATCAGATCAGAGAGAGGGAGGGAGAAGGGAACGAGGGGGGAGGACAAGACGACAACAGAGGAGGAGAGGGAAGGGGAGGCGAAGTGAGAGAAGAAGAGGAGAGGAGGGATGGAGACGACATGCGAAGCCAGGAAGGGCAAGGAGGAGAGGAAAGAAGACAGGACAGACCAGGACAGACCAGGACAGACCAGGACAGGACAGAAGGAAGGAAAGAAGAGGAGGGAATGGGGGCAGAGAGAATGGGAGGGAAGTTGCCTGTAGGGCGGGGCTGAGGAGCCGAGCGGTAACGTTGAAAGATCTTCTCTGCACGATCAATTTTCTCTTCAAGGACCTGCAGAAAAGCAATTCAATTTAACCTCCTCCTCCTCCTCCTCCTCCTCCTCCTCCTCGAATTTCTCATCTTGCTCCTGCTCCTGCTCCTGCTCCTGCTCCTGCTCCTGCTCCTGCTCCTGCTCCTGCTCCTGCTCCTCCCCACCTTGTTGCGAGCGTTGGTCTCCTTGATGGTAGAGATGGCCTCTTGCAGCAAATGTGCCATGCCCGAGCTCGTAGGGTCCTCCTTCCCCTCCTCCTCCTCCTCCTCCTCCTGCATCCTGTGCCTGCCCTTTCTGTCCCCCTCATTCTTTCCCGCTGCTGCTGAAGTCAACGACCAAGGAAGAGGAAAGGAGAGGCAGGATCGGAGGAAGCAGCAGAACATTGAGCCAGACTGAACGACAAGGAGGAAATGAATGGAGAGGAAGAGGACAAGGGACGAGGAGAAGACAGAGACTTAGTCTACCAGCAGATGAGATCTGATACTTCAACTCGTCCTCCTGCTCCTGGGAAGGGCAAGCATAAGGATACAAAAACGGTGGGATACGCCCTCAACTCACCTTGAGGAAAGAAAGTTTCGCTTTCCGCTCAGTTGCTCTCTCCCTGCTGCCTTGCTCAGACTACTCCCCTCCATCTTCCGAACCTCCCTCCTCCCCTCCCCTCCTTGCCCCCTCCTCCCTCGTCCCTCGTCCCTCGTCCCTCCTCCTCTGGTTTTGACCTGAGATCCTGAACTTTTTCCAGCGCCTCGTGCATGCTCTTGGCCTCCTCCGTCTTTTTCTTCGCCTCCTCCATCACCTGCAGCAGAGACTATTCCCAGCGTCAGTTGAGACGGGAGGGAAAGGAGGACGAAAGGCTGCTGAGACGAGCTAGCAAAAAGCCACGGGCAAAGGGACGAACACCAGGAAAGGTTATGAGAGCAACGGGGGCAGTGCAAGTAGGATGAGGAGGGGGGAGTTGAGTAGAGTAAGGAGCGGAGAGGCTTTCCTCCGAACCTTTTCTGCCTCGTGAATCTGCTGCATGACATGCTCTGCCTGATCCTGCAGACCTTCAGCTCTTTCTGTCATCTCCTGCTCAGAGTATCAGTCCATTCCCTCCCTCCTCCTCCTCTCCTCACGTTGAAGCGTGCTCCACCCCTGCCCTTCGCAAGCTCAGATCGAGGAAGCCCGTCTCGTTTGTCTCGCAGACTTTCTCTCTTTCCCACCTTGAGAACCCAAATCAATCTCAAACCTGTTTGTGACCCTCGTTCCCCCCCCCATCCATCCCCCCCCCCCCCCCCCCCCCCCCTCCCCCCCTTGTCCCTCCCCCTGCCCCTCTCCTCCTCCCCCCCCCTCGGCTCACCGATCCTTCAATCTCTACATCATGCAGGTCCCCTGTCCTGCTCCTTCTCTCCCGTCTGTCCATATCTCTCTCCCATCCCCAGCTTCCCTTGCTCACTTCAGGAGCAGGGAAGCTGTCGTACTGGCTGTAGGCTGAGGGGGGAGGAAACACATCTCTCCGCGCCCAGGGAGGAAGGTAGCTCAATGACGACCAGTAGCCACGAGGAGGAGGAGGAGGAGGAGGAGCAGAAGGAGGGTAGAGAGGAGGAACAGGAGGTGCAGGAGCCGGGGGGATGGATGAAAGGCCTGCAGAAAGAAACTTGTCGTGCTGAGGCGAGAACGAATTTGCCGGGACTGCATGCATGAGGTTGATAGAGAGCTTGTCGTCGTCTGCGAGAAAATCAGCGACAGTGAGGAGAGAAGGGAAGCTGCTGCTGCTGCTGCTTGCTGCTGCTGCTGCTGCTGTTGCTGGCTGCTGCTGCTGCTGCTGCTGCTGCTGGCTGCTGCTGCTGCTGCTGCTGCTGCTTGCTGCTGGCTGCTGGCTGCTGGCTGCTGCTGCTGCTGGCTGCTGCTGCTGCTGGCTGCTGCTGCTGCTGGCTGCTGCTGCTGCTGGCTGCTGCTGCTGCTGCTGCTGCTGCTGCTGCTGCTGCTGCTGAATTACTCACCTACGAATGTTGATTTTTCACTCGGCTGTTTCTTCTTGCTTCTGAAATTTCACGTTGAGAAGGAACAGTTGAAAGATAGAAATTGCATTTCACCTGTTCTTCTCTTTTGTTCTCTTCTTCTCACGAGCCTCCCCCTCCCCCTTGACAACTTTCGCTCTTGTCCTCTCATCATTTACAGCTTTTGATTCTTCCACCAACCGAACGTGTCTGACTTTCTCATCCCCCCTTCCTCTCGCTCTCCTCCCATCCTCCCCATCTCTGTCTCTCCCTCGCTTCTCACGGACATCATCCCTCCTTGATTCTTCTCGCGCCTGCACGTCCATCCTGCTCTCTCTTGACCTGCCCTCTGACTCTCTTGCTTGCCCAACTTGTGGAGGAGATGGCAACCTGGCAGAATAGCAAATTCAGGTCGAGGAGGAGGAGGAGGAGGAGAATGCAGTGAAATATTTGTGGTGAAGAAAACAGTAAAAGTCACAGACAACAGGCAGGCAGGCAGGCAGGCAGGCAAATATTTGAATCCTTTCTTCTCCTTTCTCACCTTTCTCTCCTCTGTTCACTACGGTCTTGTTGCAACTTCATTTGCTTCTCTTCAATCTGAGAGGAACCCGATCAGCAGCGCAAACAACTCCTTCCATCAACAACCATGTTGAGCCTTGTGTTAAGCTCTTCTTTGAAAGTTCTCAGACTGTCAGAAAGAGGTTTGAGAGTGTCTTGCAGAGAATCTTTCTCCTCTTGTTTCGAGTTGGAGCTCATCATTTGCATCACTTGCAACATGAGCTTCCCCGTCTGATTCAAACTCAGAGATGCAAAGCAAAAACACCGTCTATCCCGCTCGACCACTCTGTCCTCCTCTTCCTCTTCCTCCTCCTCCTCCTCCACCAACACACAACAACAACAACAACAACAACAACAACAACAACAACAACAACAACAACAACAACAACAACAACAACAACAACAACAACAACAACAACAACAACAACAACAACAAC